TTTCTTCTTTTTTTTTTTCTTTTTCTTGTTCTTTTTTTTTTTTTTGCCTTTGATCCCATGTAGAGGACACAAACTCAGTGGTCGCATCTGAGCGCGACTTCACGTGGTGGAAGGCCGTCAACACTACGAGCACTATACCGAGCGGGCTGCCCTACAAAAGGTTCTGTGTGGCCAGTTGAAGATAAGAAAAAAAAGACATTTCCGGTGTTAGTGACATGTTTAGGAAAAGTCAAACTTTGCCGCGTTGTATTACAGGGCGCGCCTTTGCATGACCGCTATCCCACGTGCGATTATCGGAAGGCGCGGCCCGTAAATGGCTACTTGGGCATCAGCTAGCACTCAGCATCATCACCATTCAACCAAGACACCTTTGCGGCGACAACTACGAGCAGATTACTGTAGACGGCCGCGCTATACTTTGAATAGAATACTCAATACGCAAAAATGAGTGGCAATCTCACCGGCTTCTTCTACGGTAAGCAAACACCGCACCAAATAAGAGACTCCCCGCTAACATACTCCCAGGCACTCTGGTACCTGCCGCTGAATCCCCATGCATCAACGCCAGAGTAAAACGCTAACATCAGAAACAGATGGCCCCCGAAATCTTCTTCAGCGTGTGCTACGGCACAAGTGCCCCGCCGGCGGCCATTCAGGCGCTGCACACGTTCTCGCCGGCGGTGCTCAACGACTTTTGCCGGCACCGGGTGCAATTTGCCGACTACCCAGGCATTGTGCCGGAGACGGGCCAGTCGGTGCGGGGCATTTACGTGACAGGGCTGACAACGGCAAATATGCAGAAGCTGGACCACTACGAGGGCAGCGAGTACCGTCTGGAGACTGTCAAGGTGCGGCTGGACGGCGAGAATAAGGGGGCCGCCGGCAAGGAGGTGGAGACAAGGACGTATGTATTCTTGAAGCCAAAGGAGCTGGAAAAGAGAGAGTGGGACTTTGAAGAGTTCAAGAGGGACAAGATGAAGATGTGGACGAGAAACGGGTACTGCGAGGGGGACCTGAAGGAGTAGATGGGCCAGGTGAGCGGATGAGTATGAGCCCAGTGGATGCGAGTCTGCTGCGGGACTGGAAGCAGATAATATAGGAGCGGATATTCATTAGAAAATAGACCAAGACTTTCAGTGGGCAAAATGTGTGGTGTTGATTAAGCAGATTAATACTTTCAAAACATCTCGCCACTCTCGCCACCTTCTGTCATCAGCACTGATCGACGAGATCATCACGGTGTAGTTGAGCCTTTTTTATTTGACCGAGAAATATGCACCATCATATGACTGCCAGGCTATGTTGGGCATAATGTGCCAAGATTGACGACGATAAGTTGACGACAATATAGAGATGCAGTTTGAGCACGAGAAGAACGATGAGCTTGGGATGCAAGGGGGCCATGGGTTTCGGAATAGCAATTTAAGCTTAATTACGCAGGACTGTAACTGTATAGAGAGATATGGTCATAGCATTAACTGCCAGAGTGGAAGAAACTGATGCGACTCAGCAACTATAGTGGGCGAGGCAAGGACTCCCTCTTGTCAGGTATTGGAGAACTGGCGTCGGGTTAAAGCGCTGAGACTGCAATGCTTCCCTCGTCCGCCCTATTATTATTATTATTAATTATTAAGCCAAGTATTCGAATCTAGGTTCATGGTTTTTTTGGGCAGTGCTGTCATTGGGCCGCTACGCAGGAGATGTCGTTGGCCTGTCATGCGAACCCCAGGGCCCTACCCACCATTGTAGGCAAGGAGGCCGCGGGCACACGAGCACCAAGCTGGCCTTTTTTTGATATAATTCGCAGCATTTTTTTTTTCAGAGGAATACAAGGAAGGCTATAGGGCCCGAGAGATTGGATACCTAGGGATGGGCCGCAGGAAGAGGCCGGCGTTACGTTCGCACGAGAGAGACGAGTCCACGTGGCGGTGGTTGCGCCGGCGGTTGCGCCGGCGAGATGCGCTGAGGCGAGGACACGGTTCCGGTAATTATTTTTTGGGTTAGGTATTTCCCAACACAGTTTCTTTTTTTTTTTTTTTTTTTGCTCTGATTTTCGGGAGCCCTGTTGGCGGGCAGAAGTGGATGTTGTTGATGCTTCGTGGAGAAATATCATAGGCTGTGTAGGCGCTATGGATGGGGAGCTTAGGCTTGCTCAATCACAAATAAAGGGTCCCCCCCCCCGGTCGCGGAAGTTTTTCTCCCATGGCGTGAGCAGGCTCGCAAGCTCCCGTGAGCATTGGCCCATGCGGCCGTCTCCGCCAGCCGCTGGCTGGGCCAGAAAGAGGAAGGAGCCCTGAAACTAGAGCGGGTTTCAGCCAGCCCAGAAGCTGAGGTGGCCGCGCGGGTGACAAAAGAATGGCCTAGAAAAAGAGTACCGAAGGTTAGCTGTCTGTATTTAAATAATTCTTAAGAAACTATAGAAAATATTCATCTAGCTAAAATAAAGACGACATTAAAGTTTAGCGCCTAGATTATTTCTTATGTCTTTTATTAATTTTTTTATATTTTTTATTATTCACTATTCTTTACACCTTTCGTTAAGTAATATGCAGACGCCTTGCGAGAATAGGCCAGCTTTTTGTCACCCCCTTGGCGGTGGGCAGTTGGGTTGGGTGGGCTGAAGTGACATCAGCAAACCCGATCGCTTGCTTGGCCTGAGTGCACCTTGTAGCCTTGTAGGTATGAAAATGGTTGAAAGAGAGGACGACGCTAGAAACGCCACGCGAGACGACCCCTGCATTTTTTGCGACAAGGGAGCAAAAGGGATGAGGTGAAGAAGAGCTGAGAGATGGAGAATGAGAACCAAAATCCCCCCCTGCATGTAAGAAAACAAAGTTTGAGCATCTTCACAGAGCATTAGGTATTCAGGTAGTGTGGCAGCTAGGTGTGGCGATGAATGAAGTGGTTGAGTGTGTATTTGTTTCAACTGTCGTGTTTGCGGGCCAGTGAATCGGTCGACAGCACAAAACAAGTTTTGAATCAAAGGTTGAGAGACGGGACGAAAAAGAATACTTTCTCATTGATGGCAGTGGAAAGTCAAAAAAAAAAAAAAAGAGGATAGCTTACGCTGCGGTTTATTACGTAGCAGGTAGGTAGGTAGGGCAGACCGTTCCCACACGTAGGGCCACTCCGACGGAAAATCATGCTAAACAATCTCCTTCATCAAGTTTGATGTTGAAGACCTCTTCTAAAATATCAAAGGAGAACTGCAATTCTAACTAGTACATTTCAGTTAGGTATACAGATTGTGGAGGTTGAGTGAGCATGTGGGGGACAGAAAAAGCGGGCAGTCCTGGAACGCCTTCAATTTATCCGAAATGCCTGACTAGTACTGGAGCAATTACTGGAGCAATGAGCTATAAAGTAACATATTCGAAAAAGTCCATGTTCTGAATTAATTACATATAAATGCCAAAATTTGATCTTCTTCAAAATTTCTTTATTATACAGCATGATTCTTAAACCAGTATTAATAATCCCAGACGGGGCTCAGCTTCCTTATCCCCTCCTTTTAAAAGGGCTTGTCGGGGTATTGATATAGCGAGGCCGTGATAGGCTGTTGGCTAGTCTGACACCGTTGACACTGACGAGAAAAGCGGGGCCGCACAATCAGCGGTCTGCCTTTTCCTGGTTTAGCTTCCTCTACATTCCCGGCTTGCCAGCTCACTTCAGCCAGCTGCATCAACATCACCAAGCTATTGGCCATCAGCTGTCGCCTCATGATACTCTTCTGCATCCTCCAGCCATCACCAATAATGTGGCACGACATCCTACGCACTGTGACTCGATCTGCTGCATCGCCGTAGTACCGACTGTAGGGCAAACCATGAGCAACAAAGAAACCACTGGTGGCCAGTGAATGATGGCTCTGTTTGCATCGAGCAGCAATACCCGTCACATCATCATCGCCATCACTTGTGACGCATCATCATTCTCACATTGATTCTCTAGCAATGCTGGCCAGCCACCATTCTTCAACGCTGTTCGGCTGAGAATAGGGAAAAAAAAAAAACAATACATTGGCGTCCAACAGACATTGCTTCGCTGGGCTGGGCTGGGGCGCCACCTGGCACGCCGGGGTAACTAAAATATTCGCCGTTTTTTGGTGATGAAAAAAGCGGCGAACAGCTTCGTCACCCACTTGGTGCGACGGCTATTGTTCCCCACGCCCCTTTGCTCCGCGGATCCCTGCTCTTAGTGTCAGCGATATCGACTGTGAATATCGCCAACCAAAAAAAATGACAACGTCGAATGGGAAAATGAAAGAAAAATGCCCGAAAATTTCAGTGACTGGCCAGCTCGCCATGGATTCACTTTCTGCTAAGCGATGCGCCCTCAGCAGCCAATGCAAAGCCGCTCCTTGCCCTTGAGATGGAAAATCCCCTGACAAGAATCCCCAGTCTCCTCCCAGCCCACTTGGTGCTCGTTGGCACGCGGCTCTGAAACCACAACCGGCCTATCAGCCTATCACCACCATGTCACTCGATCTTTTCTTCATCTTCGACTGGCAGGGGGCCCACCTCTTCATGAAGTCCATTGATTTGAAACTGACATGTACCACATGTCACACTTCACTTTCCCTACTCATAATCGACAGCGCTTGTCGACGCCACTCAAACACGACCAACTACTCTCGTCCATGCTATTGGGTTATCAATTTAGCAGGTACCTGGATCGTCAGGAGACCAGCTGCCATTCAAAGAGCGCCGCCCTCCCTTTCGTCCCTCACTTCTCAGCATGATCCTTCACTTGTTTCCCATTGACTGCTCGCCAGCCAGCAGATGCCGCCCCGTACCTTGCTTCTGGATCCTCTAATTCGGGAACCCGGCCGCTCCCTGCTCTCGTTTCTTCTCACCTTGTCTTCAGCCTGTATCCTTCATCTTGTAAGTGCTGTCTGTCGTGCGTCGGGCTCCGCTCTCTCGATCTGGCATGCACATGCCATCATCGCCGTATAAGACGTACCAGCCGCCGCTACGTCAGATTTCGTCTCTTCTTTCCATCAGACTTTCCCTTGACTCTCATTCCTTCAATGAAAAGAGCCCGGATTTGCTCTCATTTCTTTCTTTTCACCCTCATTTCCAGGCTAGACCTTTGCCATTTGCACGTTTTCAACACTTTCTGCCTTTCGAACAGTAACGCGTCTGGTGCACGGTATCATTGATTCACTCGGTATTCCACGAAAAAGCTTCGACTAGATTGCACACTGGCTTTGCATTCTCCGTCTACTGGCCTTTGTAAGTCTTCATTTCTCCTACACTCAACGTCTCGTAGAGTGTCGTCTGTCTCGCTTGCCAAACATGGCAGATGCAGTTTTGCATGGCCCCCTTTGAGCCACTCGCGTGATCATAGTCTCCTTTGCGCCGCAAGCTAGAATGAACATGCACAAAAGCTTTTGCTGCCTGGCACAGATTCACGGCCCCAAATTCGTTATTTTACTAACATGTGACTCTTATAAAGACGCGAGACGTACTTCGAATAGCTCTGCCCACAGCAACTTCCACTCCTTTACTGAATCTTCGTCCGGCACGCTTGATTCTCACATTCATTTTCATTGAAAAACGCTGTACACAACTTCTCTTCGTCTTTCTTCGCCATCTCCGCAAGGATACATTCGCAACTTCTCTTCACGCAATTGCCAACCACAAAAGTCAACATGTTTATCAAGTCTATCGCCGTTTCTGGCCTGGTCACCGTCGCCACTGCTCACATCCTCATGACCAACCCTGTCCCCTACGGACTCAGTTCCCTCAGCAACGGTCCTTTGGCTGCGGACGGCTCTGATTTCCCTTGCAAACAACGCGAAGGTGTTTATAATGCCGAGGGCGCCAGCAACGTCTATGCCCAGGGCAGCAAGCAGCAGCTCGAGTTTCAAGGGACTGCTGTCCACGGTGGCGGTTCCTGCCAGGTTTCTATCACCACCGACCTCAAGCCCACCAAGAACTCCGTTTGGAAGGTCATCAAGTCGATCGAGGGTGGATGCCCTGCCAAGGATCAGGCCGGCAACATGGGCAACGACGCCAAGGCAAAAGTTCCTTACAAGTACGACTTTACCATTCCAGAGGAACTCGCCGCCGGCGACTACACTCTCGCCTGGACCTGGTTCAACAAGATCGGCAACCGTGAAATGTACATGAACTGTGCTCCCCTGTCTGTCACTGGCAATGCTGGTTCTCAGACCTTCTTGAATGGTCTTCCCGACATGATGGTCGCCAACGTTGGCGATGGCTGCTCGACTCCTGACTCGTCTGATGCCAAATTTCTCGACCCAGGCAAGGATCTTGACAGGTTCAACGGCAAGACTGACGCCTTCACTGCTCCCGTTGGCGCATGTGGAAAGACTGGGGCCCACCCCCAGCCGACTGCCTCCGGTACCGCCTCGGTCCAGCCTACTTCTGCTCGGCCGAATCCCTCTGTGTCTACGAGCGGTGGTAGTGCTCCTCCTTCCAGCCCTCCTGGTGGCATTTTCATCACGTCCCCTACGCCCCAACCTACGCCCACTCCGGCGCCCAGTGGTGGAAACTCTTCTGTCCCGGGCCAGAGCCCCAGCAAGCCCCCTCCCACTTCTGTCACTACGTCTACTCCTATCGCTACCGGACTTCCCCCTACTCCTACCGGCGGTCCTGTCCCTGGTAACCCGCCTCCCCCTAGCGCCGGCCATCCGCCCGGAGGTTCCTGCTCCTCTGAGGGTTTGTGGAACTGCATCGATGGCAAGTCTTTCCAGCGCTGTGCCAGCGGCAAGTGGTCTGTTCCCCAGGCCCTGTCTTTGGGTATGTCGTGCCAGGTCGGCGAGTCTGCCAACATCAAGATGGCCGGTGCCTCTCGGATCAAGCGTGCTATGCGCCGCAATCTTCACATTCGCCATTAGACCTCGCTTGTATTGCTGACGGCCGTTGACGTTTTTCCAAAATATATGCCCGTTGGTCGAGGGGTTCAATGAAACCGGCAAGGCTAAGATTCGTGTATATAGCTTTTGTTCCCATACATTCACTATGGTGGTGGTATTTTATTGAGGCTGATCATGGTGGGATTTGCACAGTTATTTATATCAATGCATCGTATTAAAGACGATACTTTTTTACTATGCATGTAATCATGTTGCTGTGAATTAACGTACAAGTAATTATGCACCTGACTCTTCTAAAGCCATGTGTGCTGCTAGCTCTCCTTTTTGGTTGATGATGTGCGGAAACGCAACCATGCCAAGCTTCCTTGGTCTCGTATCGCCTTTGCCCCCCCAGCCTCAGCCTGAGCTCCTCGTCCCGCATGTGACCTGTCCGCATGAGAACACATCCTGAAGGCTCCCCGCCGCTGCTGTTTCGCGCCAGCTCGACCATTGGCCTGCAGCGACGACGGCCTCCCCCCGGACAGCATGCAGGCGCTCCCGCGACACACTCTAAGCAGCAGCAGCAGCAGCGCCAGCATGGCGACGAAGCCGAGAAAAACCCTCGACCAGCGCCGAAAACGTGCAGTTGACCACGACGCCGTACCGCGCTGTGAAGACGCGCCCTTTGGACAAACTCTCCTCTCCTTCTGCTCGTCGGCGGCGGCGGGGGGGGGGGGGGGCTTGTCGACTAGAAGCTGGGCGTAGGCGACGGAGAAGAGCATCTTGTGCACAGCAGTGTAGGCCTCGGTCATGACGCGCAGGTCCGCCGCGTACTGGGCGATGCTCGCGGTGTAGTAGCCCGGCGCAAAGCCCACCCATCGGCGAGAGCGGGTGGCCAATGGACACCATTGGATAACCGGGAATAATGCTCAAGCAGTTTTTCGTAAAAGGGCAAAGTCCCGCGGAACAACTCAACCGGCGAGACGCCCCGCGCCGAGTAGGTACTGAAACAGCGGAGCTGTTAAACTCGGCTTCGGGGGAAGCGGGCTCCGGCGGCCCCCCCGGTGGCCTGACGCTCGCGTCGGACCGCCCGCCGCGTCGCCGTCGCCGACAACCACCGTAGCCGTCACGTTTTTTTTTTTTGCTTCCAGTAGCTTCGTCTCGCAAAAAAAAAAAAAAAAAAAAAAAAAAAAACGCCGCCAGCCCGGTCGCGCGGCCAGTCTCATTATGGAACAAACTGCCCCACGTGGCGAGAAAGGTGTTCCAGGCGGTGCGGCCGGCAGCCAGGCCCTTGGAGCGCGACTGGTCGGCCCACGCGGCTGTCCTGGTACCCAATGTTAGAGCATCTTGTAAAGGGGCTGCCTGGGGGAGTACCCGGGTGCGGCACAATGTCCGTGGCGTTGCAGCCGCGGCCGTCGAGGAAGCTCATCTTGACGGGGCCGTTGCGTGGCGGCATGGGGTCGGGCGTCTGCACGATCGGTCCAGTTTGTCGACGCGCTGGGCCGGCGAGGGGGCCAATGACGGCGATGGTGAAAAGGGACGAAGAGCGTACTGCGGCGTTGTAAAGGCCGGCAAGTCCTGGTTGAGCCAGGTGATGGCGTAGCCGCGGTTCAGGAACGGCTTGGCTGAGCGCGGTCGGTGGCCTGCGAGGCTGGGTCCATGAGGGCGAGGGGATACGTCATGTTGACTTTGCGGCTCGATAGCACCGGTGCAGTGCCATAGACGGCAATCTTGCATAGGAGTGAGCACCCAAAACACACAAAGACTACAATAGTCCCCGAGTGAAAGCTGGCCCAGTGCCTTTACGCACACTCGTGTCAGTGATTATCGGCAACAAGGAGCTTCTTATCCACCCACCTCTTCTTTGCCGCTCTAAACGGCACAAACGCTACAAAGGTTCACCGGATAGTCCAAAGAACAACGAGCCCGTCCCGTCGCGCCCTCGGGCTGGGAGAGCTGCAGCCAGGGCTGCATGCGCTTCACGTCGAGGTCGACCCAGTTCCACGCCCAAGCTGTACAAGACGGCGGTAAAGGTTGGCAGGTATAGATGCGCGAGTGGGGAAAGGTCGGCTGCTGCGTAGACGAGGCAGAGTGCACCGTCGGCTGCGCTCTTTTGGGCGAGAGTCTCGAGCAGCGCGCGGCGAGGAGGACGGAGGCGAAGGGCGAGGGCGAGGAGCACGGTGGGCTGCATCGTCTCGGGCTTCCAGCCGTGTGTGCGCACTAATTCGGTTAGTAAGTGAGAATTGCTGGTAAAGAAGGAAAACAAGATTGAGTAATGGGCAATTGAAAGTTTGGGCGAGGGGCAGTGTACCTGTGGGCTGGAGTTGGGCGTAGGCATCTTGTACATTGACAGTGACGGAACTTGCTCTTGACGAGGACGAAGGGATGAGAGCGAGATTAGCATGGTCGCTGGTAGTGGCTTCATCATTGACGGTGAGGCTGTGGAAAGAAGAGAGTCTGGTTGTAGTCCGGGTAGGGCCGTCCATGGTGATGATGCCGCGTCTCAGGTATATCCGCAATCCCTCTACCGCTTTAGAAACACAACCGCGACAAGCCTAACCAGAAACAGTAGCAACAGAAGAGCTAAAGTATAAGAGTTGTTAGAATAGGAGGCAAAAAAAAAAAAAATTATGTGCGAAGAAGAAGGCGTGTGAGAAACAGCTCAACCGCAGGGCTGTTCCGCCGTATACGCCCTCGACAAGCTGTTTCCGCCCGTCATAGGCCTAGTACTTTTTAAAAGCCCAACTCCTCTTTCTTTTCCAAAGCAACAAACAACTTCAAAATGCAACTTCTAATTCCACCTTTTCCCCCAGCGCTAATTAGAACCTCACTAATAATTAGCCGCTTCAACCGGTCAATGATCCATTTCCCCGAGCGGCCGGCCGCCTTGTACAAAACCGCTCTCCGTCCGGTCCCGCGCCAAGACAATCTTTATTTCCGCCACCTTATCCGTTTAAAAAAAAATGGGGGGCTTTTGAATAAATCCTTTCATGTTCATTGGGCCAAAACACTTTTGCAACTTGACAGCATTTCTAGTTTGTTCTAGCTAGCTAGCTAGCTGCATAATCCGTCAAGTTCTCGGCGCGCTCGTCTAAAAACAAGCCCACTACTTAGTCAACTTGGAACCGAACCCAATCAGCCTCTGCCACGACTGTCAAACCCCCTTCACTCACCAAGTATATTTGTCATATTACTAATAAAAATGTCACAAAAGAAAAGATTTACTCACTGCTTTTGGTTTTTGCTTTTAATATAATAATTACTCGTACGTGTGGCTGAAACTTGAACCAACATATCCGCATTAGCGTGGGCGCGTACAACACTTGACAACCAACCCCACGTTTCGACCATGATGGGCTGCGCAAATCGGACGCGTGGAATAGCCGCCCGGGGTTCCACCAGATCCTTGACCCAGCAGACCCTGTTGCATGATGAATGACCATGTGAATACGGAGTATACATGCATGAGATAGATCAGCCAATCTTAAGAATATTAGGGGTTTGCTTTGCGCTACAAGTCACCATATGCTTGGCAGGCGTGCTCGCAGCCACTACTTAAGTAGGCACACCACACGTAGAGAGAGAGAGTAATGCAACATGATATATATTCTACAGGCGGGTCAAACATGGGCCACTGTCCATATCATACAAATTCGGCAGTCCTGGAAGACCTCAGCCTAGTGTCTACCACGGATAAATAATAATCATCCCGTGCGTGCAAATCCTTCCTGCGTGGCCTGCCCAGTCTTGCAAGGCCAGTATACTAGATATAAAACTGATAGAATAAAACAGAGGCCTCGAAATACCCCGTTGCAAGTCAGCGACACCGTAAACGCCAAAAAAGAGCAGTTGGTATTATACGTCGGGCCCGAGACATGTGCCTCGGCCTCGCGATACCATGAAGTCATGCAATCATATTATTCGAGCCCCCCTCCCAAAATGCTGCTTGTATACACTTTAAATATCAATCGTCTTCATGGCGCCATCGGCAACTTCGGGTTGCTTGCCGTTGGCCTTGGGAGGCTCGTTTTCCTTGTCTCTGATGAGGTCGGATTCGCGGCGGGCGGCCAAAGGCGTCGTGGCGGCGCTGACGGGGCTTTTGGGGTCCTGGCTGCTTCGGAGCGAATCGGCGTCTTCGTCAACTTCGACGAGCGTGCTGGGTTCAATCTCGGCGTCGGCCAGGATGGGCATCACCATCTCCTCCGTTACCCTACTAAGAGGCGGGGGTTTTCCGAATCCGCGGCGTCCGGGGCTGGTAAGGGGCGACGAACCCTTGAGGCGCTGCATGGAGCGACCGCGGGCGTCACCGTTGGAAGCGTCGACAGGGCTGGTGTAGGGTGAGCCGGAGCGGCTGCCTAGGGGTGATGCGGCCTTGGGAGACGCCATAGACCTCCTCTTGCCGGCGCCGGCAGCCCGGCGGCCGTATTTTTGGTCCATGCGCCATCGCAAAATGTTAAAGTACGACGGCTCAATGCGAGTCTCCTTGAACTCACGCAGCTTGAGCTCGTTGGTATCCTCGTCGACGTACCACTTGCCCGAGTTGAGATCGTCGGCGACAAGAGCTAGAAAGGCGCCCCAAGAGCGGGCAACAACGTATTTGGTGTCGTAGTCGCGGCCAAAGAGAATGATCTGACCCCAACGGCCAGCAGGACCTGGGCAAAGGTCGACAGCCAAGTTGTTACCACCCCAATCGCGAACGAGGGGGATCCAACCAGAATGCGCGTAGGCCTTTCGAATACTGTTGGCGGGAACACAATCCTGCTTTTGAAGCAAGTTTTCTTGCCAGGCATCGGGATTGGAGGAAGATGACGGGGGTCTTTGGTGTGAGGAGCTTTCGCCATTATCCTGGCTTGAGCGGCGAGGAGGAGGGCGGTTATTGGCAGCGTCCAACAAGTACTGCTCGTTGACGCGTCTCCAAGTTTCCCACTCCTGAACAATCTCCTCGGCGTCCATGAGCATACCGCTAAAGATGATACCGGTGGGTGTGCCGCCGCGTTCTTGACCGTCATGGACCATGAGAGAGTCACGAACATCCTGGGGGAGGGAGCAATCGAGCTGGTGTTCGAGGTCGTTGAGGTCGTTGATGGTGCAGCCCTCGCCGAGCTGGTCAAAGAGCTCAAAGTAGTGTTCCTCGGCCCAGGTGTCGATGCGGTGCCACGAATGTTGAACGGGGGGAGGCGGGGGGAGTCCGTCGGAAAAAGCCTGCATCTGAACATCTCCCTGACCCTGGACCTCGAAGCCGTCGGCGTTGGTCTGTTTGGCGACGGAGGAGCGGAGGCCGGGGGAGTAAGAGCTGTTGGGAGTGGAAGAGCCGCCATGGCCTTCGTAGCGGGTGGAGACACCTTCGTCAAAGTAGGGGTTGGAGACGTCGGCGCGGGAATCCGAGGCAGTGGCGACGCCGGTGAGCATGCCAGATCTGCTGTCACGGAGCGGAACGTGACGGCCGGTTCGTTGGGGCGAGTCAAACGAGGAATCTGTTTGCCGAGGGGTTGGCGGTTAGCAGTCGCAGCGTGTTTGTGGTCATCTGAGGTCGCTTACGTCGGTCATAGGTTGTCATGGTGTGCCAAAACGACTTCAAGGCGGCACTGAATCTATTGACCATGTGATTAGCAGTCGATATCGGCAGAGATTGACGACTTGCGCGCATTGCAAGGGGTGACAAGGGGTGCATACGAGTTCGCCATGTTGGGCGGAGTGGTGATGACCAAGGCGCGGCGAAAGTCGTTGTCGATGTCGAACGGTGTGTTTTGCAATGATTTAGAATAAGCGACCAAAGAGAAAAAGGCCGGATGCGTATCGAGGTCGCCGGGTGATCGCAAGGGGTGTGCGGATGTGTACTGAGTGCCTTTGTCGCGGTCGCGTCACAATTGGGCGAAAGCTATGCGGTGTGCGGCGTGGAAACGACGGCTAAAAGTTGAGACAGTGGCAGAAGGATTTGTGAACCGGTTCCAGCCAAGGCCCGGGCAGTTGCAGAATATCAACGAAAGGAGGCAGCGGCGGTTCTGTCAATAACGAGGTAAGACAGAATCAAGGGCCCGTGGCTCGATGCCGCTATATGGACGGACACAGGGGGCGAGACGGAGAGGGAGGAGGTGCAACGAGGTGCCCTGGGCGCAAGCCAAGGCGGGTTGCGCGTTGCGCAGCGAAAAAGTGTGCTGTTGGCGTGCTGAGCGGCGCAAAGACAAAGAGCAATACACTAGAAAAGAAAAAAGAGTGAAGGAAAGACGCAAAAGTCGGCCTTGGGGGGAGATTATTGGCACAAGTAAAAAGGTAGAAGATGGGGAGAAGCGAAAGGCGGCAGCAAGTGGTGGCACCAGGGGAGGCACCAGGGGAAGCACCAAGATGGATGAGGATTGGAGGACGGGAGATCACAGCCGATATTTAGGGGGATACTCGCATCAAGGTGGAGCTGCCGTGTGGACAGAAGTATCTTTTATCTGTGGATGATTTTCCAGCCCATTTTAAAATCCCAGCTTTTTTCGTTCTGATCTGGTAGATACTTTGTTGCACTACCAAATGTGGTGCTGAATTAAGTATCAGACGTTCGTCATTCACTCTCTCAACCTGGCGGCCTGCCTCATGGACAAGGTGCTGTGGCCCTGGCGCTTTGCCCGCTGAACCTCCGCTGGGGAACCACCAACTAAAAAAAAAACGCCCCAGTCCGGTGTCTTTTAGCAGCCTTTAACTGGACGAGCTACCCAACTACTGTGGGTAATGGTGTGGGGGTCTGCCAGGTACCTCGGGCCTGTTGCCTCCATGGTGGATATTGCGTGTACCTTTCCTATTCTCTGCCTTCTTTTTTTTAAATAAGAAAGCCGGATAAACCACAACATTTTCTCCATTGAGCGAGAAAAAATAGCCCTGCCAAGAGATGAGACCCCGTCCTCGTAAACAATCTATTAACATGGATGACTGAGGGACGGCCATCTCTTTGCCAACTCGCACTGCCTTGCACAAGGCGGTGCTCTTGTCTAAACCTATCAGCGTGCTCCATTCCCTGCTCCTGATGCAAATTCACTCCGTCATGACGGCCTGCCAGCCTGTTTTTCTTTTTTCTTTCCTGTTTTTTTTAGCCCTCTTCAAACATTCCTGCAAGCCTACAAGCCACACTGCTGTTGCCCTAGACTCCAAGAGGGGTAAAGGACCTCCGCCATCGTCAGGCTGCAGCAGAACCCGCCGCCACACGTTCCTATTCCTTGGCTGCGAAAGTGACGGAAGCGTGGAATGTTGCGCCGCCGCCAAAAAAAAAAAAACGTTATAACCGACCGTGGCCGAGCCTTAGTCATCCCCCAATCTCAACTCTGAAACAGCTAGGGATTGGTTCATGATCCGAAATCTTGTTTTTCGTGTAATTGCAGCCCGTTGGTAGAATATTCAGATGATCAACATGGAGGCACGTAGGCTTTTATCGTTTGTTTTTTTCTTGACTCAATGGCCTCCTTTCACAGCAGTCCACTCCATGCATCGTGCATAAATTACATCTCCCCGTGCATAAACAAATGATCAGAGGCATGGGGGCACCCAAGGCCGCAAAAGGAAAACCCAACAAGCATTCATGTATAACCGAAGCTGCTTCTAGCTAGTCATGGTCCCCTTTTTTTTCAGCTTTCTTGGTCCTGGCTACCCGCTTCCTCTGCCTCCACAATTCGTCCTGGAGAGAGACGCCTGATTCAGGACTAGAGCGTTTGCCGCTCGGCAACCCGGGCACGATGCAACTCGGGATTGAAAAGTAAAAAAATGAGAAAAAAAGAATCGTCAGCTCATATTAGAAACCATGTGCGCTGTGGAGTGGCTCCCTCCTATGCCTTATGCCGTGTTTCATCTTAGATGAGACGGACCAGGGTCACCTCGATATATCATATCATCAATGGGACTGTGGGCGACAAGGAATCAGTCGCATGCCAAGCTGAAAATCTAACATTGAATAAGGAGTTGAACCTGTCTTCATATTTTCATCGACTTTTTTCTTATTACCTACTTCTCAATAAAGTTACAGTAATGAAAAGACAAAACAGATACCCTCAAGTTGACGCATCACGAGCCAAGCCAATGAGTATAGGCCGCGCTTACTCACGCCTTCTCGCTAAACTCTTGTAGCTTATCCGCCAGCTGCCTCTTCGCCGCCGCCGCCAGTCCCCTGTCCGGGCTCGCCACCTGCTCGCTGAAGCACAGCTCCAGCAGCACCTTGAGCTCCTCGTACGTAAACGTGTTGCTCGCCTGCGCCGCGCCCGCCTCCTCTCCCATCTTCTTGTCCCTGTCCTCCTGCGCCTTCTCCAGCACCGCCTCCGCCCCGCGGTCCAGCAGCGCGTAGTAGTTGGCCGCCCGCGCCAAGTCCACGCCCTGCTCGACATTCTTGAGGTTCTGCTGCAGCACCAAGATATTGAGCTGCATCCGCCTGCTGCCCTTGGCGTTGATGGGCGACGCCATGCCCGCGTTGCCCACCAGGTACGCGTTGGTGAGCAAACCTAGCCCCGTTCGCAGAAACGAAATCTCCTTGGCTCGCAGGTACCGCGCAATCGTTTCGTCAAAAGTGACCAGCTCCAGGTTCAGGCTCAAAATCGCCGGGTCTGGCTCTCGCACCTCCTGCTCCAGTAAATAAGTCGCCATATCGGGCGACAGCACGTTGCGTAGCGAGTGCACGATGCGGCACCGCACTTCCATGTGCAGCGTCAGTAGCGCCGTTCCCGCCAGCTCTTCGTACGACGACACTATGCTGTCAAACGTCCTGTGCATGATTAGCATTTCCCACGTGGCATTGTTTCATTGATAGCAGCGACATACTGTACAGTGTCCACGGTGAGCGGTAACACAACGGGGCCGGCATCGTTCGCCGCTTTATGGGCATCGTTCATCAACGTCCAGCGTCTGTTTGCCTGTCGCGTCATGCTCTGGCGTGAAGAGTCCGTCTCGTGCGCGGTGATGTGTCGTAGGCCCGTGATCCTCGTCGCCAGCCACTTCATACTCGTATAAAGCAGACACAGCGACGTAATCGTCTCTCTATCTTGTATAATATCATTTGGCTCCAGCCGTGTCTCGTTGGTGTGCTCGATCAACAGATGAATCTCCTTTTCGCCCAGCGCCTTGTCCTCTTCCTCCGACAGCCACATCTGCTTCATGACTTCGTGGATCTCCCCAGGCTGTACTGCGAATCGCGCCGACGCACGTAGATTGCTAGCGTCGTTTGTTTGCTCTTGTGTTTTGGTCACGAGCAGCTTGTACCAGTCAAAACATCGCTCATAATATCGCATCATCTGTGTCACTAGCAGTGAGCTGAGAGCCTGATCGGGTGGAATCGTGCCCAGCATTCTGCAAAACGCCGTGACAATTTGGAAAAATGACGTGGTTCCTTTGAATATTGGCAACTTTGAGTGTTGGCCCCAGTTTGCATCTTGCGCAAACGAATCCATCTCTGCCAGGATGCTGTCGCTGAGCTTAGTGAGCGTCTCGTCCAGCTGCGGCTGAAAGACATTAACCAAAAAGTTGTCCAGAAACGTCGTAAGTGTACTTGTCGCAAGGTCAGAGCCCGGCGGTACAATCGTACGAAGGCGTTGCAGGAAGAGGAGTGTTGGTGGTAGAAGCAGACTCATGTTGAATACGCTAGGCTCGACCAAGGGTTTGTGAGTGCCCAGAAGCTTGCTTTCGCTCGAGTAGCCGCCGAAAGTGTGTCGGCGTGCACCTGCTTCATCAAGGCCCAGCCTGTCCCGCCGTTTATCCACACCGTGCTTGCGATCATTGCCAGTCAGTCCAGGCACCGTGGCCTGCACAATGCCTTCTAGAGCGTCATACTCGGTGCTGATGTCGATCGACTTGGTATCAATCTCGGCGAATTTGAACAGGTGTTCGCGCGTCGAGTCTTTTTTGTTGTTGAGCGACCCCCCAGGGTTTGGCGAGTCAAACTGGAACACGTCTGCATCAGTTGTGACATAATTGCGCAACAACGACCGAATCTCATTTTGATACAGATTCCAGAGCTCCTTGAAGCTTCCCAGCAGCGCACTGTTGTTGCCTGCTCCTTCACGCCGAATCAAGGCCTTGATCGACTCGTGGAAAACTCGGTGACCTTCGCCAATAGCTTCAAATTTAGCAAAAAGACTCCATAGCAAGTCATGAATTACTTCGGCGCGCATCTGTGTCTCACGAGAGTTGTAAATGTTGAGACCCTCTGGCTTTGTTGTTCCTCCTCGCAGTGAGCTGGGGTGGCGCTGATCAACTTCGTTGTTGGTCTCGTTGGCAATGGCGAAAAGCTCAACAGGCATTCGCTGCTTCAGCGATTCGACGGCATTTTGCAGTCGGCCAAGCTTGTTTAGCGCTTCAACCAGCAGGGCAATGTAGTAAAAAGTATCGGCCTCGGGGTTCTTCATGGGATCCTCCGTCACTGCCTTTTCAATGTCCATACTGTCCAGGATGCTGTGAAATGGTAAATTCGAGTCTGTATCCGTGAATTCATCCGTGAAAGCGCCCTGCGTCTTGTAAAGACTCTGCCAGCGCTCTTGACAATAGGGCGACTTAAGATAGAGGTGCTCGTGTAATTCTTCCACCAGAATTTCCATGAGCGCCGTTTCCTGGTTCACCAGATAGCTCCGCAGGTCATTGAGCGCGCCAATATCGTCGAGTTCCGGCCGCCGGAGCTTTCTCAGCGCATTCTGAAGCACATCCACCGCCGCCAGGAACCGCTTCTCCGATATGCGCGCCTCGAGCTGATCAGGCACCGCCCGCAAGTCATCTAGCTCGTTGAGCGTCTGCAGCAGGTCATCATACGTCGCGGAAGTCTCGGACAGTTTTCTGAGCCCGGGATCGGTTGAGCAGAGGCTGGACGTGGCGCTGGCCAGCGACTCTTTGAGAGCGCGCACGCGTCGCTGCGAGCCCTGGATGCTGCTCTGGATCTTGTGAAAGGTGCCAATGGACGAGTTGAAGCCCTGGTGGTGCTCGTGCACCGTGTTCTTAAGCGAGTCCTGCAGGTAAGCATGCGTGTCCTGGAACCTGCGGTAGTCGTGCGCACGGCCCACGGAGCTCGCGTCGAGCAGCTGAAGCGCCAGCTGCACGGGGACGCAGTCCTCGCTACACAGCGACGGCCACTCGACCCGGATATGCTCCAGCACCTGCGTAATCTGCCGGTCCGCCGTCGACTGCGTCATCCGCGGCCGCGAGGGCATGCTACGCACCACCGACGGCGGGCCACCGCTACTGCCGACCCTCTCGCCGCGCTCGCCTCGCGGTGGAGGGGGCCCTTGCGACGACGGCGGATTGTATCGTTCGCCCCGGCCGTTGTGTCTAGGGTCACCACCGTACGAGTCATATTCCTCTTCGGGCCTGCCAAAGTTGCCGTATCCGTTTGCGCCGCGGCTCGGCGGCGCTGCGTATCGATTCGACATGATGGGCGTCGATACGTGTTGTCAGGGGTCGTGTCGCAGCTGTCACGAGGGCGTTGGCACTGCCGCTCGCATGATCCTTCCAAACCAGCTCACAAATCGAGTGCGTCTCGCTGCAGGTCGTCACGCTGCGTCTATACTTGTGTGGTGAATCGCGAAGAATGGTGATGTTGGACGGAGCTCAAACGTGGTGGTTGGGGTTTGGGGTGTTGCCTCACTTAAATTTAGCGCGAGCCTACTTTCGTCCTGCAGCTGCACCCCGCATCCACCGGTACTGCTGGCACTGTTGGTTGGGAAGAATACCACTCGGATTTAGAAAAGAAATTCTATGCTGAAGAAAAGAAAACAAAGAAAGAGAATTTGCATTGATAGCATCAAGTATTATGCAGGATCCTGCGATCAATACTGCTGGAATTGCCAGTTGAACAACGTGTTGATTAAACAAGGCTACCTTCCCTGACTATGTATGCTATTCTCAATTTGCGACAAGAGACTGGATGCACATAACGCCGAAAATGAAGTATAGACTGTGAAGCTAAATTGAAAACGGAGTATGCTCAGCTGCTCCCAGACTGCGGCGCATTGCTACCTGCTGCACCACTTGCACCGCTTGCACCGCCTCGCAGATTGATCTGCCCAATCCGGGAGACAATATTGCTGCCGACAGCGTCAACCGCACCTCGAGGCGAGGATAGTGATGGACCAGTGGGCGCAGTTTCTTGAATGCGGAACAGCTTGACAGCTGTCCCCGTCCATATACCGGAAGTTCCCTTGGCAATCTGCATCTCACTTGCATAGACGATGCCCCAGAGCATCGACTCGTACCAGCCTAGTGATAGCGGTGACCATTCAAAGGACTGTACCTTGATTGGCGATGCCTCGATACCGACAAGGTCAATTTCCCGTAGACGTTGCATATTTTCGGCAGAAAACATGTCCTGGCCGGCCTTCCGCGGCAGGAGACTTGTTACTTGCTGGATAACAGTGAGAAACGTGTGCAAAGGCAGTTCTGGAAGCCAGCTTTCTATCCAGTATGCTGATGGTTCAAAGGTGCCACTAGCACTCTGCCCAGCCGCAGAGTAAGCACCCAGACTTGTCGCGCTATTTTGTCGGGAAAAAGACCTCGAGCCAGCCGGCATCTTGCCTCTAGCCTTCTCTGACATGCCGCGCAGCTGCACGGGTACAGAGTCGTCGGCGTTTGGTATCGAGGATGTCTGCGACTGATTCTCGCTGGTAGTGGACGCAGCAGGAGTTGCTTGTGGCTCGTCATCGCTATCATCGTCATCGCCAACGGCGAATGCATTATCCTCGACAACTTCCCCCAGGTTGTGTGCTTGGCCTACAACCGGGCTTCTTGTAGGCTCCAAGCTATCGACCGATGTTCGTCGAGATGCAAAGCCAGTGGTATCTCCGTCTCCGCTTGTGTCTTTGCGTCGTCGATTCCTTCGCTCAATTTCTTGCAGGCCGCTCTCGAGCGTAAATGTTCTCAGACTCTCTATTGGCTTCTTGTTTTTGAGAATGGCCGCCACAAGTTGAGGATTTTCCTTATACTTGTGTTCGATGATTGTGCTGATGGACTCTAGTAGAGATCGCAGAAGAGGATGGTTGGTTTCATTGGCTAGAAGGAATGATGGCGAAGACATGAGAACAAAGAGGTGCATGAGTTGGGAGCTACCTGATGCGCTCAGATTCTCGACATATGGGGCAATGTTGTTGATGATTGCGAGAAGCGCCGGATAGATCGCAGTCAGTCCGCCTTGACTTGTAGTGATGAGAGTGTATATAGAGTGTATGAGAAAGTCGGCATAGGAGCCGTCAAATGAATTGATTCTGATACCGGGCGGGAGACTTTCCTGACCGACAAACTTTTTATTCAAATGAAGGCCAAAGTTCTTTTCCACGCTCATTGTCTGTAGCAAAAATGCGCACATACGGACAATGCCTTGCTTGGCCGGATCGTTTTTGTACTCGATGGCATAAAAAAGCGTCAAGACGATAAAGTCGTGCGCTCTGTCCGTGTCAATGACAAAGGCGCGGAATCTTTTGTTGCATTGTATCATTTCCCAGAACAACATCAGCATCTCTGCTGACAAATTTATTGACGCGTGAGTTCCGGGAAGATATGATGTTTTGTCTTGGAGGGGCTGCGTCAGGATCCGCGAAACGCCATCCACTATAAACTGAAAATCTTGGGGGCGATGCAGGCGTCCCAGGAAATGGCGATAATGATTCTTTCTCGAAGACGCATCAACGTGTTCAGGTACAGTATAGACGAGCGTCGCCAGCAGCAAGTGCAGTGACTGAGTCACGAGCAACTGCTTGGTGTCGCGAATTATAAGCGAGTTGTAGGGCACCCGCCAACTTGCAGGGTGATATTTGAGAGTCTTTCACGTGTTAGAAAAGTCCTCAAAGTGCTGCGCAGTTTGCCTACCGTGTTCAATAAAGAGCAGAGCACCGAGAGCACAACCTGCTTATCTGGGTTCGTGCATAGGTGTGTCAGAGTTCGCACTCCACTTTGCGTCAATGTTGGGCTGCTCATATATAGACCGCGACCTGCAAGAGCCAAGATCAACCTCAATAGCTCGCATCTATTGCTCTCAAACTCTTTTGTCGTTGGTACTGCAGTGTTGCAGCCCACGCCACTCTGCCATATCGCATACGTCACCTTTGGCCGACCGGGTTGCTGTTTGGGTATAGTGAATTCGGAAAAGAAAAGCATGTCAACCAAGGTATCAAGGAGCTCCTCAGCGAGTGGCTTTGCGTCTTCGAAATGCGTTTTGTCGCCTTCCGTCTCTTCCTTGTCGTCTCTCGATTCGTCAAACAGCACTTCGTTTGCGATGGCACCCTGGCGGGTTCTCCTCTTGCGGCTTCCCCAGAAAAACTGCTCCTCCCAGGGGTGAAGGGATTCTTTTTCATAGAGATAGGGTAGTACACGGGTCAAGACCCGGACGCAGTTGAGCGCTTCTCTCTCGGGTGCCAGATCATTGTCTGGAAAGGACGGGTGATGGCGGAGAACGAAGAGACGAGACGTCAAGGCGAGTATAAGAGTTTCGATATTCTCAAGGGCTTGGTCGCGACTTCTTCGAATATCGGCGGGGGAGAAAAGGCTGAATACATCCTCTGAAGACTCGGGAAGCTCCCAAAACTGTTCTCTTGGTTAACTAGGTGCTAAGCCACACAGCTGAACGAGTCGTCATACCGAAGTCCAGTATTCGTCGTCGGCTGGAATATTTCGCTCCTCGGAAAGCCGAAAGATCCCCCGCTTGAAGACAATCTTGGAGTCACTGGCCCCCATGATGCAATAGACAAAAGCCAGTTGTTATAATTTATGGCAGATTGTCGTCGGATGCAGCTCCAGTAGCATGCTTGACGCTAATGAGACAGGACTACGTGGATTTGGCGGAGCTGGGCCGCCAGGCCAATCACTAGCTGCCTTAGTTCTCCACTCCATTGTCGCCCAATACCAGCCGCCCAAAATCATCAATGCGACTGGGGATGTCGATATCGATAAGCTCCGTGAAGGTGCTGGAAATTTGCGCCAGTCGAGACTGAGCTCTGCAGTTCCTATAACACCGAATTCGCGAGAACCAGTATTTGCATCGCAATGCATCGTGCAAGATGCCGGGCGGCTGGCCAAGTGCGCTTTGCAAGCAGGCCAGTGTGTCTCGGCTCATGGCTCTCTCCAGGACGCGTCGCGCTCTTCGCCACTTCGCAGCCACGCAATGCGACAACATCGGAAAAGAACGCTGCCGAAGTGCCGGCCACCAGCAAAGAGGGAACGGCTTTTGGCTCCTGGTCCAGTCTCAAACAAAAACTACGACATACCCTGGCGCCATCGACAGAGGAATCTACGACATCGCCTTCAGAGTCTCTAGAACCCGAGGCCGAGCAAACACCCAATTCACCGTCAAAGTCTGCGTCAAAGTCCAGCAAGCCTGCCAAGTCTAGCAAGTCTTCTAAGACATCCAAGTCCTCCAAGGCCTCGAAACCCGCCAGAGCTACGAAAACTGCCAAACCTACGAAAATCGCCAAAGCTGCTAAATCCGCCAAGTCAGTAAAGAAGGGTGTCAAGAAGACGAAAGAATTGGTCGAATTCGAAATCATAACTCCCAAGGCTTTGGAGCTGAAACCAATCGATCAAGAGACACGCGAGATTCCAATGCTGAGCTACGGCCTCGACCGCGTACTCTTCAATGGTGGCGTGTATCGAATGCAAGATGCCCGAACAAACGTTTATAATTTCGATCCGTACCTCGCGTCCATCATGCCAGTGGACGAGTTCGATTACGACGCTCTCAAGGAATATGTCACGTCATCCAAGGATAACAAGCTCAACGATCTCGCGAAGCAGCATGGTAAAAAGTACAGTGGTTCCACCTCGAGCATGACGGCTATTCTCTCCCACCTTCATTTCCTCATCTCTGCTTGGAGATCTCCCAATCTCGATCACTTATCAAGAGGGTGGACCCCGGAGTCTCACAACTTCACCATGTTGACCAGAGGTCCGGTTGCCGCGTTCATAAAATACAATGACGGAGCGTACTCTATCGATTCCGACAAAGAATATGACCACGAGAATATACTGAGCACACTCGGAAAATCTATGGAAAAGCTACTCACGCTCCCGAAAGAAGAATACGAAAAGTACAGAAAGACAAAATCCCACGAATTGACCGAGGAAGAAAAGAACGCAGACGAGGCATATCACTATACTACCTTTGGCGATTTTATGATGCGATCGCAACTGGACGCTCACGACCCAAGATTGCCCGGCACTGGCGTTTTCGACCTCAAGACAAGAGCCGTTGTGACCGTTCGAATGGATGTTCAGGGGCATGAAAAGGGTGTCGGCTACGAAATTCGAAAGCAATTCGGCCAGTGGGAATCCTTTGAAAGAGAATACTACGACTTGATTCGATCTGCGTTTATTAAATACTCCCTTCAAGTTCGCATGGGACGTATGGATGGCATTTTTGTCGCGTACCACAACACGCAGAGAATCTTTGGTTTCCAGTATATCTCTCTGCCAGAAATGGATCATGCTATTCACGGGCAATCGGATACAACGCTAGGCGACCAAGAGTTCAAAGCCAGTCTATCAATGTTGAATGATCTACTAGACAGAGCTACGAAGAAATTTCCGGCGAGGTCATTGAGGGTCCATGTAGAGACTCGACCAACGAACGACCCCATGACATACTTCTTTGTGGAGCCTGTTACTGATGAGGAGATGCAAAGAATCCAAGATTTCAAGAAGGCATCAGTGGACAAACTGAAGGAGGAGATTGACGAACTAAGTAGCCAGGAAATGGCTGCTGAGATTGGCGCTACTGAGAATGACGTTGCTGGAATTGCCGCTCCCGAAGCTCTCGCTGCCGAATCTGTTGTTACCGAAGCTACCGCCGCGGATGAGAGTGAAAATGCTGAAGAGTCGGAATCTGCTGAGGAAGACGATATGGACCAGGAGTTCCAAAACGAAATAGCATGGCAGGAAGTCATGGACCGCGTCAGCGAGGCAGTGGACAGCGAATCCCTGGGTATACGTTCTGTACGGGACGCTGTTCAAGATGCGTTGACTCACGGCGGTCTATTGGAAGGCAAAACGGAAGTGGAAAGCACGAAACACATTGACGATTTAGTGGCTGCCCTGACAGCACACTCCCAAGAGAGCAAAGAGTTGCAGAGCGCCTCCGAGGAAGAGCCAGTCGATGCTCAAACCGGCGATGAGACGCCGCTGAAGGATTTACTCTTGCGCGTGACAGAGGGTATTGACGAAAACACGGCCAATCTCAACGATTTCCAGCGCATTTTTGCTGGCTTATCCGAAAAGCCCGCTGCGGACGAAACTGTCGACTCAGAGGACTCAGAGGCTGACGCCGACGCCGACGCCGACGTCGCCGAGACGAGCCAGAACACGCCCAAAGAAGAGTCCTCGAAAGAGCTACTCGGCCTCTACCTCACCATCCGCAACAAGGTGGACGGCAAGTTCGTCCCCCGTCCAGAGCGCCTAGGTCCCAACAGCGAATGGGAGGTGCAGTACGCCGTGCGAGAGATGAGCGACGATCGCGCCCAGCGGCTCTACAAACAAATCAAGACGCGCCGAAGGAAGATTCTTGATATTGACGCGGCCGAGCGCGCGTCGTCGTGGCATCGCATGTTTGAGGGCAGCCTGCCCGCTCTCAGCAAGAGCGGCGCGTCGTACCGCGCGGAACGCATGAAGGAGGAGGAGGAGGCGGGCATCCGCGTGGCCTGGGAGCGAGACCCGAGAACGTCCCCGTAGCGGATGATGGGAAGCGCATGGGGGGATGAAGCGCCTGCATTGGTCGAAATGGGCCGCGCTGGATCTTGTTGTTTTGTATAATGAAATGTGTACATTATTTTGTATTTCTCCACACAGTTGATGCCCTGTATCGTCCAACAGCTACACGCGGGCCAAGATACAAAAGCGATTTGATTATATTACTGTACAATGGTTTCCAATTCTAGCAGAACCGGTAGCCTCAGCTCTCGAAGAGTCGCAGTGCAAGCCGCCTTTTCTTACCCAGATTGCTTAACCCTCACATGTTTAGGCGCATTCATCGAAAGACAAAATTGAAGCATGCGAGCATGCGAGAATAAGGCGAGGTTGGCACTGACATGTCAGCTAAAAGTGACGACCGGATCTTACCGAATGATCCTTTCGCATCACAAGACTTGATAGAGGTGAGGGGAAGAGGACTCAACATTCGAGATCCATAGTTCTTCGTTAGCTTACTCAAATGCTATGTTCTCTGCTATTCTTCGTTATATCTTGTCTCTTCTTTTACCCCCAGTAGCGTCGGGACAATACTGAGCATGGGCAGACCACTTTCACGATGAACCTAGTAAGCACGCATTATTAGCAATTGTAGGCTGCGTGAGGCCAGCTTTGCCCCCCTCTCCACATTTGTCCGCCCGCGAAAGCCGAATAGCCCACCGTTGAAGTCACTAATTCGTTGAGAAATACGGTAATTAATTTTTGTTATGGAACTTTGGTGTCCGAGCTTTAGTTCGTGGACCCGGTTGACCTGCCGAAATCGTCCAACGCCGTTCGTAACACGCCTTGCCACTCTGATGCAATAGGTCAAGCGATTAGTAAAAAATTACACGCCGATGATCCCTGCACGTACCGAGATAAGGGGAGCTGATGGAGAAGAAATAACCCAGGGACGACTTTTGGTTTGTTGAGAAGAGTGCCCTATTATCCGATGTAGCATCGGCGCTATCAAGACAATACGAGGAACGGAAGTGTTTATGTGGGGAGAAGGTCTAAAATCTACAAGGTCTGTTCAGAATAGGAAGCGATGCGGTAATACGAAGCTGCATTTGACAACTTAAAACAACCGGATATACGCATAGTTCAGTTGGGCTGATATGTGAGGCATGGGCCCCGGGGCGCCTGCAACTGACCGTTAATTCCCAACGATGGCGACTATAAAGAGAACTACACTCCTCTCCCGTCAAGGAGACTAGTCCCGGGCTTGGTCACGCTCAGTAATTCGTGTGGCGTGAATTACAGATTCATCATCTCATCATGAAGCTCAGCTCGATTGTCGCGAGTGGCTTCATACAAGTATGCTTTGCAGCAGCACGGAGCAACTTCAAGATCCACGAACAGCGCCAAAACGTGCCATCGGAATTCTCCAAAACCCGAGAGGGCGATGCTTCAGCCCCTGTCAATGCCCGAATCGCTCTCAAGCAGAACAATATTGAGAGCGCCGAGACCTTGATACACGAGCTGTATGTAGTCATATGCTTGGCAAAGCAGAGAATCCTGCAGAGGCTAAAATTTCAGCAGCTCCAATCCAGACTCGCCAAAGTTTGGGCAGCATCTTTCCCCTGAAGAGATCACGAACCTCTTTGCCTCGAGCAACGAAACAATCGACAGCGTGCGTCAGTGGCTCATTACATCCGGCGTACCATCCGGATCTATTCAAGTTCCCCCTTCAAAGACCTGGATTCATTTCAACACCACAGTTGGAGAATTGGGACAACTGCTTCAAACTCAGTATCACGAATACACCAGCAGAAACTCAAAAGGTGTCTATCTAGGCACCGAGTCTTATAGCCTGCCGAAAAACATCTCGCCTCTGGTCGATTTCATTTTGCCGGCTACCTCATTCACCCAAATACCGAGATCTGCCGTCTTCATGAACAAATTGCAGAGTAATGTCACTGTAGACCCAGGTCAGTCTTCAAAAAAAGGCCTACAGAGGCTATCACACAATATTTTAGAATTCAACTAATAATCTTGTTATAGACTCCTTGGAAACATGTGACAAGAATATAACTCCAAAGTGCATCAGGGCTTTATACGGTATTCCTGTTGCTACTCTCAAGGACAAAAGCAACGCCCTGGGTGTGTTTGAGACTGACGACATGTCCCACAGCCAAGAAGACATTGACCAGTTCTATCGCGACATGAAGCTGGATATCCCTCAGGGCTTCGGGCCTGAGACTGTGAGCATCAATGGTGGAATAGGGCCTGTGCCGCAGAAGGATGCTGGTGTCGAGGCGGACCTAGACATGCAAATTGCGCAGCCACTCATCTACCCGCAGAAGATCCTCAACTACCAGGTCAAATACTCATACAGCAACACCACAAACTTTAACTACGTCTTCAACGATTTTCTCGACGCCTTTTCCGGACCTTTTTGCAAGGATAACGGCAACGAGGGCAGTGGAAAGCAGTGCAACAAGTTGGCAATCCCCCATGTCCTGTCCATATCCTGGGGCGTTCGCGAGGACCCAAGTTTGGTCAGCTTTCACAAGGTATCAACGCGATTAGAGCCCCAAACCCAAGACAAAAAAAAAACATCGGGAAGCTGACCAAATCTCAAGCGTCAATGCACAGAATGGATGAAACTCGGCCTAGCTGGTACGAGTGTTTTCGTGTCCAGCAGCGACTGGGGCGCTCAAGACGGCAACCAATGCTACGGCTCCAGGCACGACATCTTTGTTCCAAACGGCGTCTGTACCTGCCCCTATATCACGGGCGTGGGGGGCACTTTGTTGCCTGAAGGCAGAAAAATTGGCGATAACGAGACTGCTTCCAAGAGTTACGCCAGTGGCGGCGGTTTCAGCAACATCTTTCCCGTACCAGCTTGGCAGAAGACTGCCATGTCAAAGTAAGCACAAGATCTCCCCCCCCCCAAGAAATCGCCAGAAACCCCCCCCTCGAACACGAATTGTGCCCAAAGAAAAAAAAATTCGACTCCGAACATTTAGCTAAACTGGCAAACTGTTAGCTATTTCTCCAAACATGCCCCGAGTTATGAGTTTTACAACATTACGGATGGCAAAGTGCCCGATTCCGGCCACGGCATATACAATCGTGGTGGCCGCGGCTTTCCCGACATTAGCGCAACCAGTGAGAATGGATACACCATCTACCGAGGCGAGTACAGCAGCGGCTCCGGGACATCCATGGCCACTCCCATCGTTGCGTCCATGTTCAACCTCATCAACGAAGAGCGCCTCAAGGCTGGCAAACCCTCGCTCGGCTTCATTAATCCCGCCCTGTATAAGCTGTTCGAAAAGGGCGGATTCTATAATGATATCACAGAGGGGGATCAGTTTACTAGGCTGGGCTACAATTGCGAAACGATCGGTGGCTTCTCGGCCGTGCCTGGCTGGGATCCTGTCACGGGTGTTGGTACGCCGAAATACGGCGCGATCCGCGACTATTTTGTCAACTTGTAGCATGCCCATTTCCTGCTGGGGTTCTACACAGGGTTTTGAGGATAAAGAATAGTTTCAACGAGAAAAAAAGTAAAAAAAAAAAATGTTGGAATTGGCAGTGCTCGTTTGACCGTCACCCACTCCGAATCCGCCACCAAGTACAAATTAGCCATGGCCATCGTATCGTCAGACGTAGCTGCGCAGGGCCAACTAACAAAGCGGTAACTTGGAAACTCGGCGATTCGCTGAAGAAAAAAAGAAAGAAAAAGAAAGACCGACTGAATCAATTACATGAACTCGTTAGGTTTCTTTTTCGTCCTTTGATATAAGCTCACCGGCCATCGCCCGCGCCAAGGCTGGACGCCCTTACGAGCCTACCAATATGAAATTCTCGGCGCTACATAGGTACCTAGACATGGATTTCCCGTCTCCACTGCGGAGCACTTTACAACACTAACCCCCGCCCCCATACCGCTCCAGGGGGGGAGGGGGGGGGCTAAAAAAGCTGGCCCGTCCTCATAATGCACTACACCAGCACCTTGGAGAAACAGAAGGAGATGAAAATGATAGAATATAGCTAGAGTTTATATAAATTATCCTGAGTTGACTTTTTTATACTAAAAGCTATTTTCTAGAATGAATAGATGGTAAATAAAAAGCTAATCTTACTTTATGACAACCTCATTACTACTGTCTCTTTATATCCAACATTAGCTGGGTCCTGTAGTGGTTATCAAGTCGTATCCAGACTGCGATGGCTTCAGTCTCAATATACACTTCGCAGCCACAAAGCCTTTTTTTTTTCCGAAGGGCGCCTTATAAATAATCTGTATTCTCCCCCGCCAAACTCACTGGTAGAAAACCCTTTCTTTCATCTCGACTCACTACGTATACACTTCGCAGCCACAAAACCTTTTTGTTCCGAAGGGCGCCTTATCAATAATATGTATTCTCCCCCGCCAAACTCACTGGTAGAAAACCCTTTCTTCCACCTCGCCTCAGCACCCAGTGCGACAACCTTTCACATCCTTGTTTATCAACATCTCGCATCCCCATCTATTCCACGCAAAGGTCCACCAACCTATCCTTTGCAGATTCTACGAACTACACAATCACCCAGTATCACACGTTCACGCCCTGATCTTTAAAATGAGGTATCGCAACGCCCCTCGGGGGTTCAAGATTTCGCACTGGCGCCATCTATACGATGCCTGCGTTTGCAGCATCGACCAAGTGAATCGCATAGCCGACAACGCAATTTTTGTCATCTTCGACGCTGAGCCCTGGGCCGAAGATAATGCCAAGGCGGCCGAGATTGGCATATCTATGCTACGGGTACCTAATTGCAGAAATGTCGCTGCCGTACCGACAACATTGACCGAATTTGCCCAAGAACATGGCATTGCAACGCATCGAATCCAGATCATCGGAAAGGAAAGGCCAAAAAAGGTCGAAGCGCACAGCTTCGGCCAAGAGCATCGCGTATCCTGTATTGATGTCGAGCAACACATCATCGGTCTCGTCGACTCTTATCGGGAAAAGATGGCATCTACCAGCGGACAAATTGTTTTCGTCGGTTTCGACCTCCGATTCGAGTTCCGGTTGATCTCAACTATATACACGAGATTAACAAACTACTTCACATCCTGGTTAGACGTCCAAGAGCTATCACGGCGTGCGAGCCGTGTGGAAATGCCAGGCTTGAGCGAGACTCTTAAAGCTTGCGGATTCGGCCTGCAAGACTCGAAAGATTTACATAGTTTGAACGGTCGACATAACGCAGCGACGGATACAGTCCGTGCAGCTGCTGTGTTGTATTACCTTTTAGCAAGAGACGACCACCAACAATTGCAGATTGCGACTTCCGACCGCAACGCCAGTATACTCTCTCGGAGGCGTCGAGCACAGCCTTCCAACAACCCCGAGGATCGAAAGCTCTGGAGAGGCGCGCGGCCAAATCCGAAAGAGCTTTACCCATACACTGCAAGGGTCAAGACCTCGACAGGGCATATTCTCGACCCCAAGGGCTTACTCGAGACCTTTGCGGAATATAATCCAGTTGCAGTTGGTATTGCCAAGCAAAGCATACATCGATACGGATGGGTCTGTCTGCCCAGCCTTTGCGTTCTTGAAGAATTTGTGCAACGTGTGAACGGCGCCGAGCATCCGCAAGGCGGTGAATGGATTGCAGTGTCAGATTATGATCCTGACATCCTCCCCGCCAACAATATGCGCGAACTCAAGGAAAGGCTGCACGCAAAGGCGGATGAGAAGCGTGAACAGCGCCGCCTAAAGCGGCTGGCCCACGAGACTGTTGCTCTATCAGAGGTTGAAGCGATACAGTGACGGGGTCACCCATGGAATACCATCACTTTTATTTGGACTGAATTGTTTTGAAAGTTTTTGGCCGCTTCACTGTGCGTTACACAAGCTATTAGTCTGGTAATGGTAGAGTAGGCCCAGGCGTGCCTCAATGAACAACTCGGAGTGCTCCTGAAAGCTTGGGTGGAAGTGGAATATGCATACTCTGCGCGAATATTCAGTTTCTTTTCTTTCTGTCTTTACCATGAATAGTTACGACATGCTACACCGTGTAAGTCAAGAATATGTAATAGAAACAAAGTCCCTATAGATGACGCGGATCATGTGTCTAAGGAGACTATAATTATATAGGGCAAAATAGCGCCTCACAGCTCTGTGTGGGGTCCACCACTTTTGCTGTGTGACAACACTAACAAGAGACTACATCCACTCTTTCTGCACCTACATAGCCACTCAGCTACGGTGGGTGTCGCCCAGGGCACGGGTGCTCGTACGGTCGTTTTCCACCGAGTACTCCGTGCTCCGTACGAGATTCGGAGACTTAAAAAAACAGGGTGGTCAATCATCGAAATTACAGCGCGGTATATGGGATATTTAGCTGGCAGTGTTGAGTGGATTGCCGGTGGGTGGTGGAGGCCCGTGGGTGCGTCCGCAGCCACACCACAAATGTCTTGGCCGTCAGCTCGAGCATCCGGCTTCCTTTTTCACACGGTAACCCCATCTCAGAGCTGCCCTTTTCGGTCAGCCGGCTCTGTGGTTTGCATGAATCTATTGGCGATGCTCCGCCGTGGAAGTTGAGGCCTACAAATAGCACTTGGTGGCTGCCATGTTTTCTTTGTTGGCGGCTGGAGGCTTAGTCCCCATCACGCGACAAGACCGTTATAAGTAGGCCGCGGCCGGCTTAAATCAACTTTATTTTTACTCCAACAGAGACCGCCTTTTTTTTTTGCCTCTCTTCTTTTTACCTTAGCTGCCTAGGAAGAACGCTGCCGCAACAGTTTGTTCCGCAAAAAACAAGATGCGCGTAGGTCATCTGGTCGCGCTGCTCGGCGCTACGGCCCCAATCATCACGGCGGCTCAAGGAGACCATCACCTGGCACCCCGTGCTGCTGAAGTGACGGCTTTGACGCAGTCTCTGAATCAGCCCGGTCTTGCCGGCGATATCTGGGATACAATCAAGGGAGTGGCGTCTTGTGCCGCCTGCCAGGTAAGGAAAGGGCCTGCTCCTCTACGTGTTGAGCTTGGACTAACAAACAGCACAGGGCATATTGGGGTTGCTGAAAGGCATCGCTTTTTTCGGCGAGGCCGCCTTTATCAATACCGCAAAGATTGTTTGCAAAGTGAGCAAGGTAAGCCAAGCCTTCCTGCCAAAATATCACGGGCACGTCTTAAAGCCTGATTTTACACACACTGACCACATCTAGGTCGAAGATCCCGACGTGTGTGACGGCATCATGGAACTCGAAGGTCCGACCCTTGCGAGACTCGTTTGGGAGCTGAGTTTGTACGGACGAACCTCCAAGCTGTTCTGCGGCGCCGTTCTGGGTCTCTGTGACATGCCCGATTCGCTTAAACCAAAACTCAAGTTCCCCCCGAAGCCAGAGAACATGACAAGCGGCCGCCCGACCCCCAGCGGCAAGGAGCCGATTAAGGTTGTGCACTTTTCCGACATTCACATTGATCATCATTATACTCCGGGATCCAATACCCAGTGCAGCAAGCCCATTTGCTGTCGGTGAGTTTAGCATGGCACAAGAGTGCTCCATTGGACTTACAATGGACAGCGCGTACACCGAGAAAGATGCTCCTGGCACGACGGAAAATCCAGCCGGTCCTTTTGGAGACCACAAGTGCGACACCCCCGTCGATCTCGAGAGGAGCATGTACAGGGCTATCCAAGACATTGCTCCGGATGCTGCATTTACGCTCTTCACCGGTGATATCCCCGATCACACGATTTGGAATACGACCAAGAAATCCACCATCCATGATAGTGAGTCGTAGATTCTTCCTGTTGTGAGATGCACTGAACTGACACACCTAGTCAACCATGCCATGTCCATCATGAACAGTAACCTCGACACTGTGTACGGCACCGTTGGTAACCATGAGATATCCCCCGTCAACCTCTTTCCCTCTACCCAATACGCCAAGAAACAGACCAGCGCCAAATGGGTGTACGACCTGCTCGCCGACTACTGGACCGAGTGGACTGGTGACAGCGCACGCCAGGACATTTCCGAGATTGGGGCCTACTCTGCCAAATACCCGCACGGCAAGCTGCGCATCATCTCCATCAACACCAACCTGTACTACCGCCACAACTTTGAAGTATACCGCGACAAGACCGAGCGGGACCCCAACGGGCAGTTTCAGTGGCTCGTGCAGCAGCTCGACGAGGCCGAAAAGGCCGGCGACCGCGCCTACATCCTGGGTCACATGCCCATGGGCGACATGGACGCGCTGCGAGACGGCTCCCGCGCCTTTGACCAAATCGTCAACCGCTACGCCGACACCATTGCCGCCATGTTCTTTGGCCACACCCACGTCGACCACTTTGAGCTGCACTACAGCGACTACAAGAACCGCGACTTTAGTAACGCCCGCGCCGTGTCCTACATTGCGCCGTCGCTGACGCCCACCTCGGGCATGCCCGCCTTTCGCGTCTACTCGGTCGACCCGGACACCTTTGCCGTGCTCGACTCGGTGCAGTACGCCGCCGACATGACGCGCGCCGACTACCAGACCGCCGGCCCCACGTGGACGCGGTACTACTCCGCCAAGGACGTCTACGGCCCGCTGGTGCACCCGCCGCTGACCGACAACGACGCCGCCGTCGAGCTCACGCCCGCGTTTTGGCACAACGTCACCGTCGCGTTCGCCGCCGACGAGGCCGTCTTTGACCAGTACATGCAGCGCAAGAGCCGCGGCTGGAAGCACCAGCCCTGCGCCGACGACTGCGCCCGCGTCGAGGTCTGCATGCTGCGCGGGGGCCGCGCCGAAGACAACTGCTACAAGCCAAAGCCGGGCATCAGCCTGCGCAGGCGCGTCGGCCTCCTGACTAGGCGCACCGACATGGGCAACAATGCGCACGACGACTGCGGCGCGTCGGCGAGCGTGGCCATGCTCGACAGCATAGCGTCTAATAAGGAGGTGCTGGAGAAGCTCAAGGAGATTTTTGACGAGATGGGTGCAAAGGCGGGCGCCAAGTCGTTTGACCCGGAAAAGGGATGGCTGTTTTGAGTATGTACCTACTTTGTGCGATTGAAGCTTTTGGGGGCTGAAGAGAGGGCGTGTGGCGTTGGCGGGAGGGAGGGGGGGGGGGGCAGGGGGGTTGATTGGAAGGCGTCGTCGATTTATCAGGGCATAATCTAGACGAGGTTCAGACTCGAGATTTAAGCGATAGAAGACTTATTGAGTTAAAAAGTGTTGACTAAAGCATATGATCCAAACACTTTTCTTCTTTTGAATTTCACAAATTGCTATTGATCCCAAAAAACGCCAGCGTGCTCTAGCATTTTACGTGCGGTAATCGCCATTGATGGTGACATAGTCGTGGCTAAAGTCACAGGTCCAGTGCGTTGTGCTCTTGTCGCCTGTTCCTAGTCGGACAAGAATCTCCAAGTCCTCCATTTCCAGAATCTCACTGGCACGGGCCTCGTCAACCTGCTCAGGCTCGCCATTCACGAGTAATTTGAGCTCCGCTGATCCATCCGTAGGAATAAACGAGACATTCGTCTTCTCTGGGGAAATGTCTTCGGCTTCCTTTGGCGCATGTGTGGGGGGCGTGATCAGGGCGTAGCCGGCCGCGCACAGGATGCGGCCCCAGTTGGCGTCTTTGCCGTAGAGGGCTGTCTTGACAAGAGGCGAGAGGGCAATAGAGCGGGCAACCTGGCGTGCGCCATCCTCGGTGGCGGCATCAACCACGCGAATCGTGACAAACTTCGTCGCGCCCTCGCCGTCGCGCACAATATACTTTGCAAGGTCAGCGGAGAAGTCGGTCAGCACAGTGCGGAAGGCATCGTAGTCGGCCGACTGCTCCGAGGCCACCTCGGCGCCACCCGCGGCACCATTCGCGAGCAGAGCCACGGTGTCGTTTGTCGACGTGTCACCATCGACGGTGATGGAGTTGAAAGAGCGGTCGACGGCGTGGCGCAGTAGAGGAGTCATGATGGCGGGCGCAACGGGGGCGTCGGTGGCGAGAATGGTCAGCAGCGTGGCCATGTTGGGGGCCAGCATGCCGGCTCCCTTGGTCATGCCAGCGATGCGGTACTCAATCCCAGGAGAAGAGGGAAGCTTAAAAGTGCGGGACAGGAGCTTGGGAAACGTGTCTGTCGTGCAGATGGCCTTGGCACAACTGAGCCAGTGCTTGTGGGAGTCGCCAGCCTGGTGACAGGCGACGGGAATATGGTCTATAATTTTTTGAATGGGAAGCCTACCACGATTAGCCATTGAACGCTACATTGGCAAATTCGCACGCATACCTCTGCCCGATGACGCCAGTACTCATGACAATGGTCGAGTCCTCGGCTCCTACGCGCTGATCCGTCGTCTGCGCCATACTAGCCGCGTCCTCCAGGCCTCCGATGCCGGTGACGGCGTTGGCATTGCCCGAGTTGACAATGACGCTGCGCAGGCCGGCATTGCCCTTTGTCTGGAGCAGCTTGCGGCTGAAGCTGACGGGGGCGGCCTGGAACTTGTTCTTGGTGAAGACGGCGGCGGCAGCGGCTGGCCTGTCCGAGGTGACGAGGGCCAGGTCGGGCTTGCTCGTGTTGCCGGGCTTGACGCCGACATAGACGCCCGAGGCCTGGAAGCCCCTGGGGTAGGTGCCGGTCGAGGGCACGTACTTGGCCTTGGCGGGCGGAATGGCGCCGCTGAGGCTCGAATATGCGCGTGTGAATCGCATGGCTTGGTCTCAACGGAAATTGGATCGTGGTGTGGCGGTGGTGAAAAGACGCATATCAGCGTGTAGAAGATGGCAAACGGCGCAGCTGTGTGATGAGTGGGTGGGCTCTGGCTCGGCAGCTGCCAGCCCATCTGCAGTCGGCCTATGCTCGGCGGTGACTTGCAAACGGGTTGCTGAAAGGTACGCATCAGTGGGTAATTTTTCCAAGTTTCGGCTTGGCCTTAGAGGCCTAGACAGAGATCGAAAATTTGATGTTTACCAAAACATAATTGCCAATATATACCTCATGTCTACAACAGAGTAAATTCATTGTTCAGACACACAAAGACTGTGACAGCTTCTGCGAACAAGTAGGCGCTAGGAAGCACTGAGCTAGCTCACAGTCATCCAGGCACCTGCAGCTATTACCGCAAGTGCAAGTGGCACCATACCTAATTGGGACGACTCGCAATTTCGCGCTTGGCCCGTGCTTGTCGCCTCAGGCAGCCGGGCCGCCTTTTGTACTGATGACTATAAAGTCTCGCGTCGCCGCCGCCTGGTTTCGTCTTTTTTCTTCCTTTCTTCTCCATCCCAGTGCACGGGCGTTTTCCTTCTCCGTGAAGCGATAAGCTGAGAGAGGAATTTTGCTAGTTGAAAACTATAACAGACCACTCTTTTCTGGATTTATCCGGGAAAGGAATTTTTGCAACCCTACTGTTTGTCACGCAGACAAAGTCTTTTCTATCTTTCATTGCGGCCGATCCCTGGCGGAACGACGTGAAGAAGGACAAATGAAGGCGAACGATGTACATATGAAACAATACGAAAGAGATAGATAGGCTGTCATCAAGCGCAGTAAGGGTTTGATGCCTAGTTGGATTGTCGCGTGCTTGGGCTTGATGAAAAATTTGAGCATCGCAAGTCGGCGCCGCGTCACAAGCTGATGTTGTGTCTGACTACTCCGTAACTTGGTTGATTTACAACTTCCAGACGGTTCGCGCACCGTCTCTTCTTTGATATCGGGTCGAACTGGGTAGACTTTTCTTTTCCCCAATTTTGCAGCCGTACATCTCGTGGTTCTGTTGCGGAGCACGCACCCAAATGTCCACGCGCATTACGGATGTATATGAGCTATGCGGCATCGTATTTCCTGCCCGTGCTCGACGAAATGCGAACAAATTAAGGAACTTCACCCAGCAGTACATCAATACATCTTCGCTTGTGGCCATGTAGCCTGGCCCTTGCCACTCTGCAGCCAGCTTGGTGCTTTCCCGTGGCCACACTCGGCCCGCAAAAGGAAAACATGACTTCATTGTGCTGATGCCCTGCCTTTCAGCTCAACGGCACATCCATCAATCGCTACCCGAAATTGCAGTGTATCGAGTCTGTCAGTCAAGGTGCGTATGCGACCTGCATTGCCCAGCTGTACACCGTAGCAGTGGCTTTGGCCCACCTCGGAGGAATGGCCCTAGCTTGAGCTGTCTTCTCTCCGACTATTCATCGATGAAGTGGCGTCACTTCTTCCATTACATGTCATCGTGGCCTAGGTGGTGAATTTATATAAGCAAGTACTGCACAATCGACGCGGACGAGCTACGAATGATTTGCTCTTTTTGGTAGCTGCTTCGACGAGCCATTTGCCTACCAAGGTACGGAGACGCGGACTTATCCAAGGTAGCGAGCGACCTTGTGGCCTTGCAACCTTAGCATCAAGCTCCATCCCGCCCATCTTATATGCAAGTTGGACTCAGGCCGCGGCTCAGGAGTCGCTCGTCGCTCCTGGATCTGGTACGGGCGAAAAACGAAGCCGAAAACAAGCCCAAGGAATCGTTGCCATCGCCGTTGTCGAGCCCTTTCCGTACGCCATTGCATTCTCCATTGTCCATTGCAGGCTTCTTTTTAGGCGGCCCACCACTGGCCCCAGAAACCAGCCAAAATACGGCCGCTCCAGGCGATTTTGGCAGCAAAACTACCTCGAGCACGGCAGGTTCACCCGCTACGACCGCTACATCATCGGCCCCACCTCAGCACCCCAGGCTGGCCGCCTTTGCTGCAGCTCTCGACGTTCCTCTGCCAAACTCTCCACCATCATCACCACATCCTCGTTCAAAGCCGCCCGCCCCATCATCAAGGGTCTCTCCTCCTCCCTCATCCGCTGCCTCCCCCGACTCCTCCGCGAACGAGCCTGACGCCGCCCACGTTCCGGCATCATCCACGATGGCTCCGGTACGACCTCTTCCCCAGCCTCGGAGCGAGCCACTTGTCCAACATGCTGTCACGACATTGAGCTTCTCGCCCCACTGCGACTCGGAAACTAATCAGTCTGCGATTCTAGAAAGCGAAAAATGATGGCAAGAAAGCCGAGCCTCACGGTATGTCGCTCTTTCGCGCCGTCGCTCGCCAAACACTCTCAGAACTAACCATTGACTAGGCAAGATTTACTCCATCTCTGGGTTCGTCATACCTTTCGAAAGCGCCCGCTGCGCCCATTCAAATAATCACTTACTCATCCTCACAGGCCCGTCATTGTCGCCGAAGACATGCTCGGTGTTGCCATGTACGAATTGGTGAGCCCACACAGCCTCGACCGTTACCTGAGCTACCCCACTAACGGCCGCAGGTCAATGTTGGCCACGATAACCTCGCGGGTGAAGTCATTCGAATCAACGCCGACCAGGCAACCATTCAAGTATACGAGGAAACCGGTATGAAGTCTGGTTCAAAAATGCTGTCAATCGCGGACTAACAAGCGTAGCTGGTGTCACTGTCGGCGACCCCGTCTTCCGCACCGGCAAGCCTCTTTCCGTCGAGCTCGGTCCTGGTCTGCTAAACGGCATCTACGATGGTATCCAGCGTCCTCTGGCTGGCATCGCCGATGCCTCCAAGGGCATCTACATTCCTCGCGGCATCTCCGTTCCCGCCCTCGATCGTAAGAAGCAGTGGGAGTTCACCCCCACAAAGAAGGTTGGCGACCACATCACAGGAGGCGACGTCTGGGGTACCGTTTTCGAAAACTCCTTCATTTCCGTTCACAAGGTTCTTCTCCCTCCTCGCGCGCGCGGTACCATTACCAAAATTGCCCCAAGGGCAAGTACACTGTCGCCGAAAATATCCTTGAGGTCGAATTCGACGGCAAGAAGACCGAATACCCCATGATGCACTCGTGGCCGGTCCGTGTCCCTAGACCCTCTACCGAGAAGCTCGTCGCCGAAGAGCCTTTCATCGTCGGTCAACGTGTCCTGGACGCTCTCTTTCCCGGTGTTCAGGGCGGTACCATTGCTATTCCCGGTGCTTTCGGTTGCGGCAAGACTGTCATTTCTCAGTCCGTCTCCAAGTTTTCCAACTCTGATGTCATTGTTTACGTCGGATGGTACGTTTTCTCTGGATTCATACAATTCGATATGCTAACGAATGCAGTGGTGAACGAGGCAACGAAATGGCTGAAGTCTTGAAGGATTTCCCCGAGCTCACCATCGACGTCGACGGCCGCAAAGAGCCCATTATGAAGCGCACAACCCTCATTGCCAACACATCCAACATGCCTGTCGCTGCTCGCGAAGCTTCAATTTACACTGGAATTACCGTTGCCGAATACTTCCGCGACCAGGGTCTCGACGTTGCCATGATGGCCGACTCTACATCCCGATGGGCTGAGGCTCTGCGTGAACTGTCTGGTCGTCTCGGAGAAATGCCTGCTGATCAGGGTTTCCCTGCCTATCTTGGTGCCAAGCTTGCTTCTTTCTATGAGCGTGCTGGTCGCGTCCAAGCTCTCGGCTCTCCTGACCGCAAGGGCAGTGTCAGCATTGTCGGTGCCGTGTCGCCCGCCGGTGGTGATTTCTCTGACCCTGTCTGCACTTCAACGCTGGGTATTGTTCAGGTCTTCTGGGGTCTGGACAAGAAGCTTGCCCAGCGTAAGCACTTTCCGTCCATTAACACCAGTCTCTCATACAGCAAGTATACCGGTATTCTAGACAAGTTCTACGAAAAAGACTATCCCGAGTTCCCCAAACTGCGTGACCGCATCAAGCAGCTCCTGACCGATTCTGATGAGTTGGAGCAAGTCGTGCAGCTCGTCGGAAAGAGCGCTTTGTCTGACACTGACAAGATTACGCTGGACATTGCCGGCCTCATCAAGGAAGACTTTTTGCAGCAAAACGGATATTCGGATTATGATCAGTTCTGCCCCATCTGGAAGACGGAGTGGATGATGAAGCTCATGGTTGGGTTCCACGACGAGGCTCAAAAGGTTATTGCTCAAGGCCAGAGCTGGGCCAAGGTGCGCGAGGCAACGGGCGATCTCCAGACACAGTTGCGTCAGCTCAAGTTTGAGCAGCCCAGCGAGGGACAGGAGGCTATTAGCAAGAAGGTGAGCACTCTGTCTCTGCACGATATTGGGGGCGTAATGCTAACAACTTGACAGTACGAAGCCATTCACCAGACGATGACGGACAAGTTTGCGTCGGTCATGGATGAGTAAGAGTTGTAGACCTATAGTCCTTAGAATTTGTCTTGTCGGTAACTGCGACCGACCAGTATTTTTGGCGTGCTTTGCGCTGTAGTCAATAAACGTTTACATTTACAGCGATTGGTTTTGCATGTCTGTGAGAGTGCACACCTGGCAGCAGTTGCGTGGGTTGGGTGTTGGTTTTGGGTTGCCTTGTGGGTCTTGATGCATATTGCCATGAACCACAAGTTACATGACAAAATTACCGAAACATGAGGACTGCTGGGCTCTGACTTGTCTCACGTGGCTATTTGGAGAGATGTACTTTATGCGATGCAGATGATGCTATTACTCCTGTTGCTTGATGGTAAAGACCAATATGCACCCATGTAAGGACCTTGGTAATGTATCCAAATCGGTATCATTTCAAGTATTTACTGTATGTATATATACGTTGCCTCTAGATATAACTATTTACACAAATAGCTGTACGTATCAACAAATCGAGCCACTCACGATCCGCTCGAGGAGCCATCGTCATGCTTGCTCACCAATCCTCTAATGAGATGTGCTATGGACGTAGACGCTAGAGCCCGAGATTTGACCGGTGCAGAGCGCACGGCCGTTTTGCGCAATGTTGACATTGTTTGTGCCCGGGCCGGCCGACTGCCCGGCCGACGTGGACGCCCGGCAGTCGGTGAAGTGGGTGTCGGGGAAGTCGGCAAAGGGCTCGAGGTTGCGCGAGGGCAGCGAGGTGAGGTCCTCGAGGATCCACTCGGCCGACGTGCCGCAGAGGCCGGCGCCGCCGTCGGAAAAGTAAAAGTGCATCGACTGGCCGGTGCTGACGTTGTTGATGGTGACGTTGCCGGAGCGCGACGAGTCGGCCGTCACAAGGCCGGACATTTGGTCGCCGGCGCCGACGTTCATGGTAAAAGTGCGCAGAGGGGCGGGGACAAACTCGAACCAGGCGTAGTTTTCCTGTTCTCCGTTGGAGTCAATCTGCGGTGTGTATTTATCAGCGTTGGGCTTTTTTTTTTTTTCTTTACAAGAATGTCGGGGGAGGAAAGGGTGTTTGCATACCTGAGAGCCGGAACCGCCTTGAATCAGACCGCCCGACTGGCAGCCGTCGCCGTCGATGCCGATCCATTGCACGAGCGACGGCTGGTCGTCGTCGCTCTGATTAGCGCGCAGCGAAATCTCGGGAACGGTCCAGGCGCCCGAGACGCGGCTCCAGGCGCCGCCGCCGGGGGGACTCAGGTTGGCGGCGCCGCACCAGTTGCTAAAGGTCTGAGTGCGCTTCTCGTGGTCAGCAGCAGCAGCAGCAGCAGCAGCGCGAGCGCGACGACGCTGCTCGCGCTGGGCGCCGCGAGAGGTGGCGTCAATGGCAGGGCCAAACTCGACGGGCAGCTCGGAGCCGTCGGCGGCGAGGTGCGTGACGGTGTAGGTGACGCCGTTGAGGGTCTCGGTGAAGGCGGCCTGCACGGCGGTGGCGGCGGCGGAGAGGAGGACGACGGCGGCGACGGTCTTCATGGTGGTGGCTACGGAGTTGATGGGGGTTTGGGGAAAATGGGAGGTTAGGATTTGGGATGAGAGTTTGGTAACAAGAGCCGAGGACAAAATCTGGGATAAGAACGGGTTCGAGAATGACTTATATACAGACGAGAGCAGCGATACGACTTGACAAAGAGTGCTGACACATGGTTGACTACAACTCTAATCTTTTACGTATTAGTTATCAGACGGCTTTCTCCAACGGCGATTCTTCTCTCTCTACAGTGAGATGGCAAGTTTGGTCGGAGAGTGAAGAGGGAGTTTCGTTCCTCATCCAAGCTAGCTCATGGCCCGGCAAGTCGGCGGCGACGATCACCGAGGTCCACCTTCCTACCATGGTGTCGCGCGAGGTGGGATTGATTACCAAAGAAAGTAATCAACAAACTTTAGTCATGATACAAAAGGCGTGAACAGGGTGAAGAATACTGGGGGTTCGTGTTGGTGGGGAGGGCTGATAACGAGTTGGTCAAGTTGAGGGACAGGCTGACGAGTCTGGTAAACTTTCAATGTGGATAATACACGAGAACACGGACGATAGACTAGTTCATTGGAAGTATTTGCCCCCTTCTCTCTCTCTCTGTAGGAGTTTATGGCAGGTTAAATTACTGAGTAAAGGTCTCTTTGTTTTAGAGTTTCTCCACCAATGCCGGACCGGACGTCGGCCGACGCCACCAACAGCCTACGTCAGCCCGACTGCTTTATAACAACTTCGGAAACCAAGTCCATATTTATCAACAATTGAGTTTCAACAAGGCAAATTCTCATAGCTAGTTTTTTTCCTCCCCGGGGTATGTACTAGTCATCCGGAGATAGCAAACACCTACCTTTCTTCTGCCCACCTTGGTGCTCATAGCGTTTACTAGCACCAATCGGGCAGGTTAACCGGCTTTGACGGCAAAGCCGCGCCTTGCTCTTCTCGGCAGGACGTGTTGCCAAAAATCTTTCAGAGTTTCGTATTCGATATCTCATGTCCATCACTTCTTCTATTCTTTTTCTCTCACTCACTTTGTTTTGAGAAAGACACACCATGTTAAAGTCGACACGGTTGGTCTATAAGCTGCAGAGATACAAGAATTACTTCCGACTCCCAACATGAGACCGGAATCGGGATTCGTGGGGTCGTACAATAAGCCGTTGCAAAAGAGTGTAAATAAATCCGAGGGGTCAATATACCATAAATGTATGGGACACAAATGATAGCCCACTCACTAGTAGGATTGTTAGTGCCAACTACCGAGATTCCAGACTTTCTTTTTGTCTGGCAATCTCCCGCCTTGGCATGGCCCTTCGGTGCCGATAACCCGACCTTTTGTCATAAGATGTCTTGTCGCGAGCAGTATCTGGCGTCGTGGCTGTTCATCCGGGGTACCCTTGGTAGTAGGAAACTACGCAAGTCGTTTCTGAATGGGCCATTGCCGAAAGCCGGTAGAGGTCCGATGACAAGACGACAAGAAGGATAGATGACTAGCGCTTATCAAAAGAAAAATGAACTAGCTACCGGTTTTCTGCTTTCTGAAATTGACCTGCTGAGGGACTAATATCTATAACTATTTTTCCAGGAAAAAACAAAGGCATGCAGTCTCATGTGCAGATCGAGGCGAGCATCGCCTTTTATGTCATTCATTGCAGGCCGATCCACAAAAACCTTCACCACCACTTTTGATCACTTCTCACACCAAACTAGACTCGACGTATTAAAAACCTGATTCACATGCACAAATAAAGTCCCTTCGCGCCCAGCATGTCGGACGAGCTCCGCGACGAGGTCGAGGCCATCAACTCCATCTACGGCGACGCCAGCCTCGTGCCGTCCACCACCTCCTCCTCCGGGGCCACCTCCGACTACATCCTGCAGCTGCCCGGCGACTCCGCCTCATCGCTGCAGCTTAGCTTCCCCCCTGGCTATCCCGATACCGGCGGCCCGCCTCGCGTCGTCGGCGTGCAGCACAGCTCCGGCGGCGTGCGGGGCGCTGGCGAGCGCGACCTGCGTCTGTTTCGCGCCGCGCTCGCTGCGGTGCATCAACCCGGCGCCGTGTGTCTCTTTGACGCGGTGGAGGATTTTTCGCGGCGTTTAGATGAAGAATGCGCAGCAGCAGCAGCAGCAGCAGCAGCAGCAGAAGCAGCAGCAGCATCTCCTGTCGCTGCTGAACAACATGATGGTCAAGGCAAGGAAGAGTCAAGGGGTGTATTCACGCAGTCGGAGAGCGAGATTGACTTACAGGCCGTCGACGACCTCGCCACGCTGCCGCCGCCAATGTGGACGCTCTCGGAGCAAATCGTCGACACCAAGTCTACCTTTGTCGCGCACGTGGCGCGTGTGACGTCTCCCTTGCAAGCACGCTCATACGTTGCGCAGCTGCTCGCGAGCGATAAGCGCATCCGCAGCGCGACGCACAACATTACAGCGTGGCGCATCCGGGGCCCCAGGCAGGCGAGCTTTCAGGACTGCGACGACGATGGCGAAGATGCGGCGGGAGGCAGGCTGCTGCACCTGATGCGGCTGATGGAGCTGTGGGATGCCATGGTGGTGGTGACGCGGTGGTACGGCGGGGTGAAGCTGGGGCCGAGGCGGTTCGCGGTGATTAATGCGGTGGCGAGGGATGGGTTTGTGAGGGCGGGCATGGTGACGGAGGGCGGCGGCGGAGGCAAGGGAAGGAAGAAGTGAGGGGAGGGAACTGTATATAAAAAAAGTAGAAAGTTTTGGATTGAATTTTTGAAAAACACCAAATGAAGAGAATAGTATATATATGTGGTATCGTACATGCTCGCTCACAAGTCCATTTTCAACTCCAGATTACAGAAGTCAAGAGGAATGAAGAAGAAGAAGAAGAAGAAGAAAAGAAACAAGCAAACACTTCATGGCAGAAGCTCGGCCATTTCCATGCATTCATCTAGAATCGACAGCGCGCGCTCTGCCTGTTCCTGCGGCAGCACCACGGCACTCGCCCGCGCCGTCGACAAGTACGACATTTCCAGCATATTCCGGACCTTCATCTCCTGGACCAGCTTCCCCGCGACGCCCGACACCACGCCCGTCACCTCGGACGGCAGGCTCTCCAGGTTCAAAAAGATGGGAATCAGCGTCGTGTTGAAGTCGCCGACGACCGAGTCGCCAAACAGCGACAACAGGTTCTTGTCCATGAGCACCGAGGGCGGGTCCTCCTCGGCCAGCGTGACGGACAGAAACTTGGGCTGGGAGACGAGCGCGGACACGATGCAGTTGAAGAGGCGGGGGTCGACGCCGTCGCCCCAGGTGGCGGCGCGGCGGGCCTCGGGCAGCGAGCTCTTGCGCCTGTTAGGCGAGGGGTAGCAGGCGTAGGCGCCGGGCAGCTGGGAGACGTCGCGGCCGCCGGCGAGGAGCAGTTCGAGGGTGGTGTCGACAAACGGGGTGACGTTGCGCTTCTTGAGGAGCTCAAAGGTTTTGCGCTGGAGCTCGGCGATGATGGCAGGCGGGGTGTCGGGAGTGGCTGAGAAGCGGACGTGGGAGGAGGAGGAGGAGGAGGAGTCGTGGTGCTTGTACGAGGCGTCCTGGTGGAAGAAGCGGTTGCCCTCGAGGCAGTCGAAGCCGCGGGCGGAGAGGGCGTCAATGACGCGGGGCCGCTCGTGGGTGGGCGCGAGGATAAAGTCTGAGTAGTAGGTGGTGAGGAAGAAGATGGGGATGCCGGCGAGGGCGAGGGGCGACGAGAGCTCCATGACGCGACCGGCCGGGTCGAGGCTGGCGGCGATGACGCAGAGAATCATGTACGTGTCGGAAGAGACGTGGACCTGGGCGGCGAGGTCCGCGGGTAGGCGGTCGATGATGGGACGAAAGACATTTTGGGCCCAGGAGGCGTGGACGACGAGGGAGCACTCGATGGGGGTAATGGAGATGTTGAGGAAGCGGTGCTGCTGGTCGGGAGTCAGGCCGTCGAGCTCGTGCTCGGGGGCATGGGAGGAGATGTTGAGGTCCTGGGTCTGGGGAATGAGGGTGCGGATAATGGGCTGGACCAGGAAGGAGTAGAGTTGGTGGGGAAAGCAGATGAGGTTGTAGGAGCCTTTCTGGGAGCGAGGAGTTAGTTTAGGACAAGAAACGTGAGGATATTATTGAAGATGCTAATGGCAGTGACATTGATGCGACAAGATCAATAAAGGGGAGATTGAGTTGTGAATCGACATGGTGGCTTGCAAAAGTTGGTGATGATGGTGATGATGGTGGTGGTGTTTTTGGTAGTGTGACGGGCATCGGTGCCCGTTGTCGGAGCAAGCCGAAAAGGGTTCAAGATGTGGTGGGGAGCATTTGCAGGGGGGGCATGAGAGAAAAGTGACATGGGCGTACCAGAATAGAAACTTGAGCATTCATTGCGACTGTTGGCAATTGATGAATGCCAGAAGAGATTCGCAACTTGTCTGCCGAGTGTAGTTTTGTTCGCAAGTCGAAGAGGAGGATTCAGGTAAACAAATTGCCGAGAGAATGAGTAATAATAAGAATGGGTGGTGCCCGAGGCTATCAAATCCTTATCGTGAACTAGACAACCACACACAGCAAAAAAAATAAGTGGTGCTGCCAGTAGTAGGAATCAAACTATGCGTACGAGGTGAAGTCGGCTGTCACTCTGGTGCGTGGCACGTGCGGGTATGACGGCAGTTGTAAAGGGCAAGGAAATCGATCGGTCGTGGTCTCGTCTTGTTTGTATTCTTTTCTTGCCTTTCGGCAGTGCGTGTGTCAATTGGGAGAATGGTGCAGATGTGGTGGCACAAGAACTGTTGACAAGGTTGCTTCGTGTGACAATGTCGCGAGGCGGGGATCAACCAAGGACACAAAATCGAGATGGAGGAAAGGCAAAAGAGAGAGTGTGTGAGTGAGAGAGAGTCGACGAGTCGGCAAAAGAGAGGGGTCCGTTCGTGGCTGTTGCTGATAGTCGGTAGGCGAAGTGGGTAAAGAGATGATGCTGTCTGTAACTTGGTTATCGAATAGTTAGTTAGTCTGTAGGCTGATATTCAGATGGGATGCGATAAGAAATCAATGGGTAGATAAATGGCCAAGAGGGACAAGAAGAAAAAGACAAAAGTGGGCGCTGGCCTGATTTTATCGTGCTTTTTTTTTTTTTTAAACAGCCCTTTTTTAATCGATTCATTTTTCCTCTCATCTCTTGCATGAATCTAGACGCAGACCTACGCGAAATGCTTTCCCCAAATCTGTATCCTGCATCCTGCATCCTGCATCCTGCATCCTGCATCCGGTATCCTGCATTGTCGCATCGCCCCCGGTCTGTGATGTGGCGTCTGCCCACCAGCAAATGACGTCTTTCCAATTCTGGCGTCTTGCATGATTTTTTTTTTTTTTTAAAAAAAAAAAATAAAAAAGCTTGCACCCGACGCTGGTATGAAACTTTTTCCTATTCATCGATAGCCTCATCGCCCGTCCATCAACTTGCCGGACATACATGTCATGTTGTGCTTCTCTCGGCTCCGCCAACCCTCACATTACTGCAGCCGACCATGCACTCAAACCCACGATGCTACCCGACTCAGATAGCTACTACGCAATCGATGATACCTCGCTTCGCATGTAGGACGCGTACACACAAAAATAAAAGACCTTGATGCACTCTTCTGCCGCCGCCGCTGCCGTGGATGGGCAGCAATACATGCCACCAATCGAGACGAGGCAAACTTGCTCGGGCAGCGTTGCACAACTCGGGCCGGGAACCCTTGAAGATGCCGGCAAAGAAAACGACCCATCGGAGCCCCCCCCCCCCTTGCTCTTTTCAAGATTGTGGGGTAATTTATCTGTAGATAACAAACCCATTCAGGCAACCAGGCCACGACACAAGCTTCAACAAATCATGGGACACACCGCGGAACCAAGTCCTCAGCTAGCCTTTGATACCTGCAGAGGCCACTCACTATCGACAAAGTACCTTCCTATTCGCTCAGTCCTTCGCATTGGACCCTGAAAAAGAAAATGCTTCCCCTGCGAGGAATGTCTTTCTGCGCCCGCCTCGTCCCGTCCCGGTCTCCCTGCTACCCAATCTGAGTCTCATCTAAACCCAACCGCTAAAAAAAGCAAAAAAAAGAAAAGACATGAAAAAGCAAAAACTCACTCGACCGTTGAACTTGTCTCATCATCAATCCTCAACGGCTCTGAACCCACACACAAGCCGCTCCGAGTATCACTCTCCCAGTTTCGCGCCTCGTCTCGTATCCCGGTTGGTTGGGACTCGGCTTTCTCTCCGCCTCTTTTGTGACAAGTCATCAGAGGGCAACCACCAGCCTACAATTGGGGGGCCTCTACCCTGGTTTTCTCTTCTGGCAACGCACACCTACCTTTTCTCTTCCCTTTTCTCGTCTACTTTTCGTATGGCCTGGGCTCTTTGCCCTCTGTTTCGTCGTTTACACGAATGACTGCTCCTCAGGGGGGACCCCCCACCGACTTTGTGTGCCAGGAAAGTGGTCAACCGAGGGTAGAACGTGACTTTAGAGTACTTGCAATACGATGACAACGTAGACCCATCTCACAAGTACGTCACTGGTCTGTAGCAAAGGTTGCAGAGAGAACATGACTCGTCGTACTGCTTAGTTGTAGACGTTGGTGCTCTCCTCGCTCCGTGCCAGACTCGTGCAACACTGCAGCATTGCATCAATTGGTCAATAGATGAAAGATGAAAGATGAGGATTCTGGGCTGCTCTTGTAACCAGTCAGTCCTATTGAGCCTTGACGCTTTGTAGAAAAATGACAATTGCCAACCAACACGTAATTGCATGTCAGTATGATGTTGATGATGCCAGCCACATATACCCACGCTACAATGCTTCACGAGGTCGGACCGCTCCAACACTCTTTACACTCCATCTTCTTTTCCATCCGCCTCCCTCTCACCACCACCACTACCACCACCTCCACCACCGCTCTCCTTCTTGATGCCCACAACCACCATGTTGCGCGGGCTCTGCCCAAAGTCAAACACCGTCTCGACCCACGCCTCGCCCACCTCTTGCTGCTCCTTGAGCCACACCCAGCGGTCCGTCACCATCAGCGCCTCGACCAGCGTCGCGCTGTACGCCATCAAACTCCAAACAATGCACAGCTCCTTCTTGCGCGGCGCGAACCGCGCCATGTACGCCTCCATCTCCGCCTCGCTCATGTCCGCCATGGTCTCCCGCATCACCTCGGCGTACTTTTTGTAATCGCTGCTCGTCGTGAGCTTGTTGACCGCCGCGCGAATGTACTGCGCGAGTCCGCCGCCGTAGCTCCGCTTCGGCAGCGTGCCAATCGCGAGCGGCGATGTGCTCTTTTGAAACGGACCTAGCGACGCCGGATCAACATCTTCTTGCTCGTTGTTGTTGTTGTTGTTGTTGTCGTCGGGATGATGGAACAACACCTCGTGCACGGCGCCGCGGTCGAGAAAAATCTTTTGCAGCACGGCCCGGTAAAAGTGCCGGGTGAAAAAGAGCTCGCTGTCTGCGGCGGTCCAGTTTTGCGGCGCCTGGCACGCCATCATGCGCGCGGTGATGTTGGCGCGGATCCCGTGCCCGCGGTACGTCGACAGCCGCTCGCTCATGGGAAACCCTTGCGGATCGCGCCGGTCCGACTCTTTGATGACGCGCCCGTTGACGGCCTGCAACGTCGGCCGGAGGTAGTAGTTGCCGTGCTGCTTGTGGGTCGGCGGGCCGAGCTTTTCGGTGACGAGGTTGTAGCAGCACCCGACAATGGCGACGGCGTGAATGTCCGGGTTCAGCACCAGCGAGCGGATGCCGTAGTGTGAAAGATTTCCGCATGAGTGGATGGAGACGGCCATGAGCTTGAGACGCTTCTTCTTTTCCTCCACGTTGGCGCCGCTCCCCGCGCGGTCAATCTTGGCAATCACCTCGGACAAATCGCCATTGTCCAACCTCCCTGAAACGTACTGCAGCAGCCCTTTGCCCTCTTCTACCGTGTACGACAGCTCGTCGCTGCCAATCTTGCGAAAGTTGTCGCCTTCGTCGTCGTCGCTCACCACCTCTTTGATCGCGGCAGCCAAGGCCTCGGGATCGCTCTTGTTGGGGCCCGCCACCTCGAGGATCTTGTTCCACACCTTTTTGTTGCGCAGAATCTTGGGCTTGACCGCCAGACCCGACTGCGTGTCGAAGCTCTTGGCCGCGTCGACATTCTTCTGCCGGCCCTCGACAGCCACCACCCGCCGGTTGTACGGCTCGCTGGCCAGCGCCCGCCCCAGGTAGTTTTGGCCGCTGCCAAAATCGACAAAGTGTGTCACTTCCTCCTCGTCGCCTGCACCCGCCGCCATGTCGGACGAAAGCCGCGTCACGTAGTCGGCGAAGCGCCGCACCTCGTGCACCTTTTTCGGATTCATGCCCACCGACACGGTGCGCGTCAGCGGCGGCAGGTCCGCGGCCGGCGTCTTGACGTCCCGCCGCAGCGCCAGCCGCCGAATCGTTTTGATGTACTTGGTGAGACTCGCCGGCGGCGTCTGCCCGTCGGCAAACGTGGCCGTGTCTGGGTTGTCGCGCACGAAAAAGTCGAGCAGACGCATCACATCCTGCGAGAGCAAAAAGGCGTGCCATTCGGCCGGCAGGGCTGCGTAGAAAAGACCCGGCTCTGTGATGAAAAAGTCGACGACGTGCACGGCGCCGCACAGTATTTGCCACGTGTCGCTTGTAGAGGCAAAATCCAGAAGTTCCTCCACGTACTCTTCTGGCGTCGCAAACTCATCGCTGCATGGCAGCGGCTTCGTGGGCGGCATCCTACCCTGCAGGAGAAGCTTGCTGGTTGTAGTGTTGGTCGTGGCAATCAGGGCCGCAATGTCCAAGTGTTTTCTGTAAACCCTTCTATTGTGACATCGATTGAGGTGAAGCGCAGCTCGTCCTTGTGTAGTTGCGTGAGTATTTAGACGTTTTGGTCTCAAGTTGAAATCTCAAGGTTTTTTAGCCACCTGTGTGGGGTGGTACAACTAGATCATCGACGCACCATGCAGAAGGGTTTTTTAAAAAAGGAATGGCAATCCAATGTAGCAGGATTTGAAGTAACAAGAATTCAAATTCAAGGGTAAATCCCTATTCACATGTGTCGTCGTGCCCTGAGTTGAGATCTTACTCTTGTTCCGAAACGCACATGGGCCCTTGGTACGTACCTTGTCCACTAGCGCAACTCCGATTGGGGTTCTCAAGGCAACGTCATTCGCAACGCCAGGCCAGCTTGCGACAGATCAACCTCCAGGCTCCAAGCGCCAGCATCTACATCAATATCAACATTCGTCCTCCCCCAAAACACTACTCCCTCCCATCCATGCGTCACCTTATATAGCAACCGACAGGATGATGTCCTCCACTAACGAGGAGGACCCGTTCCTCCAGGTCCAGCAGTACGCTCGCTCGCCCACCTTCCCCCCCCCAAATTCCCAGCTAACCCATTTGCCCGCAGAGATGTCCTCTCGCAGCTCTCCTCGGCCCGCCCGCTCTTCGCCTCGTACCTGCGCATTCGCTCCCTCGCCAGCGCCGCCTCCTCGCCCGAGCTTGCCTCTGCGCGCGCCGACCTCGAGGCCGCGCTGTCCGCCCTCGCCGAGGACCTGTCGGACCTCGTCGCCTCCGTCGCCGCCGTCGAGTCCTCCCCCGCCGCCTACGGGCTGTCCGCGGAAGAAGTCGCCCGCCGCAAGCGGCTCGTGCAGGAGGTTGGCGGCGAGGTCGACGACATGCGGGAGGAGCTACAGAGGAAGCTTGCCGCCGGCGGCGACACGTCGGACCCTGCGATGGCTCGTGGTGGCGAGCAAGAGGAGGAGGAGGATAGCTATGCCGAGTTTGAGCAGCAGCAGCAGCTGGAGATGATGCGCGACCAGGACCAGCATCTGGATGGCGTGTTTCAGACGGTGGGCAATTTGAGGAGGCAGGCGGACGACATGGGCCGCGAGCTCGAGGAGCAGCACGAGATGCTCGAGGTGGTGGATAGTGTGGCGGATAGGGTCGGTGGGAGGCTGCAAAATGGAATGAGCAAGCTGCAGACGGTAATTCGACGCAATGAGGATCGGTATAGCAGCTGCTGCATCGCGGTGCTGATTTTTGTGCTGATTTTGCTGCTGGTGCTGCTGCTGATTCTATAATGGTGTGTCTTTTTTTTTTCCGTAAAGCATTTTAGAGCTGGGTTGATTTTGGGAGTTTGAATATCATGGCTGTTTTTCTTCCCGTTTTCACGTGTTCCCTTGTCTAGAGTGTGAAGAAAGGATCTAGGATAAATTAGCGGCTCTATCACAGATGCATTGCTCTATTGTTAACCCTCAATAAGATGGCATTTTATAAAGGATGGATCATGTATACATAATGAAGACGTATACCAGAAACAAGGAAAGACACACCACACAGGCCTCATATGGCGGCGATGGCGGTGGTGACGGTTTGCACTGGTTTGCCTGTGCTTTAGTACTCCATGCTGCGATTCAACTCTCTACATCATTGAAGTGACTGGTAGGGAGATTGAGACGACCCAGATACGGAATTGCTGGCCTGGCAACCGGAAAGATGCATTGTAAAATGTTGTGGTATTGCTTGTTTTCCTCGTATTTGTCGAGTAAAAACTATGTAAAAGGACAAAATATCCCGCGCCCAAAAATATAAAACGCCGTCTTGGAACCACATTGATGGATCCCGCCATTGGCAAATCAAACAGTATACTACCAACGCCGAAATGTGCCTTTACAACCCGCATCTATACTCTTTTGTACATGACTGCTTCGCGCCTCTCACAATTTCCACGCAGTATCGTCTTCTCAGTCCTTTTGCCCCACAATGCCCGGGTTTCCATCATCTGTATGCCATCATGCCAGTATCAGCCCGCTCGTCGACTTGAGAACCTCGGCGAGGGCCTGCAGCGATCCGGCGGCGGGTGTGTTGCCCGGCGCCTTCTTGGGAAACTCAACCAGGGCAAGCCGCAGCGCGGCAACGGCCGCGTTGCCGTAAAAGTTGAGAAACTGCTGCTCGTGGCCGTCAATCAAGTGCCGCACGACAATGTACTGCGTGTTGGACGTCTGGCCCGCAGGGCAGTTGACGATACCGGCCAGCGTCTTCCAGTAGTGCGTCGGAGGGTACGGGTTCTTCTTGACACTCCGGCTAAAGTCGCGCAGGGACACGGCCGCGTACCCGGCCGCTAGGCCCGCCATGCGGTCGTTGTGGCTCTGCTCCGTGATCCAGGACGGGCCGTCCTTGCGCCAGCCCAGTGCCAGGCGGCCCCGCTCCGTCTTATCGTTGCCCGACAGGCCGAACAGCACGGGGCAGGCGACCCGGAACTTGGCCATGAGGATGTCAATCAGCGAGGCCCCGCGCCATTGGAACTCGGGCATGGAAAATATTTGCACGGTAAAGACGCCAATCGGGTTTGCGGCCTTTGAGTTGGCGCCGCACTCGCTGATAAACTGGTTGATGATGCCCTTGGCGCAGATATTAATGAGGTAGATGAACAAAGCAGGCAGCGTGGCGTCGTTGTGGGCGGCACCCTCAACTGGCTGCCTTGCGTCTGCCACAAACTTGCTCACTTCAACAAGTGGGCTAGGCACTTTTTGCTGAAGGGCATCATTGAAGGCTGTGGTAATTTTTTGAATCTGCTGACATGTCAGACGAGATGTGACAGCACCGGCAACGAGGATAAACATACCGGTAGAGCGTTGGCACCGCGCCCTGACGTCAGCTGGCCAATAGAGACGCGAATCTCACGTCGATATGTGCCCATAGTACCTTTGAGAGGAGAGCCTGGTACTTTGGCCGCGGCCTGCAGAGACGTGCGAAGCCTTTTGAGCTCCTGGTGGATCTGCAAATATCGTTCGGTGGACGCCGACGGCTTCGGGAGTTCGGGTGCCCTTTGTGTAGACTGCGATGCCACAGGCTGTGTCTTTGGCTGGGCAGTGTTTGGTGCAGGGAATGCCAAGTTGCTCGCCGGCTTCACAAGTTCCGGTTGGGCGACTGTTTGTGCAGGCTTGGCAGTGTTGCCAAAGCCGTTGGCCTGCGGTTTCAGCCCCGACAGCGGCTCCTGCTTGACAACTGGCTTCTTCTGGACGAGCGTTTGCTGTGTTTGCAATTTTGCATCTGCGACATTTTCTACCGGCTTAGCAGGCAAGCTCGGCGCTGCCCTGGTAGGTTCTTGTTTCGGCTCGGGGGGCGGCGTAGGTTTGGGGATCGATTTGGCCCGCAGCTCGTGCAGTTTGCGTTCCTTAGCGGCAAGTTCTGCTTCGGCCTTGAGCCTCTCGTTTTCGCGCTCTTGTTGCTGGCGGATGCGCTCGCTCTCCTCTTTGAGTTCGTGCATCTCGTAAACGCGCATGGCGGCTTCGCGGACGCGGTCATGCTCCGCCTGCGCTGCGGCGAGTGCATCAAGGTGGCTCAATTCATCATTGCGCGTGTCAAAGAGGAAGCTCCGGCGAAAGCCTCGCTCGGGGCTTGATACAAGCTGCTGGTCTTTGCGCGCGGGGGAGGAACGCGACATGGTAGCGGTTGTATGTGGGAGGCGGGTGTGGGAAATCAGAAAGCGAGGTTCGACGCTGACGCTAGATGTGCTCGCAGACCATGCCGAGAGAAAACTTTATTAAAAGACAGAGGGACCTACAAAGTAGCTGGAAAGAAAAGGCGAAGCATGAAAGAAAAGATTACATTCAGGTCTGGTGGTTTGTTAAGTTTTGCGTTGTCGCGTTCATCATGAAGCCACTGTAGAGATAAATTGTGGTTAGTGCACGGCGGTAGAGGCGATTTCGGGCCCGCTAAAACAAAGTCCCGAGCGCCTGCAGACCGCAGGCATATATTTGCAGGCATGGCATTGAATACAGAGGTTGTGAGAGCGCCAGTCCAATGCAACTTGCCATCCGGTACAACTTGAACAGCGCAACCCGCCAATCAAAATATCATCATCAGCAAGGGTCCTGCGGACCTCGGCCGCAGCGTCATCTACAAGGGACCCCTCGCCCGCTCGCTGAGGTGTGGATGAACGGAATGCTGTAAGCCGTTTACTTTCTATGCCCAAAGTTTGTTGGTGCTGGTCTTGCGAAACAAGGTTCATCTTGGCGATCACTGCCATGCACATCGGGTGGCCGGAATGCGGGAGAAGGTTGTGGGCGCCTGCGCCTATTCTGGCATTGCCTGCGGTTTGTGGAACCGAACCAAAACACCAGATGTTGCAAACCGTGATTGTCCGTGAATCATGAAGGTGGTGCACATCACCGGGGATATTCTCAGATGGTGTATCGAACCCTTGCTCGGAGCCACGGAGCGCTCGGGTATTTTGAAGCCGCGACTGCGCATCATGCTGCTGACTGGCAATGTGAAGCTTGCAAAATTCTTCACACCTGACAGTGGCAACATGGTCTGAACTGGCCAGATATCGTTTCTTTTAGCTAGCCGCCGTGGTTAGCAGCGCGTACCAGTGCACCAATCAAGTCTTTCCGGTTCATGAAAGAAATTCGCAGAAGCGGGAAATTGGACGAGCTCCGACGCACACGACAGGCGCACCAGGTGGAGGCAGCTGTCTGCGTTGTGTCGTATCTGTTCCCTGTTGCAGAATGCTACTGGTAGTTCGTGCAACCCCTGACCGCCGCCAAGGAGGGGAGGGTACTCTGGTGGTTCTTCCTCAGGCTCAGGTTGGACGTGCGCAAGCTGCATGTAATGCCTGCCCAGATGCAGGTGATGCCTGAAATCCTGGAGAGCCTGGTCGGCGCATGAATGGCGAGGTCTGTTTGTTGTCTTTGGCATAGCAACCGTCGATGGAGGCTGTTTGGAGAATGGCTACGAGGCGCTTCATGGCCAGTACGTCGCCAAGTCGCCTCGGTCGACAACTCGTACCGCAGGCCGCTGCCACTTATTTGTAGAAACTCTAACCAGTGAGAACGACTGGGAGCCGCAATTCCAGCATCTCAGCTCGGGCTGCTCAGGCGAGCGGCGCGATGGTTGACCAGTAGACTACGGATGTAACCCCACTTATAAACTGCTGCGGACGTTGAAAGGACACCAAGCGGCACTAATAAGGCAGGCCGTCTGGGGCTTCGTCTGTTTTGGCGTAGAGCTCATCCTGGTCTAATAATGAAATAACTGGCGGCGTATTATTTCATCCAGTCAGGCAAATTGTCTCCGTGCTGGTGGCGCACGTCGCAGCTGTCTGGACAACTAGTCGTGCATGTCGTGATAGGAGCCTCGAGCTTGGAAGCAGATGACCCCTCTCGACCTCCAACCGCAAGGAAACCGTCCGGACCTGGCCAATTGGCAGCAGCAAGAAGCTGTGGGAAAGCATACTTTGCCACTAAACTTTGGTTAAGTTTATGCAGCAAGACCCTGGATGCACCAATTGCAGGCAGCGTGGAGAAGCCGAGATATGCACGACGGAGGTGATCCTTACGGCAGAAGCGGCGGAAGCAGCGCTGGAATAAAGCGGACGGACAAATGTCCAACGAATACACAGCTCGAATACGAATCGTAGGATCCAGTTTAACAAATAGTGTAAAATGGGATGGACAGCGGTTGTCAGGTAATGGACAATATGCCAATATGTGATGAAAGTTTGGCAACTCCCAGGCTAGATAGGTAGGTACCTACCTACCTAGGTAATAAGGTAGTGTAAAAACAGCACTCCTGCTCCGCGCTGTATTTCAGTGCCCGTACAAATATTTACAGCGTCCTCCACCGCTCTAAGCTCCCCAAATTATCTTCTCTCAACTGCTACCTTAGCTGTTCACCACCCGTTTCGACCGCCCCATTTTAGGCCACAACTCCTCTTCGTGCCCTCTATTTTGCCCCCCCAACGCCGCTCACAGCTCGACTTATTTGCATCATCCATCCCTCCCTTAATCCTCGCTCTCCCACTTCCGTCTTCTTCATCCCCTCGTCACTCATCCCATCTCCATCAACGCCTTCCTTTTACACACTCCTTGGCTCTCTCGAGCTCGACTGAATCAATCCCATATACCTTCCTTCCTTTTTTTCCTCCAGCGCAGCCTTTACTTTCGCCCGCTTCTCGGTACTACCCGCTCCTCAGCCCAACCGACGGCCTCGCTATTCCACGACATCTGTCCTGATACATCCGACACCTTCATTGATCGCACGCGACGTGCATACTGGTGCCTGTACCCGACTCTCTCCTCAACATGGACCAGCAGCAATCCCAGCAGCAGCAGGGCCAGCAGCAGGGCCAACCCGCTCCCCCCCCGGGTGCTGGTGGTGTTCATGGTCCCGCCGGACGTCGACTGCACATTGCTCATCGTCGCAGCCCATCCGAGCTGACTCCCTTGATGAGCATGTTTGCCAATCCTGGAAGTAAGTTACTACTCTCACCACTCTTACGTACCTTCGTCTTCTCCGCCCTCACCCCCAGGTTGAGAAATCAAGCTTCCTAAGCTAACATGCCATCTCTTCTTCGCAGTGGAGCAATTGGCTATCCAGCAGCAGATTGAACTTCTGCAGCAGCAGCAGCAGCAGATTCAGGCTACTCACCAGCAGTATGTCAACATGGGAATGATTCCACCTGGCCAGCCCATGGCCCCTAATGGAGCGTTCACTCCTTTGCAATCCATGGGCAACATGCCACAAAATGCCTTCCAGTTCCCCAACCAAATACCCCAAACGGTTTCGATGGCTCCCCCTTCCCAGCCGCTCTCCCACCGTCGCAACCAATCCGCCCTCCCCAACATGGGCATGGGCCCTCCTCCTGCCCCGTCCGCCGGAGCCTCGGGCTCTGCCTTTGGCAACTTCGAAGCCCCGAGCGGCCATAACCGAGAGAATAGCAGCGCTCGAGGTGGAAGGGGTGGTGGAGGTGGTCACCAGAGGCGCCATTCTTTGGCTCTTGCTGATGCCAAAAAGGCCGCCGAGATTGCCCAGCAGAAACGCACCACGACCGGCTTTCAGTTTCCCGGCCCCAACGCCGGCAGCGATAAGCCCGACGACGAGAACAAGGGCGCCCAGCAGCCCAGTGCTGAGGGTCTTGCCCCGTCATCTGCCCTTCGTAGTGGCCGCGGCGGACATGGTCGTAGCCAAAGCATGGCTGTCAACGGTCGCGGCGCTGCTGCCAGAAGCAACTTCAGCCTCGGTGGTGATGCGGACTTCCAGCAGCGTCGTGGTGGCGGTCATAACCGCTCCGGTTCGCGCAGTTTTGAAGGCAACTGGCGCACTCAGGGCCAGAATCAGGAGCAGGGCGGCGCTGGCCAACCTCAGGGCTTCCAACCCGGCCACAGATCTCGTGGCTCCATGAATCAGTCTGTCTCCTCCATCGGCGCTTTCCAGTATAACCCTGGCAATCTGCAGCTTCCTGGCCAGATGATTATGCCCCAGATGTACGGCCAGAATCTAAACTCGGTGCAGCTCAGCCAGCTTCAAGCTCTACAAGCTGCGCAGATGGGTGGTGGCCAGCAGTTCCAGGGCCTGCAGGGCCAGCAGGGCGGACAGCTAGGCGGGCAGCAGCAGCAGCAGCAGCAGCAGCAACAGCGCAAGACTCTCTTTACCCCCTACCTCCCACAGGCCTCGCTGCCCGCTCTCCTCGGAGACGGACAGCTCGTCTCTGGTATTCTTCGTGTCAACAAGAAGAACCGCAGTGACGCCTACGTTACTACCCAAGACGGACTCCTCGATGCCGACATCTTCATTTGCGGTTCCAAGGACAGAAATCGTGCCCTTGAAGGCGATCTTGTCGCCATTGAGCTCCTCGACGTGGACGAAGTCTGGTCACAGAAGCGCGAGAAGGAAGAGAAGAAGAAGCGTAAAGACATCACCGATACCCGCTCCAACTCGACCAACCAAGGCAATCAAAGCTCCAACCGCGCTGATGATTCTGGCAACGCTGAGGGCGGTATTCGGCGCCGTGGTAGTCTCCGTCAGCGCCCTACTCAGAAGAAGAATGACGACGTCGAAGTCGAAGGCCAGAGCCTGCTCCTTGTAGAAGAAGAAGAGATCAACGATGAGCAGAAGCCTCTCTATGCTGGTCATGTCGTTGCTGTGATTGAGCGTGTCGCCGGACAAATGTTCTCAGGCACCCTTGGCCTTCTTCGTCCCAGCAGCCAAGCTACCAAGGAGAAGCAGGAGGCTGAGCGCGCTGCTCGCGATGGCAACTCTGGCCGCAACGATTCGCGTCATCAAGAAAAGCCAAAGATTGTTTGGTTCAAACCCACCGACAAGCGTGTTCCTCTCATCGCCATCCCCACGGAGCAGGCTCCTCGCGACTTTGTCGAGAAGCATCAGGACTACGCCGACCGCATCTTTGTCGCTTGTATCAAGCGTTGGCCCATAACTTCCCTCCACCCGTTCGGCACCCTTGTCGAACAGTTGGGACCTATGGGAGACCTCAAGGTTGAGACGGATGCCCTCCTACGCGACAACAACTTTTCTTCCGATGAATTCTCCGATGCTGTCCTTCGTAGCGTAGGGCTTCAGGACTGGGACCTCGCAAAGGAAGAGGAATCTTCAGTTTCTGCTCGCCGCGACTTCCGCGAGGAGCAGGCTTTCACTATCGACTTCAACGGTGGTACCGAGCTGGGCAATGCTGTTCACGTCAAGACACGCTCTGACGGGAAGATTGAGATTGGCATTCACGTTCCCGATGTTGCCCATTTTGTCAAACCCAACTCTCTTGTTGACCGTGAAGCCAAGAAGCGTGGCACCTCTGTCCAGCTCGTCGATCGCTTCTGCGCTCTTCTCCCGCCCAAGCTGGCTGGTGAGGTTTGCTCCATTACCCCCGCAGAAGAGCGTCTCGCTGTCAGTGTTGTCTTCAGCGTCAACCCTCACAATGGCTCTGTTGCCGAGGGCGATGCCTGGGTTGGAAAAAGTATTGTCAAGAGCGTTGGCAAGCTGTCACTTGCTGACATTGATGCTGCCGCTAGCGATGAGTCTGCTTACAAAAATGAGGCTGTTTCTCTTCAGACTGTCAAAATTCTTCAGGCCGTTGCTCAAAAGTTCCGCGAGGCTAGACTCGGTGCCGGTGGTGAGCCTATTGCGCCCTTGCGCCTATTTCAGCAGCTCGACGACGAGAACCAACCGGTTCAATTCAACATCTTCGACTCCACCGAGTCTCTAGAACTCGTCGAGGAACTTATGCACAAGGCCAACGCCTACATTGCCCAGCGCCTTGCCGAAGGTCTGCCAGAAAAGGCTCTCCTTCGCCGCCAGTCTCCCCCCAATCCTCGTCGTCTGCAGACTTTTGTCGAGCGCATGAACGCTCTGGGCTATGATGTTGATGCATCGGGAAGCGGTGCTTTGCAGAACAGCTTGTTCAAGGTGGAAGATTCCGAACTTCGTCAGGGTATGGAGACTTTGGTCGTTAAGTCTATGCAGCGCGCCAAGTACTTTATCGCTGGCAAGACTCCCAAGCAGCTGTGGCAGCACTACTGCTTGAACCTCCCTCTTTACACCCACTTCACCAGCCCGACACGCCGTTACGCTGATATAGTTGTTCACCGCCAGCTCGAGGTTGTTCTGTCCGAGGGCAAGATTGAGTACACTGAGGAGTTGGAAAGTCTGGTCAAGACTGTCGAGGCGGCCAACACCAAGAAGGAATCGGCGCAGAACGCCCAGGAGCAGAGCGTGCACATTGAGGCTTGCCGGAAGATGGACAAGCAGCGACAGGATACCAATGGTGATCTCATCACCGAGGGTATCGTCGTCTGCGTATACGAGAGTGCCTTTGACGTTCTCATTCCCGAGTGGGGCTTCGAGAAGCGCGTGCACTGCGACCAGCTGCCGCTCAAGAAGGCCGAGTTTCGAAAGGAGAAGCGCATCCTCGAGCTGTACTGGGAGAAGGGCGTTCCCAGCTCTGCTTACGTCCCTGAAGACGAGCGTCCAAAGGCTGCCGCTTCTCAGAGAATGACCAATGCCATGGCCGCTGCCAAGCAGGCGGAAGCAGCCGCCAAGGCTAGAAAAGAGCGAGAAGAAGCCACCCGCAAGCAAACGGAGACGGGCACCATGTCCACCGATGATGTCGACGCCCTGTTTGATGATGACGAGGATAACGTCTCAGACGTTACTGAGGCCATGGCCGGTGCTTCTCTTGGTGACCGTCCTACGCAGAGTGTTCCCGGCTCCCCTGACCGGACAAACTTGGACGCTACCGCTCTTCAGCGTGCCCGCTCTGACTCGAGAATGCCTGTTACCGACGCTGTTGAGTCGCGTCTGACCAACAAAGAAAAGTACTTTAAACTGTTCAAACTTCGCGAGGAAGACGGCGAGTATATTCAGGATGTGACGGAGATGACAAGGGTGCCCATCATTCTCAAGACGGATCTCACCAAGAGCCCACCGTAAGTCGCCCCGACTACCTTGTGTGTAAATGAAGCAAGCTAACTCGAGGCAGTTGTCTGACGATTCGATCCCTCAACCCATACGCCCTTTGAAATGATATGCAACCATATTGAAGAATTGATGCAAAAGATTTGGTGGCAAAACAAAATCGTTTTAGTTGAATTAGCATGTCTGGACAAGACCATGTTGCACTAATGTTTTATAAATATTGCACCGTTGATGGTTGTGTAAGGGAAGCAGTGCATGTGGAAAAATGAGCACGGCAATGCCAAAGCATACCAAAAGATGAATATAATTGCCAATTAAGATTGTTTACATATTTGCAATTGCTAATTACTCTTAAGATTACCATCTGGTGGGCTAATTGATAGAATGTGTCGAGATTTCGTGATAGAATAAGCCGAACTTGGACATTTCGACGAACTAATCTTGTCAACGATCAGATCATGTCAACGCACAAAAGCATGTCAACTAACTAGATCATACCAAAGAATATGTCATGTCAGAGCTTATTTTGTTTTAGTGTTGGTTTACGTGGAGACTTGCCCATGTGACAACCCGTCCAACTCGTGTTGCACTAGTGGGCTAAGGCGCGACAAATTGCGACGAGAGGCAACCACCAGCGCGAGAGAGCTGCCTAGCAGCGCCATGAAATGAATCTTGGCTGGCACAAAACAATCTCTTTGCTTTCACTGCTAGAAAACGGAAAATTTTATCGTCAGGTGGCCATCTTGTAATCTGGTACCTAGCGGCCATGGTTTGATACAAGGGAAACTGTCAGCCCTGTCGCAATCTATCGAGCGTGCAAACTTTGCTGAACTGAAGAAGAAAAAGGACGAGCATGCCGTTTCCATTCTCAGACGTCTGCGACCTGCTCGAGCAGTCATACCGGCTTTGTCAGTCCCGCAAGAGCAACAACAACAACGACGCCGCCGTGCATGCGTGGTTCCGGCGGCACCGCGCGGCCGTCGACGCGCACGATACTGACATGGCGGCGCTGCTGTCGACGCTGCTGCCAGAGAAGCGCACCGATCGCGTGTATTGCATCCAGGCGCCGACACTAGAGCGGGTGATTGGCCGGGCGCTGATGCTCGGCTCCTCGCGGATGCTGGAGCTGGCGACATACAAGCGGCCGGGTGCGGGCGTCGATCTTGCCGAGTGCGTGGAGCGCATTCTGTCCGTGACTGTGAGTTTTTTTTTTTTTTCTTTCATTATTTTTATTCTTTCTTCTTGCATTTGAGGGGGGTTTTTGCAAGACTGACAGTTGGGATATCAGCCGAATGCGGTGCAAGAGGGCCAGGATCAAATTGTGACGGTGGAACAGATTGACGAGCTGCTGCATGGTCTGGCGGCGCGCATCCGATGGAGCGCCCCCGCGATACGCGAGTCCAGCGCGGCCATGTCCCATGAGAGCCGCGGGGACCTGGAGAGCATGTACCGACGGCTGTCGGCGCGCGACGCCAAATGGTTCACACGGCTTGTGCTCAAAGACTACCAACCGCTCATCTTCAATGCCAATCTACTGTACCGCGCCTGCGACCCCGTGCTGCCGTGCATCCTCCAGATCCGGGACGACTTTACCGAGGCGTTGGCCGCAATGTCGTCTGCGCGGGGTCCGCTACTGCCGATGGCGGCGGCGGGGGGAAGGGGAAAGCTGAGCACGAGGAGGGTGCTGGCGACGGTGAAGCCGAAGCTGGGTGTCAAGGTCGGGAGGCAGCAGTGGCTCAAAGGCAGGAGTATCAAGCATTGCATCGATATGGGCAGCGGGCGGATGAGCGTGGAGACGAAAATGGATGGCGAGTACTGCCAGATTCATGTATATCTGAGCAGCTCGCAAAAGAGGGTGCAAATATTTTCAAAGAGCGGCAAGGACAGCACGGAGGATAGGTCCAAGGTGATACCGTGAGTCGTGGCTGTTGGCTTTTTGTCAAGGTCGGGCGGGGTACTAATGTGTATAGGGCGATTGAGAGGGCGCTTAGGCTTCGTACGAGTGAGTGCGGGTTTCAAGAGGCATGTATTTTAGAGGGCGAGCTTGTATTGTATAATGATTTGGTGAGTTTGTACGGTTTACATCTTGATGGAGAACTAACAGCTCTAGGACAATACAATTATGCCGTTTCATAAGATTCGCGGCCACGTCACGCGCCGCGGACGATATATGAATACAGAACAAGACTCGCAGTGAGTACTCGACTTGCCTGCTGACTAGAGATTGCTGACAGTTCTAGGCCAAAACCATATGAGCACTTGATGATTGTCTACTACGACATTTTCCTCGTCGATGACCAGTCTCTCATGGACGTCCGGCATTCGGAGCGGCTTAAAATTCTTCAACAAGTCGTCCATTGTGAGCGTGGACTCGCAGCACTGGTCCCGCGAGAAACGATTGACTTTCGACACTCTCTTGCTGCGTCTGCCCTGCGAAAAGCATTTGCCAAGGTCATTGTCGAGAGAGGCGAGGGGCTTGTCTTGAAGCCCGACGAGCCTTATATCGTGATTGACGAAAAGGGACGGGCAACGTCGTGCCGCTGCATCAAGCTGAAAAAGGAATACATTGGGGCGTTTGGCGACGTGGGCGACTTTGCCCTTGTCGGCGCGGGCTTCCACGCAGCAAAGGCCAAGATGTATCGTATCCCAAACTTGAAGTGGACGCACTTTTACATTGGATGTCTCAACAATAAAGAACAAGTCCAAAGATGGGGCGACACGCCCGAATTCACCATTGTCTGCGCTCTCGAGCTCCCTCAGTCTCTTTTGCAATCCTTTCTCGCGTTTGGCGAGCTGACGGCCGTGGCACGCGCCGACAACACGTCGACAAAGTTGACTGTGCCGCCTGGCATCCAGTGCCCCCACGCGCGCTTGACCGTTGCGTTTGCGAACCCCGCCGTCGTCGACCTCTGCTGCTTCAGCTTTGACAAGCCCGGCAACACGGGGGGGGTTTGGACGCCGCGCTTCCCCGCCGTGACCAAGATTCACACCGACAGGGACTATACCAATGTCGTGACCCTGGACGAGCTGCAGGCCATGGCGCGGGAGGCGGTGGAGAAGCCGGCGCAGGAGGTCAGCCAGGAGAATTTGCGCTGGATCGCCAAGCTCGAGGGCGCGGACCCGCGGGGCGTGGCGGTGGATGCGGTGAGTCAGGCGACGGCGACGACGATGCCGACGCCTTCACCGGTCAAGTTGACGATGACGACGACGAGGACAACGACGCAGAGCACGGCGTCGGGTAGTAGCCAAGAGTCCAAGGCGCCGACGGAGACGAGCCACCAGAGCCAGGCCGTGGCGTTGCCGACGCCGCGGGCCAAGGAAGCAGAGGCGCGGAGAGAGGTGTCCGTGTCGGTCATTTCCATATCTTCGTCTTCGACTGCCAGCAAAACTCGCTCGCAAAAGTCGGCGATGCGTGGCTCTGCGAAGCGAGTAATGGGAACAGCGTCGCCGGAGCAGAGCTTCAAGCGCCGCCACTGCGCGGCCAGTCTCGGAGACAAATCTGCCGCGCCGAGCGCCCCGCCGTCGCGAAGACCACTGGAAAACATGAATGTAAATGTTTCGTACGGCGATTCTCAGTCCATCGATAGCCAAGACAGCCAGGCCACGGTGAAGCTGGAGGAGCCGCGCAGACTTGCAAATGCGCAACAACAAGACATCGTCATTGAGATTCCGAGCTCGGACGCAGAAGACGACGACGACGACGACGGCTCGTCACAAGACCTGAGCAGCCAGAGCCGCTCCCTAGCAGTGGTGGCGGCGCCCAAGACAACAATCGCAGCAGCTCAGCAGCCTAGCGGATCCCATCATGTACACTGCAAGTATGTCGGTGCAAAGTGCGGCTTCGTCGGCAAGACAATACTGCTGTCGAGTCTTGCGCTGCTCCATCTCGCCGAGCTCACGCCCCTCCTGCGCTCCCACGGCGTCGACGTTTCGCGCATCATACCCTGTGTGGAGACGTGGTGGCGGAAGCTTGGCAGAGAAGAGCAGCAGCAGCAGCAGCAGCAGCAGCAGCAGCAGCAGCAGCAGAGTCGCGTGCTGCTTGTTGATAGCGTGCAGCAGAGCGCCGAGACCAAGGCGCTCGTGGCGAGGCTGGACGCGGCGCGCAAAGAGGCGCGGCGTGAGGAAGGGGATTGGATTAGCGTGTATGACTGGCGCGTGTTGAAGCATGTGTCGATTGCAGAGGACGCGGGCGTAGAGAAGAAGTACTATGATGGGTTTCAGGATCCGTGGAGGAGGTGGTATTGTGGGCTGGTGTAGTGTTGATGGGTTTTTGTGATGTTGGCATTGCATGGCGTTTTGTTGGCGGTGGTGTTTTGTTTTGGGTAACTAGTTGACTCAAACGTATAGCATATTCATGGAGTTTATTTCAAGGTCACGCTTGAATTTGAGATTCATTTTTATTCGTACTTGTATTCAAGAGCCGCGACTTCCTGCATTGCTACGATTCCTTCTTCTTGTACAAATCACCATATGTTTCCTCCAGTCTCATGCGCAGGTGCTCATCCGCCCTCATCACCTTGCGCCGCGCATACGGATTCGCGCTCTGCCCCTCAGCATCCCCCTCCCGCGGCGCAAACCTCCTCACCCGCTCGCTCGGCACGATACCCAGCTCCGTGCTCTGCGAGGGGCTCGAAAAAAACGCAATCGAGTAGCGCGGATCCGTCGCGCTCTCGCCCTCCACCACGATTCTGCCGTCAAAGACGACGCGGTGCAGCGTGCTCCGCAGCAGGCCGTCGGTCCAGTACGAGAGCAGGTCGCCGACGTTGACGAGGATGGGCGGGCTGGGGTCGCGCTCGGTGCCGGGCGGCTGCACGGGGACGGGCGCCCAGGTGCGGCCGTCGCGCAGCTGCACCTCGAGGCCGGCCTGCCCGCGGAGGCGAAAGAGCAGTGTGATGGAGCCGTAGTCGGAGTGGGCGCCGGCGCGCACGTCGGCCGCGGTGTGGGCGGTGGTGGAGGGGGGAGGGTAGCGCAGGAGACGCAGGATGGTGTCGCATTCGTCGCCGGGTTTGACCTCGTGGGCTTTGGCAAAAAAGTCGCCGACCTGTGAAAGATGTCAGGGAAATGGAAAGGAAGGGGAGGAGAACGGGGAAAGAGAGGGACAGACGTACGCCGAGGCCGTTGCCGATGAGGCGCAGGAGCTTGGAGCACATGGCGGTGCAGACATCACGAAAAGCCTCTAGACGGGCTTGGTCAGGGACAATGGTGGGAGGGAGTGGTTGTTGGGGCTTTCCGTCCTTGAAGAGGCCAATGTTGAAGACTCTTGGAGGTGTCAGCTTGGTAGTTTTGGCTTTTGGTGATGCACAACATGCATACAACATACTCTTTAAAGTCGCCCACCTGGGTCGAGTATACCGTCAGCATCAAAGCCAAAAGTCTACAAAGCGCAACCACGGTTTCGGACCTACTTTTTGGCTTCTAGGATCGAGTGTCTCTGAATGAAGTCCGCCCCAGCCGCGATTATTCGTCTGGATGGCGCAGGCGACTTTTTCCTCTAGCGGCGCATCAAACAGCTTCTTTGACTACAAAAGTGACGTGTCGTCAGCTGCATAGGAGCTCGTCTACAAGGCATCGACGGGGTACAAACCAATGCAAAAGCCTCGTCGACTTGTTCCGCGGATATATCCTGGCCGAGGTTTCTTATGTAGATGAATCCGTGCTCCTCGGCTGCATCGACGAGCTGCTTGCCAATGGTGGCCTCGTCGGCCGAGTTGATGTCAATGATGGGGATACCCGGGTGCGCCATCTTTGTAGCAGGCGGCGTATGATGGATATTAAAAATTTCTCACGGAATGGGGGCCAGATCAAGGGTTTCCTGAATGAGTGTTGAGTAATGTAGAATTTGAACTGTTGGATGATGGCACGGAAGCCATTTGACAGACAGCCTGATGTAGGAGCTAAGATGATGGCGGGGTCATGGTGATGCCTCGATGAGATACGTAAGACGGGCGGATTTGGCCCTGGCTAGGGGTACATTTTACCGACAATCAGCATTTTTTCAACATCAAACGAAGATGACATAATAAAACAGAGATCCAAAATCAACAGGCGCATCAAATAGTCACAAAAAGCAAATCACAAGACGTTTCGCAATTTACCGTCATTTCACCACGACTTGTACGCATCAAACAGACGACTACTCCTGCTACATGGTACAGAGACACCAGGCAACTTGCACAGAATCTCAATTCTTTTTGTCATTCAATATACAATTTATTTAACCAGAATTACCCAAGACATCATCATCATCATCGTTTTTTTCCTATTCATAACCTCAATATACAATGTGCGTCCGCGAAAGCAGACAGACATGGAACCCCCCCAATAATAAACCAAACATTTATGCCGTGTCCAACACAATAACCTCGGCAGCCGCAGAGCCAATGCTCTCAATGGAAAGCTTGTCGCCAGCATTGACACTCTCGACAAAGGCGCCATCGCCCTCGACGAGCTCGGCGTCTTCGCGACCATCAATGCGAATCTTGGCCTTGCCATTCTGCGTCATGGGCAGGTGTACGTAAACTTTTCGCTTGTTGGCCTCGGTCGCCTTGGCGCCCACGACCCATTCAAACGTCTTTTCCGGCGCAATGATGCCCGCGCCCATGGCAAAGTCGGCGTGTATGGGGATGGACTCTGCAATTGTCGGCTCGGCGTCCTTTTCTTGCTGCGCGGTGGCATCGACGCCGCCCTTGAGCGGGCTGAGAATGGTGACGAAGCCCTTTTTCTTGTCCTCCTCGCCAAACGTGCGCGTGTGGTAGCGAGGGGTGAGGCCCTGCTTCCAGGGAATGGCCCAGATTTGCAGGAAATGGACAGTGTCCGTCTTGTGCTCGTTGAACTCGCTGTGCGCGATCCCGGTACCGCCAGTCGTGTACTGGACGTCTCCGCGATGCATGCGGTAAAACTTGTCCGACTGGCCGCCCTCGCTGCCCTTGGCAATCATCGAGTCGCGATGCGTGAGCTCGCCGGACAGGATGTAGCTGAAAATCTCAAAGTCGCGGTGCGAGTGCGTGGGGAAGCCCGAGTTGGCCTTGACGCGGTCCTCGTTGAGGACTCTGAGCGAACCAAAATGCGAAAACTTGGGGTTGTACCAGTCCGCAAAGGAGAAGCTGTGGTAGGTGTTGAGCCAGCCATGGTCAGAGTGGCCACGGGCACCGGAGCGGTGCGGCGTAATCTTGGCTTGGCGCAAAACAGACTTGGACATGTTGCCGGCAGACTTTAGCATGAGCGGTTCTGTTGTTGTTGGTTTTTCCGTAGCTGTTGTGCTGTTTATTAAAGAGTCTGTCGTCTTCGTCGAGAACAGAGAGGAGCTCAGCTGCTGATAGTAGTAAGAAGCTGTTGGGTTGAGAATGATGATGAGTGTGGACAAAAAAGCAATCAAAATCGCAGAGCTGAGAACAAGGCGCGGCATATATAGACAATGGTCTAGTAGACTAGAATTTTCTGGAGATTTTTGGCAAGTTGGGGATTTTTTTAAAAACATTTGCAATGGATTAGACATCGCGGGCACTGCCTCATTATAAACTTTCCGTGGTGCATCACCAATCTGAAGCCAATTAGGACTAGCGCTGTTAGTAATGATTCTTAAGCTGTCGCTAATCAACCTCGGGCGGAATGAGCCAATCAAGTGATACTTTTAGATGGGCGTTACCCCGTTTCCGGGAAGATCTTGCGCGGCGTAGGTTTGCTTTTTTGCCAAGACACAGCTCGTTATTAGTCTAGTTTCGAAAGACAGGCAAGTACAATACCATTTCCCTGAATCAAGATACGACCCAGCGCCTTACCCCCTCGATCGAGATGGTTGCCAGATCTAGATATATGAAAGGCCTCGGATACCATTTGCCCTAGTTATTGATGGTAAAATGTAGAGCTCGATGTAAATGTAAATAGCCATCTCAGAGTTTCAAACCGAGCTCTGTCTCGAGTGGTGGGAAGCAATCATACTAGACTCTCAAGAGCCCCTCTACTTGTGTGTCGTACCTACGCCCCCCCCGAGAACGAGACACTCGATTGATGGCAAGATTATAAAGTCGCAAGAGTAGTATGCCGTTATCCGAAACCTCCATCTTAATTTCGAGGCTCAGAATCAAAGATGTGGTGCTGCTAGCTGCCCTGGTGTGGGTAGCCACTTGCTACCGTCCCGTCGCTCTCCAATACCCTACAAAATAGTTTTAGAAAAAAAGCCGGAAATCGCGACCTCGGCGATGTGATTATCCCAAGTAAGGGCCAATATTACGAGAATTATTGATCCGGGGAAGAATTCCCAGTTTTTGGCAACCGTTCCAAGCTCGACCGGAACCATTGGCGCTACTGGTAATCACCTACGTCACTCTGTCCTCACCATCATAACGCTCCTCCAACCTTGAAAAGCAGAGCAACATCCCATCCTCGAAAACATGGATATACTACAGTCTCAGTCCACCGTTGCCTGAATCCGAGGCACAAGACGTTGCCTACCATGTTTTCTTGCTTTGGGCACGATGGCGATGAGAATGAACGCGAGCCACTGCTGCCGCGGTACAATGACGATACCGCCCGCCAGGCGCGGCTGCACGAAAAGCTGCATACCTACCAGATGCTGCGCGCCATGTCCAAGGGATATATGCCGTCCACAGAGCAGACAAAAACACAATTGAGAACCCTTCTTTCCTCGCAAATCCTCAATCCATCAGATACGGCTGGGCTGTCCAGCTCTGGGCGGGCGCTAGTTCGTACCACCAGAGAATGGCTGCAACTCTTCATCGAGCTTTTGGACCAGAAGAATTCGCAGGACCAAATTCAAGATTTTATATGGTATCTCACGAGCGCCAGAGTCAATATTGACGCCAATGGTGCCGGAACAGTTTTTAACAAGGGCAAAGCCCATGCCAAGGCTTCAGCAGCAGCAGAGGCGCTACGGACCGTCTTTTCTCTTGCGCTCCTGAACAACGACTTTCGCGTGTTGATGGCAGACATTGGCACCATATCTACCCAGATACTCCGCGACGGCGCTTTCGCGGTTGGTCAGGTCTCCCAGCAGGCTGGCAAACAGCTCGACTCTAGCGTTGCAGGAGGGTCTGGCGATTTGGCTGCGCTAAAGGCCACTGACAACAAGGCCAAGGAAAAGTTTACCAAGGAAGAGCTGAAGCAGAAAGCTGTCGAGGTCAAGGATGACATCAAGGATGATGCGGTGCAAGTCTCGGAGGAAATGTATACCAGCTTGCAAGACCACATGGGTGAGGAGACGCAAAAGATTCTGATTAACCGCTTAAAGGCGGCAGTCAGCGGTCTTCGGCAGAAAAAGGATTACCCCGAGGCTGTCTCGCAGCTCGCAGGGCTTTTGCAGCGTTGCGTCACCATCTATCTCTCTGCCGCGGGGGAGGCGGCCGAACAAGTCGAAGAGACCATTGAGCTCAATCGGCAAGCAAAGGATGCTGCCACGAATTTCTGGGGATTCATTTCCTCGTTTGGCGACAAGAGTCTCTGGGATGACGTTGCTGCCTCGTTTCGCGACTTTGTCGACAAGAACCAGGAGAACAAGGCCAATGCCGAGCAGCTTGCGCAGGAGCTCATCACAATGGTGCAAAAGATGCTTTCTGATCCAGAATTCCTCGACAATTTTGGAGAAAAGAAGGAGGAACTCAAGGAAAAGACCAAAGAATTGACCAAGGACTCATCCCTGAGTGATGACATTTCTCATCTAATCAACACCACGCAGTCCGCTGTGCATTCAGCTTTTCACGATCCAGCCGTTCAGAAGTTGGTCTCGTCGTCGTTTCGTCTTGCTGAAATTCTCTTCCCGACAGGCCAGAACAGCAATTCAGAATTAGTGACGGACTTTGGAAACATATTCTTGCCGCTCTTGGTGCAGGCGGTGCAACATTTGCCGATTCCACGCCTCGAGGTTGCAACTCCCAAGGTTGACCTTTTACTGGAGAATCTCATCTTGCAACCCGGTAAAACAGTCAACGAGAGCTCGTTCCTTCCATACAATGTCCATTCCATGACACGAAACGACTTGGACGTTACCAAGCTCCGATTTGGGACGGCGTCTTCCATGACGAATCTGCTCACCATCAAGCTGACGGGCATCTCTGTGGCGGCGCAAGACTTGGGCTACTGGATGCGCGTGCACTCTGGCCTCTTGCGCTTCATGGACGAGGGCCTCGCCGGGTTCCATCTTGACGAGCGCGGCATCGACGTGGACGTGGAGCTCGAGATTGGCCGAGACCGCCTCGAGGAGCTGGTAGTGCTCCGAAATGCCAAAGTCAAGATCCACCACCTCGACTACAAGCTGCGCAAGTCCAAGTTTGCCTGCCTCGCGTGGCTGTTCAAGCTGCTGCTGCGACCCATCATCCGCAAGGCGCTCGAGTCGACCATGAAGTCGGCCATTGCCGACGGCGTCAAGTCGCTCAACAGGGAGCTCGTGTTTGCGCGCGAGCGGCTGCGCGCGACGCGCGTGTGCAGCCCAGACAGCGTGTGGACCTTTTTCAAGGCCGTCGCGGCGAGGTTCAGGCTCGAGGACAACCCCGACGTCTCCGCAAGAGTTGGCGTCAAGCCGGGACAAAACGTCTTTAGGGGACGCTATGCACCGGGAAGCTTGGTGAAGCTGTGGGAGCAAGAGGCCGAAGACGCGCAACAGAATATACACGAATACAGACGTGATGGGTGGAGAAACGATATCTTTAGCGTACAGACTGTTCCCTTGTAGCGTTAGTTTCTGGCAGAATGATTTTTAATGTCATGGTGAAATTGTTAATTTGTTCGAGCTTGTCTGGCCTTGAGCGATCGTTGAAGCTGTATCAATCTCATTGGAGGATAATTGAAGCGCCCAAAAATCTTACACGTCTCTTTCCACTCCTCGCCGCCGCTGTTGGCCGCAACGTATGAACCCGGAGAAGTGCATCTTTGAACGTGCATGCTTATCTAGGGTCGGCCGTCGACCTATCATTTATCGTCCACAAACGTCAAGCAAGGGATAACTACCTAGTTATCGTATGGCCCCGCTGGTGCAAGCGAGTCTGGTCTTGAGCATTCACAGTTCGCACCGGAGGGGGGCATTTGGTCATTGCCTGGCGAAGCATTCATGATAAGCGCCCTTGCTTCGCAAGCAAGGGAATTTGCTTTTTTAGAGGGCAGAAGTAGTCAAGACAAAGGGACAACGACCGCTCCACGAGGGCTATTGCCTTCACCTTTTAGCTTCTGCGCCTTGATTAGATTCGTCGTGCTAAACGTCGCTCGCCTTTCCTGCATTTGGATCGGGCCGTAGAAAATCTAGACCCTTTTTTTCTCGGCCAAAATTAGAGTTGAAACGGCAGCTGCTCATTTGTTTCAGGTCTCGTTGAAGAAAGATCAACGCAGCAAGCCTTGCCTTGGCAAACGCACAGCCAGCACATGATGGCGGACTTTCGGGTACGGCGATCACTCCATTTAAAAAAAAAAAGAAAAAAAAGAAAAGGCTCTTCAATCATCGATTCGAAATGATAGAGCCGTTTGTGTCATATATTGGCCAAGCACCGAGTCTGATTAAACTTTGAGGCTCGCAGCCTAGTTCATGTCAGGGACGCCGGATTCGTCCGTCGTGGCTTTGCTAAAAGCAAGCCTGGAACCTCCAATCACTTTTCGGCGCACGACCCGATTAGCACAAGTCTCAAGCACCAATTTTGTTTTTTTTTTTTGAGATGTCAGATATATTGCACAAGGCTTTTTGCGCAGTACGCGAGGCTACGAGGAACAAGTTGCAGGTGGCAGGCTGGAAAAACTGATGACCTCTTTCAGTAACATGGCATGTGGAGCGCCTTATTGAAGGTGCACAGCCAATGCCACCCTACTTTTGAAAAGAGTATTCAATAGCGCATTTTAACAATGTCTCTAATTCTTACTACATGTCAGACTTTAGGAAAAAAGGGCTCGGATTGGGCCCAGGCTAGCAGATCCCTGCCGCCGTCCGTATGACGCCCGTCGGGCCTCGCCGCCCAACCTGTTCGGAGAATATTTTTCATGAAAGCCTTCCTCATGATCCCCCAGTGAAGGAATCTAGCGTTATTCCCACTCAATTGAGGCTACCAGACAGGTGCACGGGACGCGACTGAATGTGTGTGTCAATGCGCGTGGATTCATTACATTCCGGTGAGTATCCGAAGGGTTTGGCAAGTCAGGCTGCTCGGTCATGGCAACGGGCTACGTTCTGAAAGTGCCACGGGCACCTTGCCTTGGTTTGACATTGTTCTTGAAAGTATAAATAATCCTATTTTAATGGTATACTTTGCTTTGCGTGGTGCTGCTTGGGTCGATCAAACAACTCCCTGCAAACGGAGTCCAGTCTGGGCATCCCATGAAAAACCTCTTGTATACTCAAACAAAACACACTCTTGTCTCACTGCAACATGATCAAAATGCTTTCTAAATACCTTGTTGCTCTCTCCCCCATTGCTACCTTGGTTGCTGCCCAAGGCGGCCTCTTCATCGTCCACTGCAAGCCCTTGACGGTGCAGCGTACTGATCCCATCATCAACCCGGGCCAACTGAGCACCCACGTTCACGCTATCGTCGGAGGTACTGGCTTCCACATGTCAATGAGTAACGAAGATGCTCGAAATTCCAAAAATACTACCTGCGATAAGGCTTTGGACAAGAGCAACTACTGGCAGCCCCAGCTGTACCACCAGCACCACGATGGCAGCTTCGAGCTGATCAAGCTACTTGGAATTGTCAGTGACTATGCCATTCCATTGTTTTGACTTGTACTCACTCTTACTACTAGGCTGCTTATTACATTGACCGTACTTGCGATTATAAGCCAGGCCGCAGAGACTGCAGAGACGCTCCCGGCGCCATTGCGCCGCCCAAGGGCCTGCGCATACTCTCGGGCGACACCTTGAGGAGGTTAGTCTAACAGGCCCTACTACACCAACTATCAAAGAAGAAAGATTTTTTAACGACGAAACAGAACTTACGACAAGAGTGACAAGACCAATCGCGCCATTAGCCACGTCTGCCTCGACCCCGGCCAGGACTATATCGAGCTCCCTCAGAAACTCTGCAACGAGATGCGCACACAAGTCTATTTCCCTTCCTGCTGGGATGGAAAGAATCTAGACTCTCCCGACCACAAGAGCCATGCAAGTACCGAGCCCCGCCGAGTATACATACACACACCCACCACGGGGCACCCAGTCACTAACACGCCCCCGTTTCACCAGATGTCCTTCCCCAGCATCGGCGACTACAACGGCGGTGTCTGCCCCGAGTCGCACCCCGTAGCCACCGTTTCCGTCTTTAACGAGTTTTTCTGGAACACGCGCCAGGTGCAGGGCGGTGCGTTTCGTCGCTGGGTCTACGCCAACGGCGACACCACCGGCTACGGACTCCACGGCGACTATCTGCAGGGCTGGGAGGACCAGGACAAGCTGGAGCGCGCCATGAAGACTTGCACCGGCAATAAAGGTACGGATGACCCCGGATGTAGTCTGTATGTTGGGCCCGATGGCGCTGGCAAGTCTTCGTTCCAAAAGCCTGAAAAGGCACCGCCCACGGAGGAGGTTGGCTTGAATGGCCGCCTTCCAATCCTGCCGGGCAACAATCCCGTGTACGAGATGAATTAGTGTCTGGTTAAGGAGGGGAGAAACATGAAGACAGCAATGTATATAACTTGATAGTATATATCTCGTCGTATGTGGCGGCCCGACAGTAGTGCATACCGACGGGTCGCGCGAGTTTGGATTGTTGGCAATGTTGGCGACGACCAAAGATTAAAGTAATCGCATCATTGAAGGGGAAGAATCAAATACTGGGAAGACATATACTTGGAAATAGACAAATTATACAGCCTGTTCTTTATTCACAGCGGTACCGGTCAAATAAAAGCAATAGACCAGGCTGAGTCTGCTCCGGTGTGAGTCATCAACGCGGCGAAACTCCCATAAAGTATCTATTTAAGGGGGGCATTTGAGGGAGAAGATTGCAAAAGACTGTAATCTATTCGTATTGAAAGCTAGGTCATCAAAAGCCGAAAACCGATACGCTAAAATGACCAAAACTCGAAAGGCTGGACGCCGGCGAGGCACTGAAGAGCACAGGGCCAAAGCCGAAACGACTGGTCACTGAACACCCTCTGCCGCCGGCCGCTCGAGTCTTCGCCCTCGAAGAGCTTACAACAGAGATTCTACGCCATGTCCCCCAACGCTGTGTTGCTCTCTAGACTTCAACGCCACGTGTCGTCTGTGGAGTGCGGTTGCACAGGATGTCTTTGCAGCCTCTCCTAGACGGCGTCCCCCCGCCGTCACCCAACAGCCAGCGCCGTGACAGATATATCAACCCAATACTACTTGAAGCATTTCGGTAAAATTTCTAGATGATGGTGGAACACGACTCGAAATCGGGCTGTGGCTCACAGGTCGTCATTACTCACGCATATGCGTTCACTGATCGATCTACCGATTGCGACGTCTGGCCCGGGCCGGCGCGGTACACCAATGCATATGCGCGCGTCGGGCGCGAGCTGGAGAGTCATGCAACCCCATTATCCACCCCGTTTACGAGCTGCGTTACCGCCGCGAGCCCGACGACGCGCAAGTCCAAGTCGTGGCGGTGGCGGATGGCGTACGATTGGGACAAAGTCTATGATGTACTGTTTTTGTGATTACGAGCAAGACGACGCGCACGACGTGGGATAAAATGTGGCTGACTTGGCCGCAAGTAACGGCTAGGCATGCATGTGGGAGAGAAGAAGAAGAAGAAGAAGAAGAAGAAGAAGGGGGGAGCAGATGGCGAAGACGACGCAGCCTCGAGACTATAATCTGTTGGAGAGACGAGGAGAACATCAACGATGTCTAGCGTCTACATTCAGCGAAAACAAGTCTTGTCGCGACCGTCTTCGAGTAAATGGTGAGTTTCTAGTGACGAGTTTTAGGAAAGAGAATCTGGTGGTCGAGACTTAGTTGTGGATGGACGATGACGGTGACGGGGCACCAAACTAGACAATGGCCGGCCATGGGACCTTTTTGTGGTCTGTGATGGAAGAAAGATACCGATTCTACCACGGATTGGCAAATCAGGTCGTGTCTGCAGTGCCACCTTGGCCGCAATGTCGTATTTTGAGCCTCGTGTTTTTTTGCAAAACGCGCCTGATAGCAAAATCTCAAACAGCGCGATTTAGTCTCAGCTCGGATGGAATCGCATGGTCTTTTCTTTTCTTTTTTTTTTCTTTCTTTTTCTTTTTTTACCCGCACAGAGTCTCGGACCGCATCATCTAGCAGCTGGGCTCAAGCACTGTGAACGATGCTCAGACAGAACATGGGCTGAAACTTGGAAAGGAGAAGAAAACCCTCACGGACCAGCCTCTATAATAATATTTCTTCCCTTTGCGTTACTTTTTCAACATACGATCCTCCCTGCTCCGTACCGTTGGAAAACATGCATGGGAGCCCTGTCGCTTTAAATAGAGTCCCAGCCACCAGCCACAGGGATTGTGCTAAGCCTCAGGCTGCCACCCGCCACCCGGTTTTCGCCCAATCGGGACTCGCGTATCATCGCTTGGCCTGCCTGCCTGCCAGCTGGCAAACAGAAGAAGAGCCTGACCTCCCAGCTGGCACACGGCAAACGCCCAATGCCATCAGAAAAGTTGACATCTCCATCCTCAGGAAAGTTTTTTATTTCCAGACTTCGCAATAAATCTCAGCGTGAGTCAAAATGATCCTACCAGTATTCCACACCGGCGACTAGCCCGTTTATCCACCTCAACCCCTGTCGGATCCGAGATCCCCGGCCCGGGGTGGGGCCGCCCGGTGGCTGGCTTCAACGCTTCCAGCCTTCTCGTCAGCCTTGAAACAAGGAACAAGACCCTGGCTTCAGCAGCCCAACCTCGCGGGAAAAAAATTCTTGATAGACCAGTCAGGCCGCGCTGCATGCATACCAATAATCATGCGTGCTCTTCCTGCATCTCATTATTTGCCAGTAATTGGTTCGTCTGTCCAAGTGGAGGCGCGCCTGCAGTGGAATGCTATTCTCTCGCCATGAATATCTTCATCAACTCTGCTGACAATGTCGCAGCTCCTCGTACGTGGGACTCTTTTACATTCCAGACTTGATTTTTATGCCGTCAACCCATATTCTGGCTTCGTGATAACCAGTTGCCGTGTTGTTTGAGGAGGCAGTTTTTGGTGCTGATTGTCGTTTTGCGTCTTAGGTCCGTGGTCGTCGCAGGTGCCTGACGACAACTTGAGCGACTTTGGAGGCGATTCCGACTCGACTGTGCGTCATCGATTAGAGCAACATCACAACTCTTCCAGTACACCTTCTGCTCACTCGTTGTCGCCGCAGCCCACTTTGACTCGCCGCAACATTCCGCCGCCTTCGCCTCTGACATCTTCCCCCGATCTCTACGGTCCTGACCGGAGCCACATCTTCACGCGCCTTCTCTCACGTCGTGCGACCCAGCCGGAGAGAACATCGCCGGGAGTAAGATTTGACCAGACACAGCTGCCCATGTTTGCCGCCGTGGGAGGGCCAGTGCCTATGTCTGGGCTCAAGGACGAACTGGCCCTCGCTGCTGGTAAAGTGACGCCTGGTGTGGATGACGCGCCGTACATTCAGTACGCCTTGTCGGCTTTGACCCGGGATCGCAGCTATGACGCCAAAACACAGCCTCACTATTCACCACGGACTGCATCAGAGTATTTTACTCATCTTCGACGCACCAACACCGTTGGCGAAGTTTCATCTCGCCGCTTGCCCGCCGTTTCTGTTCCAGAGCCAGCTTACACGCAGCACGATGCTCCTGTGCGACCAACTTCTGCACGCTTGGGGGCTCACTCGCCCTTTCCAGCTCCAATTCATGCTCCAGTACCTGGAGCGCGCGATTCTCCCGCTTTGTCTATCCCTATCGGAGACGCCTGGGACATCAAGGACCCCTCAAGCGCACACTGGGTTGCCGTCACCGAGAATATGCGGCAAAGCCTCGACCCTCATGGACGAACTTACCCACCCCTAACTTACAAGCCGTCGATCCTGCGGCCATTTTCGATGATGATCTTAATGGCCTTGTGCTTGGGCATGACGGCAGTATTGATATTTTGTGTACAATACTCTACTCACCACCATGGGCTGACGCCGTACCCTGGAAGTATATATACGGCGCAGTTTTTTCTCTTTCGAATCCTCCCTCAGCTTCTTGGAGCTGTTATTCTCATTTACGCCCAGAGCATTGTCAATACCTCTATGCGTATTCTCCCGTTCGCGTCGCTCGCCAGCGAGGATCCGCAGCAACGATACTTGGCGCTGTTCACTAATCTGTACCCCAAGTCGTTGCTTTACCCCCAGCTTGTCGGACCTTGGCAAATCATGTTGTTTGACTTGGCAACGTGGCTCGCGCTGTTTAGCGTACCGCTGCTGAGCGCATCTTTTACTTGCATTCACAAGAGTATTGGTTGGGTTTGGGCTCCAGTGCCTGTCGTGGTCTGGATACTCGTCGCGCTCTACGCTCTCATGATTTTGTCCACTGCAATCGTCATGGTATTCTGGTTTGGCAAGTGGACCGGGCTTTCTTGGGACGTTCGATCCGTTGGAGATCTTTTGCCCCTTCTCAACCGCAGCAATGCCATTTCCAGCTTTGACCCACACAATCTGTCTGGCTCACGCCACGACTTCCAGACAGACCTTCGTGATCGATGGTTTGACAGACTAGGATACTGGAGATCGGGTGACATGATCACTGGCGGCGTGTGGTACTCAATCGGCGCTGTAGGCGCCAGAGGAAACGATGCCAAAGTGCTCGCAGGGATACGCCAAGAGAGCGACCCCAAAACATCCATGGACTCTGATTCCACTGCTGCGCCCGGAAACTGGCGTCGTGTACATGAGCGCTACCTCCCCATGTGCATCCAGTCTCTGCCGCTCATAATGTACACTGTTCTGTGTACGCTTCTCGTGGTTGCTCTGCTGCTTGTATCGTTTCTCCCGCAAACGCGAATCGACAATGGCTTCCGTCCCCTCTTGGCTGCGAGACCGGGAAACAATGCCTTTTCCGCGGCCAACTTTTTGTACGCCTTTATCCCGTCGGTGATGGGCATGCTAGTATGGATGCTCTTTCAGTCAATCGACATGGCGTTGAGACGGCTTCAGCCGTGGGCAGACCTGTGCCAGCTGGACGGCGCGACCGCGTCAAGGTCCATCCTGGCCGACTACGCCGCCTGTCTCCCCCTACAAGTAACATGGAAGGCGGCCCGCAACGGCCACTGGCGGGTTGCGCTGCTGTCCCTCATGGCGCAAGCTTTTGTCGCCATCCCCGTGCTGGGCGGCGGGCTCTTCATGGCGCTGTCACGGGAGGATGGACAAGTTAGGATGTATCCCAGCATGCCAGTCTTTGGCGTGCTGGTCGCATTCCTCCTCTTATACGTGGGGTGCTTGTCTCTAGCCGTACCCCGCCGCGCCCAATTTGAGCTGCCCCGCCCGGTGACGTCGATTGCTGCCATCATGAGCTTGTGCTCCGCCCGTGAGCTCACCCAGGACAGTGCCTTTCGCTCCGTGCGGTCGCGCCAGGATCTCGAAGGACGTCTTGGTGTCGGTCGCGATCCGCGCGAGGAGACGGTGTGGTTTTACGGCGTGGTTGCAGGCCGCGACGAGCATCGTGTGAGTGTTCGGCGCATGCAGCGCTACACAGAGAAGCGGAGGGTGCGAACTGTTGAAGCCATGGTGTGATTGGCTGCGAGACTTGAATTTTTTAAACGACTGAAAACGATCATAAATGATTTGCACTATGAAGTGGTGGGCGTGTGGTACGTGCACACAACGAAAAGAACGATTCGTCACGATGATGAGACCTATTCTACGATGAGACCTGCTCTACGATGAGACCTGATATATGATGAGAGCTGCTCTATGATGAGACCTGTTCTACGATGATGACGAAACGCATATATGGCCCGATCAGCTAGCGTGGCCTGTGTCTCGAGAGACACCAACGATATCACGGCAATGATGACGATGATGTTTAGAATGATGACAATATCATGATGAGAATTTGAACATGTCGGATTGAAAAGAGGTGAGCATGATGGAAAGTGAGAGGATAGCGCATGTTTGAATATATCTGGGAACCTTTTGGATTGAACTGGAGTTTTGTTTTCAAGTTTGTTTGTACATTTTTTCGGATTTGTTATTTTCCACGGTGGACATTGTACTAAAATGGTTGGGTTTTGCTGGATAGACGGTTAGTTATGTTCTTGGGCCGACACGGGGCGTTTTGTATTTTGCCACGGTTACCACTTTCTTCGTGGTAGCTGATATCGAATTGAGTTTGCATATCTTGCTTATTCCCCATTCTCAGAAGCCTTTCTGCAATGAACCTTGCATCATCCTTTTGGTTACTGTCCGCTTTTCTCGGTACGGCCCATGCCAGCGGTATGACGACACCGACGTTAACTAGACTTTTGTGCCTCGTGGCGAAGAAGGACGCCACGATTAAAAAACTATTGGAATGTGCAGCAATATGCGAGGGAGGGCATATATTCCCCACCTTACCGAAGCAGACCGAAGAAAAAAAAAAGAAAAAGAAAAAGAAAACTCCTTCTGGTTCTGCCTGAAAGAACGGGAAAAGTACATTACGAACGTTTCCTCGTTGCCGTTGCGAGCCGTTCATGCGCAGCTGAAGAGGTGGCGTTTGCGTACCCAGTAAAACATGTGCCCTCGTGCGACGGCGGGCTCACTTTTTGCCCATAATAACCTATCATTTTCCTTCCCTCTTATTAGGATACTGACAGGCGGTTTGCTCGGTGTATATTTTTGCTGAGAGATTGGCCAACAAAGTTCATGTGTGCGCTGCGTAGTTGGTGGTTGCACCCATCAACAAGCAGATGAAGCATGGTCAAAAAATGCGAGTACAACTTGTGTCATGAACTTAAACGACTTGAAAATAATCGAAATCTGTGTAGTAGACAATTATTGTAGCGTCGCTGTAATGATTCAACATCATGTCTCGACTCAGCCATGGACGGAAAACGACCGAAGAGGGCCCTCTTCTTACAGCAAAAAAAGACTATATTCATTTCTACAAGAATAATCGCTCTGGTATTCTCACTCTGCGCTACCAAAAGTTAAAAAAAAATCGTCTTTTTATTTCCTCCATTCTCATTTTTTTTTTACATCGCGCACACCCCCCGGCGCTCCCCTCCACACCTAGCCGTCGTCGTCGTAGAGACCAACACGTACTGGAATGGAACTCGTCATTCCTGACTCGCAGAGCGCGCATCAACGCCTCGTGGATGACTTGCCATAAACTTCGTTCCTTATGCTATCCAGCTGACTAGCTGGCCCACTGATTGTTTTGTTGTTCGTCTTGGCGCTGTTTTTTTTGGAACCCAAACACGCGACAAGGGTGAGTGAGCTGGCCACAAGGCTGTCAACGGCAGCTGCTCTCAGTTCGTGGACTTTATCGATCAACATTTGCACACAGCAATGTAGAAACAGAGTAAATGCTTTCATAAACGTAAAAATTCGATTCAAATTGTAGTATGAGTGAGCATACGACACATTTGTCAACAGATAAGGAAAAAGCGCAAACTCGCTTATATAGAGAACGTCGTTTCACGATAAATCGTTCAAGTTCGTGTTTTGTCTCATCATCATAATGATATAACGATTGTGCTGCAAAGGGCAGCACAAGTAAAATAAAGCAAATGACGCCATATAATGCCCATGTTCGCGAATCTTGAAAATGAACGTCGTTGATAAAAAGGACCCAGATGCTGCTGGTGGGTTGTCAATGTTGCTGTTGTTCCCTGGGTTGGTTGGTCGGCCGTTGGTAGTACATTATAGGAAATTGCAGTACAGGTTTTCTCTTCTCTGCTTCTGGTCTGCTCATCGACTACGACGGCCAAGTATGCGTCCAAAAACGTCCACTTTGCGCTCGCGCTCCAGAGTAGGCGGGTTTGTCATGGGGGAAACAGCAATGGTATCTGCGCGGTTGCGCCGCTTGTGAAGTGACGCTGCCTCTTGGGCTGCAGCCGACGCTTTATGGCTCTTGTCGCTACCGGAACGCCTGTGGAACCGAAAGAAGGACTTGGCCCCGGAGGCTTCGCAATCCGAATCTTCCTCGAATACGGACTGGGGTTCTTCCCGCTGTTGCTGTTGTCGTTGCTGTTGTTCTTGCTGTAGTTGCTGAAGCTGCTCCTGGCGCTGCTGTTGGCGGGCAGCACTCAGGTAGGTCGTAGACTTGGAGTTACGCGGTCCGTGTTGAAATTCATGAGTGAAGGGGGCTCTTGTCAGGTTTTGCGAAGAGCGTGACGCGACATCCTGGATGCCAACGATGGTGCTATGATTTCGGGAGTGGCCGACCATGGACTTTTGGGGGGGCTGTGCAGTTCCAGAGGATGTTTTGGGACGAGTGTACATGCAGGGCTGCATAACCTTTGCGGTCGAGGGCAGAATTACCGTAGTCTGGCCTGGTTGTCTGAGGCAAGGTGTGAGAAGAGCCTCAGGGCGTCGAGGTCGCGGTGGAGGAATGCAAGGTGCCGTCATGGTGCTTGTGCCGGATGACTTTGGGCAAAGAGGTGCAGGTGCAAGAGCCGATGTCAGGGGAACTGGTCTGAGGCTTGGAAACGCAGAGTATTTGGTGGCAGGCTTGTGAGGGGTGTTGGCCGTGGACAGGGGAAGAGGCCACGATGGTGTCCTGGGCTCAACGGATTTTTGGGACGGCTGTCTACTGTGGTGCGAAGAGGTACGAGGCCGGTATTCGTCCTTGGCAGGATGAGCGAGTTCGAGTTTGGCATCTTCCAAGCGCCATTCGCCTCCAGCCTGCCAAAAGCTATCCCATAGTTCGGTGGCGTGTGCAATGTGTTGGTAGTCATCCTCCTGCGATACTTCGGAATCGGTCCTGTCGTCGATGAGGCCAGGCGTAGAGCCCTCGGAGCCTACGGAGCATCTGTCGAAGCGGTTGATGGTAGGGCTTGTCGGGCTCATGGGCGAGGGGTATGAGTAATTGGCCACTGGGTGGAATTTCGATACGAGCTTGATCTCAGCCAACTTGCTCCGGCGGTCCATGGTCCTGGACATGATGGCTGATGCTTGGGACTTGCTCAGCAGAGCAAGATGTCGTCTTGTAAGTGTAATGCTGCAGTCGTGCTGTTATATGTATCCTATTATGAGAGAGCTAGAATGATCTCTCATAGTGTATGGAAGGAGCTGGTGCGAACAGCATGTAAGTGCAGGAGCAGTGTGCCTGTAGGGGAGGACGATGTGGCATTGGCCATGATATAACAAAAAAACAAGTCCACTTTTGGTACACTGTACACCACAAACTACTCAATACCAGATCAATAAAATACAAAAGCCCAAGAGTGACCTTGCATGAGAGACACTACTCGTGGGGCGCATACTGGTAACACGGGAGGGTGTGGAGTGAGGCGTGTCCCGACTCCATCGTGGCATTCTCACCCCCTTGGGAAGAGACATTACATTCCTGCGTCGACCGGGAGAGGGAGCATAGCCAACATAGCCTAGCTAGCTGTGCAGCCTGCGCCCCATTCAGCCAAGCTCATGGGCACTGGTTCCGATTTGCACTGGCTGCTCAAAGCGATGCCGTATTAGTCTGGGCGGGGAGGCTTGGGAGGGTCTTGTAAGTTGTTGGTGTGTGTGTCGCATGTCGCTGGCCACCACACAGGCGCTCAATTAGGAAGTGGTATATGCAAGTCCATCCATGGGTCAAAGTCATAGAGGCTGGTATTCTCCCAGCCTGATGGCTGATTTGCCACCGTTTCTCTGCGTCGTGTGCCATCGTGATATAATGTGTCGGTTGAAGCCATGACGGCATGGACGACATCAAATGCAACGGCAACGGCAACGGCTGTGTAAGCCAGTATATAGGCAACATGAAACAATAAAACTACGCAAGGCACAGTTTTTTTTTTTTTTTCCAAGTGTATGGTGTACGCCTGAAAGCCAATTTTCAGGCCAACGCGTTTGTGTGTCTGGATGGTGGCATGGGAGACAAGATCGCGGGCATGCACAATTGCGGGCCGTCGCGAGGCCCGGCTGGCCCAGAGAGTTTCGTTGCTTCTTGTTTCGTTTTTCCTTTTATTCAGTTGCTCCCTTTTTCCCATTTTCCCTTTTGTCCCCTCTCTTGATTACGCCACTGCCACAAAACATTGGTCGATTTTTCTTTTTTTTTTTTTTTTGACTCGAGTGCCAGTCGAAGGAGTCATGCCCCCCCCTTTAATGGCATTGCGGACTCAAGGGACATTAATGCCAATGCCATTCCCAAAGGAACCCAGAATATAAGTGGAAATTCCGCATCCGGGTGTAGATAGTTACCACTGGAAGACCTGGAAGGACCAGGGGAAAAAGGGCTGTGCCGCACTGGCGGGACAGGATGAAAAAGAGAAGATGCAGGAAAAGACGCAGGAAAGATGCAGGGCGACCCAAAAAGCAAGCATGCAACCGGCCAGCGCCGCGCCACTTTCTACCTGCAGGGCGGGAAAAAAAGGCGGCGCCCCATGCCCGTCAAGGACACAGAGTTTCTACTTGCAGAATAGCTTCCTCTTTTCATCCGACTTGTTATTTATTTATTGATCAATGGCTCTCTCCCTTTCTTGTTCTTTTTTCAGCATCTTCAGGCTGCTGGTCGCACAAAAACGGTGACAGACACCTCTATACCGTTGGACGCAAGGGAGGCAAGGGAGGGTGCCCTCGTCGTTAGACTTGTTGAAGCTGTTCCTTTTTCTCATCCTGCGCTCTATGGAGGATGTGCGCAGATCAAGAAATGTGACATGTTTTGCAGATTCGAAATCCGAGATACAATTGTCATCTTTTCTGTCGTAGCCGTAGAAGAGAGGGCACTTCTTCCGTGCCCTTTAGGCTTGGCACTGGCACTCCCTGGTATCTACAGCCTTTCCGCTATCTGCGGCAACACTCAGAGCGTATAACAGACGATGGAGCTGGGCATTGGACATTGGAAAATGACACATCATGAATGCTCGGCGCGAACTCAATACTGACAGGCGCCATGTCGAACAGGGCCTCTCTCGGGAATCTGGCAATGATGCTGGTACGGTGGTGTGTCGCCGAGCAAGTTGTGTCCCCTGGATTGTCGTCCTCCCTGGTGTGACGTATTCCTTGGCTCTTTGGCGAATATGGCAGCTGTATCACGCAAACGCTGCTTGCGTCTCGCTGCCTGGTTGTCCATGTGCCTCTGGCTCGAGTAAGCTTGAAGCGGACTAGAGCTGCACCCAAGCGCCTGCTTGTCTGGACTTGTAGTGCATAAGCACATCGCAGTAGCTTCTTCTTCTTCTCGCTTCCCATTTCACACTTCGCCGCTTGGTCTGAATGCCCAGAGTTTGCGTTCCGCGCCTGCTTGCAATGTCCATCACTTACACGCGGGCCGGAGGTCCGTGGTGTCAATGAGCTAGAGGATCTCTCAATAGCGCTGCATCTTCATATATGTTTATGCCAATCGGAATAGTTCGCGCTCGTTCAGCGAAATTAGGAGGGCACCGAGCCTTTTTCTTGTCGAGACGGTATTTGATAACAGTAATGCTGCATCTGAGCAAATATGCTACTCCATGTACCCAGTCGCCGACTCTTTCCTCAAATTGTCTGCAAGTATGACTTGTCGAGTGCAGATCCGATTCGTATACGAATCACCATGTTCTGACAATCTGGCTAAACAGCCACCTCTTCCAAATATGCAGATGAAGCGAACAGGCTCTCGAGCTTCGGACCGTTCCATGGTAATCCTAGACATTCTGCGGTATTGGTGCGTCATCAACTGAGCCCAACTCCAGTGTCTCTGACCCAACGCCGCTCACCCCAGGTCTTAAATTTGTAGCTGCACCAGCAACGCTAGCTCCGTGGGCCGCACCGCGAAAGTCGAGGTGTCTTACCAAGACTATCGACCAAAATAAGAATCTCAACATCTCACATTTCCTGGAGAGAGCCGCCTTGGTGGCGGCACATCTTGTCTCCTCCCGCAGCGTATAGGAAGCGATTGTTTCGGAAGCCACCTAACGCAGGTTGCGTCTAGACGCAGTTTGGCAGCCTCTGCGCCTCCACCAATGGCGACGTCGGGAACCGTGACACATGTTGCGCAGGTTCTTACTCACCGAATCGACTTTTGCTTATAGATTGGGCAGAGTGTGAAAGACATTGGCTTGATACCCGGGCCGAGACTCCTTGCCGAAACGTGATGGGCTGTTGCAATGGTGATTGTGATGGGACTTGGGCAGCCGTGCTGCAGCTGTACAGAGCATAATCCCCGTCCCCATCCCATATCACAGCACTACCTCCATAATAAACGGAAAAGGAAGCAAAAATCGGCGACACTCCGAGCGGTGCGCATTGCCGATCTACAAAGCTCGTTTCTTTTTTTCCATCCCGCAAGGACGAGCGTTGAATCGCATACGCAGCGCAAGCGGCGATGCACCAGCGCCCGACTGAGAGACTAAGAGCAGACCTTGCAGTGGTAACAAAGCGCTTGCAGCTCCGGGACGCGGCCGTGCACTGCATATGCAGCTTTGTGTATCGGGGTGATGCTGAGTCCTTTTGCCCCTTGCATATTGCCGATTCCAGCTCAATCCTGTCTTGGGACGAGGTGGAGGACGATAGACACTGTGCGCTGACGGACGACTGTACGGAAGTGACTCGCGTTTGCAGAGCGCTTCCATGGCGCCAGATGACGTGCGGTTCTCCATCCTAGAGGGCCGTCATATCGTTCTGCGGAACTGAATCAAGGGGATTTGCCACAATGCGCCTTGTCGACTTTAATCCGTACCGTGTGGTCGGTCCTATCTGCTTTTGCCAGTTGTGGCGCACTCATCAGCGGTGAGTGGAAGCTGTCGTGCGAGTGGTACGGTACGAAAAGCAATTCACCATCCTAAAGCCAAGGTATGACCCCAAAAGTTCGCCACAATGATGATTCCACATCGTGTATCCATAGATCCGATCAGATGCAATAGCTCGGAGAGGATCTCCTAGACACCGTAAGGGATCTCCTGGAAAAGCAAAAAAACCCGAGATTTGAATCTTCCAAATTCAACTGCCGGGTAGTACAGCAAGAAGTGGTGGCTGCCTCGCCAATCAGGCGCCATTTGTTCACTCGAGCCCCACCAAAAATTGGCGACTCCAATATCAAAAATTCAAACCCTCGTTTTTCTCTTCTTTTCCCCTCTCTTCAACCAAGTTCTCAGCTTCCTCTAGACAATGTTGCGCTTCCATGTTTCCAAACAGAGATCTTCCACGCTTCACCGCAGAGAAAATCTCAACATCATCCCTGGCATGCGAGAAATTCGGAGTACTCTCAAACTTTCACCGCAGTCGCCTGCTTCTTGTGGGTGGACGGGTCGACCCGCGAGGGCTCGGCGTCACTCGACGCTCGTGACCGGCATCAGAAATAGCAGAGCCCATGGCTGTCTCATGAATACTCCCTTCCACGTCTCCTCCGGGAAACGGGGCTGGGCTGGAAGATGAGGCTAGACCTGGTGTCTCTTTGGGAAGCCGTCACAGAGATTGTACACTGTACTTGAGTGCGATGCGCAACTTGGTCTTGCCCGCGTACCCCTTGTCGCCCTCGGGCTTCGAGGAACGTGGGGCCAAAATTCGATTCCGATTATCCTGTCTAGAGGACCGGAACTTGGTTCACTCTTTTTCCTCATGGTACGTTGGTAGCTATTGTGCTCGTTAGCAAGACGCTAGTTCAAAGGATACTGCTAACAATCGTCTCGGCATTCCTCAACATGCTCCATCTAGTGTTGCTGCCCGCAAATATGCCAATCAAGAGTGTCTTGGACTGGTGTCTTCTTCATCATCTTTTGAACTGTTCGGTACTGCGGTGAGGAAGCAATCGCGACCTATTTACTGGCTCGCCATTCCGGCAACTTTAGAGAAATCAATGGCCATGGCCGAGCTGCTTACCTGCCGACCTACACCCGTAGATGTTCGACAAGTAATCGGCCGCTTGTCAGCCTCAACCAGACAGCTAGAGGTGAATCATGACAGTTGGCGCGACATATGTCTATCTGCCAAAACGAGACACACTGCAACTGGCGATCAGTTAGGGAGTCGAGGAAGCACATGTCGAAACCATACGGGCGTAGCTTCAACGCATCCCCCATCCAAGCCATCCATCTCACCTCGGTCGTAGCTCGCGTATGGGCGAAATAGCGCGCGTGTTGCAATTCTGCGCTGCTTCCTCTGGCATGCGGCAGTAACGTAATTGGTCTGCAAGGAAGGGTACGTATCGATGATTCCAGATTTTTTGTCGACCGAAGGACGATGTTCACAATTGCCATCATGTCTTACCCGCGCTCAACGATTGATTAGCGTGAAGGACTGGACAAATTCACGCCTCGTGACAACATTCCCATGGCTAAAATCGAATCATGATTGGATGATACAAGGCCCCTACTGATATCGATGTTGCGATATACCGCGCCTGGTATCGCCTTTTTGCGTCGATCACGGCAAACAATGAATGCGCTCCCATACACCTCGAATCGACAAGCCACCACCACCACCACCGGCGTCACGCCAAAAACATTCACGATTCACCCGCCACATCGTGTGCTTTACAATCTCGTGCTCCTGCCCTTCATGAGAGGCATGCACTTTTCGCGCTCTGCTGTTGAAACCCAACGCGAAGCGTCATATGGTGGGGGCCAGCCGGAGGGCGGCGCTCGTAGCTGCATGTCTCACTCGCAATGCCTGCAACTTGCTGCAAGGCACAAGCAGACTGTCACTCTCCAGCGCCTCCAAAGACCGCTGAGCTGTCAGGGCGCATGCTCATGACGCGACTTGGACGCGGCTTTGGGACCGGAACGCGGCCATTCATCCGTCGACATCGATCACTGCGTTCCAACCCCAGCCCCGATCAATCCAGGTCTTGGATAAACCGTTTTAGCTGCCCCCCCCGTAGTTGCGCCTAATCGCAGTCTCTCTAACTAGGGTTCCGTCTCACTTGGTGTTGTTTCTGTCGTGGAGGCAGGCGGTCCTTACCCTGATCGGCCTCTTGAGTACTCTATAAGAGGGACGGAACAACAGTCACATTTGAGCGTAAAAAAGTATGGCACGCGATTTTCTGATAACCGCAAGGAAGAAGAGCGAGGGTGAACTGCAGGCAAAGCCTCTTTCTATCCTCTATTTATTTGATTTGGGGTGTTGTGACCGGCGTTCCCGTCTGGCACGTATTGATGTCCCTAGACCCTGAAGCGGGATGCTGTCCTTCTGCTGTAAGTTTGTCCAATTGCTGGGTTCTGCTCGGGTAATCAGGGACCAAGGAGAGAAAACAGTCCTCTGAATCCCTTCCTATCTAAACACTATTATCTGTAGGATCTCAAGACTGAAAGACTGCAGGCTAATGATGCCTTGCGGCTGAAACACCAGATTTTATTGACCAAAACGTGCTGGGGATCGGCCGTTACGTGCGGATACACGACCAAAAGGCTACATATGGGTCACTACCGTTGGTCATGTTGCTAACTTCGATTGCCATGGCCACGCTCATGGGCCAATGAAGTGATCTCCAACTTTAACAAAAAAAATAAAAATAAAAAAAGCACCTTTGTGCTTGATCGAGACGACGCAGAGATTGCATTGGGAATAGCCGAGAACTCAAAAGGACAAGGTGTTGACACTCCGTTGGGGAAACTTGAAATCGAATGGCATTGGGCAGCCTATTTTCGACTCTGCTGCCCAAGCTACACTAGCTTTGGGTCGCCCTTTAGTTGGGTGTAATCGCCTCATGATCTACTGCGAGGTTATTGTGTTGCCTTGTGTTACCTTGTGTGGCCTATCCAGGCATAACCATGTTCACGGACATATTTTAAAGCCGATTCGGTCACAGAGCAGCATGCAGCGGCGTGACTGCGCAGGATGAAAGGTCAGGGTTCTCTGGCCTACTTTTTCGTGTCGCCAATTAGTTAGGCAAAAGGCTTTAGCCTTGTCAGCCAGTTGCGGGAGATATACCTGGCCTTCAGTAGTGGGTTCATAGCCAGATCCTCTGGTACATTGCTGCCGCAAGGTAATGCAAAGTGAGAAAGCCCATCAGAGAAACGACTCGATAAAGTTAACCCATGCGTCTATGTAGATCTTGATTATCTCTCTTCTCGATCTCGAGCCCGGACTGGAAGTGTGAGCCTGTGACCTGTGGCGCCTGCACCAATACCTAGTCAGGGGTCCACTGCATTGTTGGGACCGAGCGAGAAGTCAACTGGCAGGGCTGTTGCATTCCAGAGGGCTGGTCCCTTTGTCCTGCGATTCTGCGGAGCGTGTAAGGTGCCCAATGCGCAATGTCGAAGCCTGCGATTGTCATGTTGGAGTAGACAACTGAGTGATGTTGATGGCACCGCACGGTACACATGTGGAGGGGGTGCGCACGTCCTCTCAGGCGATTGCATCGATAACTAGTGAGACGACGGCTATTACGGAGTTATAGCAGTAGACATTAAAGTGCGGGCGTAGTGTGCGTACGCATGTCTGACAGGGAGTGTTTGACAGAGGAAGAGCAGCAGATGGTGCCAGTTATCGGCTGGTGTTCACGGCTGTATATTTGAACGGAAATCCTGCACTTGAGCTTCCGACATGCTCCTTTGATGGTGCGGCCAGTGTGTATAAGTTTTCGAGGGTGGTTGTGAAAGTAGAGTCAAGGTGCCGAGACAAACGAAGAGTAAATGTATCTACCTACCTAGTCAGGTTCCTTATTCCCAAGTACCCCACGTGCCGGGAATGGTGCTCTGGCGGCCTCACTCAAGCCACCACGCGACAAAGAATCTAAAGCAAGACGTGGATGATTTCCTCTTGAAAATTTCCGTTCGATTTCTCTCTCGACTGCCTATCCTTTTGTAAATAGCCGTTACTATCCGCAACAGCGAGCCGTGGCGTAAGCCTACCAACGGCGCGCCCATGCTGACAGCTGGCAAAGCCACCCCATGTAATTAAAGGCCGCCCGCGCCACGACACCGGCCAGCCAGCCAGCGCACCACCCCAAACTCCAGCCACCCGATTTTTTGCTCACCAGTTGGGCCAACGCCATCGGCCTGGCCTCATCCACTCCCGTTCTTCGATTTCCTAGCCACCATCTTTTTCCCTTCGCTATTACGCCTGGGCCGCGATAACGGGCCGCTGCTGCCTTGCCCTCCTGGGTCTTTCTTCTCTCCTCGCTCAACTCCCCCGGCCACCGCTTCACTCCTACCTACCTACGGATACTGCGCAAGGCTCCATGACGATTCTATTGTCCTTCCTTGGTTGCCGCTCAAACCACCTTTCGAAACTCGAGGCACGGTCTCACCTCCCTTCTACTCTTTTTCCTTTTGTACTCCCGCAATCCGCAGTTGCCTCTGCGACACAGAGCAGACTAGACGGGTGGCGTTTCCATTTGGTGTGACCTCGCCAATTAAGCGTCTCGCTCCCCTTTTGCCTGTCCTACCGTCAACTCGCTTGCTGCCCGCATTCCAGCCTCTCATCTTGGAGACGATCTCCGCATTGCTTCGAGACCTCATTGTACCTCGTCGCGGGCGCTTTAGTCTACCTCGATACGCTCTTGCGCACCATTGTTAGAGACTTGTCATTGTCGCAAGCTCCCTTCTTCGCGACGCCAGTAGCAGCGCCTCCGCCTTGCGTGTCCGCTACACCTTCTCCCATCACCGGCTCGCCTGAGCCGGTGGTGCTCTGTCCACAATTCCCACTCCGCGAGGCGCCGGACACTTGCGCAGCCCTCGCCCGAGTGGTTCTGGCTCCGACGACTTTCGATCGTCTTCCGGGCCCCAGCCTCGCCTCCAGCAACGCCAGCAGACTCAGTCGAACCCGTCCGACAAAGTCTCATCGCTCTCTTCGCTCTCACCAAGTCGAACTCCAGCATCACCGCTCCAGCCTCCGTCATCGCCCCGACCCGAGCACCAAACGCCAATTGCTGCCGCATCTATTGGTCGCACCCACAGCGCCATCTCTGCGCTGAGCGAACCCCAGTCGCCATCGGTCGTCTCGGCCCTCGAGACCTCCCACAGCTCAGCACGCCGTCGCTCTGCCGCTCGCCGATACCGTCAGCTCTCACAGCAAAATCTGACAGAAGTAGACGACGTTTCGACGACGCAAACTGACCCAGGCGGCTTCCCACCTGCATATTCCTCCAACGATCGTGCTTCCTCCAACGCGCACCCTGTCGTACGAGTTTCTAAGCGCACACACAGCGCAATCCTCTACGCACTCGAGGAAGCCCTGCGCTACCCCAATCCCTTTACGCCTGACTTGATCGAGGAATCTGCGAACATGGCTGATCTAATGCCCGCAGCGGGCGGCGCAATACCCTCCAGCCACAGGGGGCCTCCTCCGTCAAATACCAGCGCAGCTCCTGTGCGGCCCAGCGCAGCTCCTGTCCCAACCAGCTCACCATCTGGTATCCGCGGGCCACGCATGATAATGATGGAGCGAGCGGCAAGGGAGGCGCGGCGTGAAGCTGCAGAGAAGCAGCGAGCTGAACAAGCCCTTGCGGAGGAAGAATCACGCCAATTGGAAGAGATGCGCAGACGTAATTCAGAGCGACAGTCAGCTGGCGTTGCTGACAGGCAAAGCGCTAACATTGCACAACAACAAGCAGCTGAGGCTGCTGCTCAACGCCAGACCCGACCATCGCAAGAGCGAGCCCAGGCTCATCAAAGGATACCTAGCCGCACGCAACCCGCGCAAGCCCCTCCACCAACGGCAACGACACCTCAGCAGCCACCATCACAAGCCTACCTTGCCCAAGGATCCGCCGCGCAACAACGACGAGTGTCCGAGCCTCGGCCGACAGAATCTGCGCCCGCGGTGACTGAGCCTGCTAAGCCACGCAATTCCTTTCCCCACGCGTTTGAGCGATGGGAAACGCTGTCGGCGCATTGGGAGGGCCTCACTAGCTACTGGATTCGCAAACTCGAACAGAACAAGGACGACGTGAACAGAGACCCTCTTAGCCAACAACTGGCTCGCCAAGTCACCGACTTGTCTGCGGCTGGTGCCAACCTTTTTCACGCCGTCGTCGAACTGCAACGTCTTCGAGCAAGCTCTGAGCGCAAGTTTCAGCGATGGTTCTTCGAAACCCGGTCCGAGCTCGAGCGCGCCCAAGAAGTGAATGCACTCCTCGAAAAAGCCCTTGAAAAGGAACGGCGAGAACGATCAGATGCCATCCGCGATGCAGTCGATAATGAACGTGGCGTCTCCAAAACGCAGAAACAGCTTCAAGAAATGCGCAAAGAGCTTGCCATCTCAAAAGAAGAAGCTCGTCGCGCCTGGGAAGAGCTCGGTCGACGTGAGCAAGAAGAACGTGATCGCACACTTTCTCTGCAATCTGGTCATCCTACCATTGTCGGCGGCGTCCAGGTTGTTCCCATGACGCAGAGCCACGCTGCTAGACAATCAAGTTCCAGAGACCCGGGACCCTACCAATCTACCGACACGAGCCGCACGCCGACTGAACACCGCCCGTCGGCCGCTCCCGCTCACGCTGGTGGTTACTACGCCCAGCCCGAAGGTTCCGGCAGTAGCCACCGTGGTGCAGCCGCTCCAGTAACACAAGAGGAGCCCGACTATCGCGAGAATGAGTATGTATTGGATGCGCAAGGGCAACCAATTCTTGACGTGCACGGAAAGAAGATACCTTACTTGGCGCCACCATCCACTTATTCGGGCTCTGAGCACGATGCAGAAGAGTACGAGACCCCCGCAACTACCAACCCACCCAGCGGCAGCCACGAGCCGCCGGCCTCTGGCGCGCAGGCCGGGGGCGGCACCCACAACGATCAGTGGACAGGCGCTTACTCCAACCCACAGGACTACTCGGGCGAGGGCTACGGCGCGCCAGGCTGGGAGACGGTACAGCGACACCACCACCCCACACGACTGAGCGATGTGATCGAAGAAGATGAGCGAAGCCGCGCGAGCACGAGCCAGAGAAGCCGAGTCTAGGATTCGGATTGATTGTTTTTGCAAAATTAGGACGCGATATAAAAAAGAGAACATTGGAGAGGGCGAAGGATTCTGGACGAGGCCTTTTTTGTTTTATAATCTTTGCGATGCCGGCTCATGCATCAAAACACGCGGCTAAACGGCACCGACTACACATACGCAACTCGCTACACAAACTCCGGACCTGACAATGGCGTTGGGTCTTGCATGAAAATGGTCATTGCTATTTCATTGATTTTCTACACTTCTTCGCCCTGTCTCTTTTGTTGCAACTTGAAGCTCTCTGGCCGCACTGTTTTGGTTTGCGTTGTCACAGGCCGCCACGACTATAACGACATACTTGACATATATGCAATTGTGTTTTTCTCTCTCTTGATGCTTGTTCTCACCTGTCTCTATATTATTCTCGAGTTACTTACTGAAACATTCTGCTTTTATCTGGCGATGAGTTGGGGTAAAGATATATACGCATGCTACTTGAAAGACAATATAACGAGCTGTTTATATCTACCTTTATAGACATGGATCTACTGTGACTCTGGATATCAATTAAGTATGCAACGGAATTCTGTGATAGGTTGATGCTACTTGATATTATACCGGCTTCTTACTAACACGCTCAAGTCAACCTTTGTCGCTACTTTGCTCGAATGCGGAGCAGGGTATATCGTCAAGCTAAATATGTCCCCGCCTGCCGAGGCTAAAATCGAAGCTGTCGGTTCGGTCCACCAGCTCCACTACAGCTTAAGCTTGAACGATCACTCCACTACTGAACTGGCGTCATTTCTTCCGTTCCCAGTCATCAGCGTTCATCTAGCAAGGGCTGCCGAATCCTTATACAAGAGAAGCCTCATCTTACACGGCTTGTAACTTTTGCACATCATTTTCGCCGTCTTGCTCCGCCGAGACCTGCAGCTACCCGAGATCGCCGTCACTAGCGATCAGAAACACGGCACCACAGACAAGCCCGCTCGGCGGCCGTTTGTCATCGTCAATTGAGAAACGTCTTAGTCGCCAAAGCTGAACGGGTTCTGGACCCTGAAACATGGGCCGACAGCAGTTCAACGATGCTTCTGTCGCCGACCGCATTCTGACGGAGCGGGCGCGCTTCATTTCTAGCATCAAGGACCGCGACGTCCTGCGCCTGGCGTCGTCGCAGCACCCGTCGAAGCAGCCTTGCACTTTTTTCCGGCCGGCGATCCATGGGAGTTACAATGTCTGCTACTTTGTCGCGTTTGTGACGGGTGAGAGGTGGACGGTCCGAATTCCGATACGGCCGTGTCTCAGCGACGGCGGCCGTTCCAAGCTGGCTTCGGAAGTGACTACGATGAAGTCAGTAGGATCTGCATACCTCAGAACTGAGAGGGTAAAACCTAACCTTGTGTAGATTTGTGGAAGTACATACGGATATCCCGCTACCGCATATCCAGGATCATAGTGTAGACGGCGCAGACGGCCCTCTGTCAAGATACCTAATCCTGGACTATGCCGAGGGTACCCAACTAAGTTCGATCAATATTCAATTGCTGGATAAGGAGAAAAAGAAGCAATTATACTCATCACTGGCGAGGATATTTCTTCAACTTCGAAGACTCACCTTTCCGTCCTTTGGCAGACTGTATCGCACTGACGGCGACGAGCTCCGTGTTTCCAACGACATCACCACCAAGGACATTAACATACAGGAAATAGAGGGGCTTGATCCTCGGAGTTTACAACAGCAGTTCTACGGTGAGCTCGAATCTCTGCCAACGGCCTCGAATTACACGGAGACGCTCATCCGCACTGCGTATAATGGCTTCTTCAAAGGCACCGACAGCGTCGATCCTGACATGATTGACAGCAGCTTGTACCACCTGGACCTCTTCCGACAGCACGCCGCATTCTGGCTTGATCCCAAAATCTCGCCTGTGCAGTTTGTTCTCAGCCACGGCAACTTGACCCCGGACAACATTCTGGTTGATGAAGGCACAATGGCCATCACGGCGGTGCTGGACTGGGGCTGGAGCCGGGTGGTGCCGTTGCAGTACTTTACCCCTCCACTATGGCTTAAACACGCCGACATTGCCAACCTCGCCTGGAAGCACGCCTACGACGGCTACATCTCGCAGGACCTGGGCGCCTTTCTGTCCGTCGTGCGCGCCGAGGAGCGCAGGCTGCACAAGAGCAGCATGCTCGCCGACCAGTGGGAGCGCACCAAGCACGACGGCGGGTTCCTCATTGCCCACGCGCTGGAGCACTGGCGCGACATGGACGCCGTCGCCTTTCGCTACCTCAACGCGCGCTACTACGGCGGCACATCGGACTTGGACGGCCGCGTGGCACGTTTTCTGCAAGATGACCCGCTGCGCGGACTCGTCATTGACATGAAGGAGCGGCAGGCTAGAGGCGAAGCGGCGTACGAGGTGGAGCGTCAGACGAGGGCGCCGGATGGAAGCAGGATCGCGAGCAGGTTGTGGCCGGGCACGTCGGCGCTGCAGGGCAGCATGATGCTCCTCACTACGGGCGTGGGGTATGGGCTGTGGAGGTTGGCGTTGGCATCGGCACGGCGGCCGCCAAGAATATAATGCGGGTTGATAGGGCATCGTGGTATAAATGAATGGGCGGAACGAATTTCTCCCGCGTCTTCCTTTGACTGTTCTCCTCTCTTTCGCAATATACGGCAAGCCCACCCTGTATATCAATGACAAAGTAATAGCGGCTGTGTGCATTGCGAAAATCAGAAATAGCTAAGTGTCCCGCAAACAATTTATGTTCCTTCATTACCACCCAAATCTTGATTATAGATTCTTAGTTATAGATTAAGAAGAAAAATAGAGCAGTTGGCACCATGTCTATAGCAGCCAAATCCTTCTCATATTAGGCAGTAGCGCTAATAGGACAGGGAGTCGCATAATTCTCCGCTAAAACGGTATAGGCTTGCTGCAACGTCACGTTCTGAAAAGCCGAAAAAAGAACAAGTACCGACATATGCAGTTGGCCTGCATGTCAGAAGCGATCCTGCGGATGCACACTTCTGTCCCGGCAATCATTGACAAAGTCGAGTAGGTCCTCGGGCAGGCGCCGAGCCGTGGTAAGTGTACAAGGGTGAGAGAGCCTCTCCCGCCCAATCATGGCCATGGCTGTCAGGACCCTGCCATATTTGACGGCATAAGAACGCTAATTATGCACGACGACGGCGGCGGCCTTGACAATGCATTGTCCTGACGACGGTCGAAGAAATACCGCCAGTGTCCTAGAGGCAAGTCAAAGCAAGTTTATCGATTTGGCTATTGGCAAAAACGGCTTCGCGCAATTGATTGCTGCCGCTAGTGAGGCCTACGCGCCCAAGGGATAACTGGTATACACCATTGGAAGTCGTCAGCGGTGTAAAAAAAAAAAAAAGAAAAAAAAACAAGAATGTGTTGCATGCTGACCGCCCGTTGTCATGACATTGGGATCTCTGACCAGTATTTCGCTGATCAACGTGCTGCGTGCGTCCGCGGCGGCAAGCCAAACCTGGCAAGCCCAAAACCTTGATGGGGGCGGGCGCATGTAGGGTTTTACATGGAGTTGGCAGAGGGTAAGGCTATAGGAACTTTTGGCAATGAGACTCTGGCGGCTCTGTGAAACGTGGGAATTGAAGCTTGCCCCGCTAGTGAATTGCATCGTTGTCCATTGCTAGCGCGGGGAAGAAGCTACGCCGACTTCCAATCTTTTATTCAATCGCCATTGAAGCTATTCCAACGGGGAAGCTCTCGTGAGGTAAATTAGGCCGTGGAAACTGGCCGCCGAAAGTCACAAGCCCATTGTGAAACTGCGATCGCAATCACAAAAGTGTACAGAGAGGGGGAAGATGTCTCGGTACTGCAATATAGTTCTTCAATCACAGTAGAGGACCTGGACCAATCATCTGTTTTTCAAGGCGGATCACTTGCCTATAAGAATTGAATTTATGCCGGCATCAAACTTGGCCGGAGCTCTATAAGCGCTGTCTGCGACATGCCGTGTGGGGGAGGGCTCAGACTGGGCGAATCATGGGCTTGCCGCCCACGATCCGTGATTGTGGCGTTTGATGCCACCCTAGAAAGGGCGAATAATGGGTCGCCCGCTGCTAGAGAACTGCATGCAACCCTTGTCCAATCATCAATAATCTGCTCTATTCTTGGACCCGGGCTTGACCAAGGGCGCTTCCACGACTTGCGTGGGGCTTGATCGTGTCTTGCCATTCGATATGGAGAGCGGCCTATGTAGAGACCAGAAAGAATAGATTGTTATTGAAAGCGAAATGGACTGTCTCTGATAGAGTCTGGCAAAGTTCAAGTATATAGAATTGAGGCTAGCCCTGCATCGGTGGATAATTGACCCCAGGCAGTCATACTTTTATTTTGTTTTTTTTATTTTGTTGCAGTCATCTATCTCATCACCAACTTTCGCATCGCCCTTTATCCCTTTCCATCTTGATTCATTGCATCAATTGCATCAATTGCATCACCCGTTTGCCATCAACCTACCTACCAAATGTCCCACATTGCGCCCCGGCCTCCGCAACGTCCGGCTCACCGCCAAACTCGTAGCAATTCCCAAACCCTCGACCCGAGACTGGAGCTTGTGGGCAAGCTCGAGGGCTGCATTGGCAAAATCTTGGAAGCCACAAAAGCATACAAATCACCCCAGCAGCAGCACCACACTGCCCATCAAAATGCCAACCAAATGTTCCAGCAGAGGGTCATGGCCTCGCGAGGCCAGATGGGAAACATGTCGGATCAAGACTGGCTGGGCACAATGATGCAGTGTCTGAATGAAAGCATGAGGACCCAGCAGAGCTCGTTTGTGCGCAACACGACTCTTGATGTTGCCCTCAGGACCTTTGCCGCCGGCATTTTCGAAGCTCTCGGCCCGGCGTACTTTCAAGAGCCCTTGGACAAGTACCTGGCTGCGTCGAAGCCCATGTCTCCTCAGAATACCATCGCTGGACATTATGCTCTTGACCGTTCTGGTATTCCCTCTCCACCTAGAGAGATGGGCCCGAACCGGAGCATCCTGCAACGTCTCGGCACACAAAACATTCCGCCATCTCCTACCCACGCCTCGCCTTTTCCTTCTACACACTACCAAATGGTCCAAAGATCTGCGCATAGTGTCAGTCCCAATGGAGCACCCGCACCGCAGCATCAAATGCGGGCCATGCCCATACTGCAACGACCCCTACCACCGGCGCGCCAACCCCGCCGTCCAGTAAGTTTTTTTGGCTTACTCAAGAACATTCTCTGCATTCTTGCTAACAACCAAGTTATAGCCAAAGCGCTCATCTCCGACCGAGCCTCTGAATCCTTTAGCACAAAAGAGAACCTATACATCCGAGACTCTGCGACAGGCAGCCGGCTCGATGGGACCTCTGCTTTCGCCTGCTCAGGCACAACCCAGCCACAGCAATACTCTGAAGCCTTGGTTATGTATAGACTTTTGGGATGTACAGCAAGAGAGAAATTCACGAAGGAGACAAGCCATTCTCGGCTACGGGGGTAAATGGTACGTCTTTCAATGTCATCGGCATCAAGACGTTCTCTTTTTCAAGACGGCAGAAGGTGCAAGACATCACATGATAACTCGCCATGCCATGCCGAACCAGCACATTGACTTTTTGGATATTGTGCAAGAACTCGGTGTTGAGGTGATGAATTGTGACGTTGCACGTGCGGACAAGAACAATCTCGACGCTGTCCACTTGTGGAACCAGTCTACCTCGAGTCCAGCGGCACAAGAATGTGCAGCAGAAGTGCAGGGCAATGCCAAAATATCCGTTCGGGCACCCATTTCAATCACGACACAGTCAGTGCCTGCTGCTGATTGCTTGTCGAGTGCGAGTTCGGCGTCGGCGTCTTTCCCAACAGCGCAACTCGAGTCTCCTAGCATAGTTTTGCTCTCAAAAGATGAAGTGGACGAGGAAGCAACTGCACAAAAGGCAGATGTTGTCATCAAAACAGAAAAGATGGATGTGGATTTTAGTTTTTTGGCGACGAAAGTGCAGCCGCATTCTCTCATAACCACGGCGAGCTGCTCCACGCAGTCATCTGAGCCCGCCAGCCTACCGACAGAGCGCCTCGAGACGAGTAGAGAGTCACCAAGCTCAGTTTCAAAACTCGAGAGCCGAGAACCTCTTGCTCTACATGTCGCGAGGAACGTGCAGAGCCCGGAAAGAGACGAGCCCGTGGTATCTCCAGAGAAGTCTGCCAAGGACAGTTTTGCAGTGACAAGCACTGCAAAAGCGCCCGGAACGCCCGAAAATGTCGAGCATATTCCAGAACTGACGCCCAACTCACCAGAGTCATCTGATCTGAGTGGACCGTCGTCCCTTGCAGACTTTGACTCAATCGAGACACAACCCCCAGGCAGTGACCCAAAGATTATCGATGGCAAGCTTGAAGAGGGTGAAATTGACGAGTCGTGTATCCAAGTTATCCCGTACTCTCTGACCATGTCGGCAAAGATGTTTACATCTTCCGAATCGGGCAACAAGAAGAAGAAATGGATCAGTGCTGCTGGCTCAGCGGCGCCCTCTGGGTTGTCCTCTGGATTGCCGAGGAAGAAGCTGCCCTCGACGCCAAAGTCGGCACAGACGAAGAAGAAGAAGAGAGAACGCCAGTCGTTTTGGAGCCCGTCTCAGGAGACTGGACCAAGTGCCCACGATCAATTCAAGACCAGAGCGTGCAAACAGTGCGCCGAAAGGTTTTACTTTCGAGCTCAGCTTGCGACGCATATGCAAACCGAACATGCTGAGATCATAACTGTAGAATAGAGGCTAGCAAAATGAACAAAGACAGCCAATAGTGGCTTGAGCATGCAAAACACCTTTCATGTTGGCTAGGGAATATCTTACAAGTACATCTTTTTTTCTTTCTAATCAACTCATGTGCCTGTGTGACTTACCCCCCCCTCCCCTTCTGTATCTACTCTGCCTTTGTGCGAGGCGTCATGACTTTATGAATCGCAATCATGTCATCCCCTCCAAACCCCCTCTCCACCGCATCCCTGTACAAGGCATTACACACCGTCATCAGCGGCGTCTGCGCGCCCACCTCCTCCGCCGCCTCCTGCACCAGCTCCGTCAAGTTGTAGCAGTCCCGCATCGCCGCCTGCGGCGACCAGTCCTCTGCAATCATCTTGGCCACTTTCAGCTTCGAGTACGCCGACGCCATGGGCCCCGCGTCGAGCACCTGACCAAACGCATCGACGTCCAGCCCCTGCGCGCGCGCCAAGTTCATCGACTCGGCCAGCCCCGCCGTCATGGTAATCAAGAACAGATTCGTCGCAAACTTTGTCCGCAGGCCCATGCCAATCTCGGCGCCACAGTACACGGCCCGCTTGGTCATGGTCGTGAGCAGCGGCGCCACCCGCCGCGCCTCGTCGCCGTCGCCGGCCAGCATGCCCACCAGCTGGCCCTGCTCGGCGGGCACGCGGCTGCCGCTGACGGGCATCTCGAGGAAGCGCCCACCCGCTCGCCGCACCTGCTCGTCCAGGTACCGGCTAAAGGCGACGGAGACGGAGCTCGTGTTGATGAGCGTCTTGCCGCGCAGCGCAGCGCTAAAGTCTGGGTCAAAGAGCACGGAACGGTACGCCGCCTCGTTGAAGAGCATGGTAAAGATGACGTCCGACTGCCGCAGGACGGCGGCGGGCGAGTCGGCAATGGTAACGGCGGCGGCGCTCGTGGACCGCCGAAAGGGCTCGTATTTGGCGGCGGTGCGGTTCCACACAGTCAGTGGGAATTTTTGGGCGAGGTTGAGGGCCATGGGCGTGCCCATGAACCCGAGCCCCATGAAGCCGACGCGCATGTTTTGGTTGTTTGTAGAGAGAGAGAGAACTAACTGGGTTCGTTGGGAGGTTGGTGGAATTTGCGGTAATGACGCACGTGCAGCTTTGGGGGGTTAACAAAATGGTGGCATGCACTATATCTAGAGATCTACAAAAAGGTTGAATTTGGCTTGTACATGTACGATTTTATTCTTGGCGAAATGTCATAAGAACTGGAGCAAAAGGGCGCGCCCCATTGGCGAGTAGTCAATCACCAGGTAGTAGTAGCCTAACTAGTAGGTACAACAACACTACTGTGATTAAGCTTTCGCAACGTTAAATAAGTTGGCACGGCCCCTGAAACGGCAACAAATTGTGTCCATTTTAGGTTGCTCGGCTCAAGCCTGACTTTTCCCCAGGTTTCAAGCCTCTGCCGCTTGTAGCCGTCACTGTCGATGATGTCGGCGCTCTGATTAAGCTTTTCTCGAGTCAAGGCTGAGTCACTCAAACATAGCAAGGGTTTGGACTATGAAGAGCTAAAGATGATACGACGACTGTGGCACAGACGGATAAACACTGAACAAGCGAGCTCCTTTATCCGGTCTCAAGGACACTGTCCCGTGGCGCGACGAGCAAATAAACATTGCCACAAAAAAAAAATCATGATTCGCATGCTATTCCTGAATGATAGTGTTGCCGATGCTCTTCCCGTCTCGTGTCATCTCAGTTGTCGCCCATTTCCACATCCTTGACATCTTGGTCCGAAAACTCAGCCTCGCTCTCAGAGTAGTCGGCCGCAAACTTCAAACCTTTTCCCCAACGGTTCATTATCTGCTCTTCCCTCGGCAGTCGTACGTTGCTGCTGGCGGCAATCTTTCCATCTTGACGCCGCAGCGCGATGCGATCCAGGATGTAATTGCAGCAGTGCCAGATTCGTTGTCGATTGCGAAGCCCCTTTGAGGTTGAGTACATTTTCTGAAGCGCAAAGTAAAGTTTGCGCCAGTCTGTACCATTTCGAGGGAGCAAAGTCACTGGGACAGGCTCGGGAACAAAGTGGCAGATGGCCTCGAGTTCCTTGACCTGCGCCTTGAGCTCCCACAGGTGAGCACGCCTCTGGGTCCAGGTATCCCCATCCGCCTCGATTGTACTGACCCAATTTTTGAGATAGCCTAAATGATGGCTCACTGCAATCGGATCTTTTGTAATCTCAGACTGCGTCGTGGTCGCCCAGCCAGAGTATGGGCGGGTGCACCACGTTTCCCAGATCCAGGGCATGCCGTGGCGGATATAACCAAAATATGAAGACTGCGGGAGATTGGGCGATGGCTCCGAAGACAGTTTCATCTGCGCAATTCCGTCGGTGTCGACGTTGATGTTGGTAGTCTCGCCGGACATGGGACCTACAAAAGGTTCGTCGGTTGCTAGCTGCTGCAGTTCATCATCGAGTGCAGGTACAAAGCAAGGGTTTGCAGTAATCCATTCATCGCCTTCAACATGGTCCCATACCTTGTCTTTTGTAGCGCAACGGACCGCTTCATCATGGGGAAAGATCTTATCCGTAAAGTGATGCGTTGCCTCGACCTTGTACCAACCAATCAGGCCATCAACATCGATGGTATTCAGTCTGTTTAGCGACGCGCGTTTAAAGACCTCGAAGCATGCAGGATGAAAGGGCATTGCAGCGAGATGTCGCTTTTCGCAAGCACTTGCCCAATTGTGCACGTTGAAATGCTCTTGCCCATGGCGCATCGGGACAAAGATGGTGGCGCAACTAACGTCTGAGTCGAGATGGTCTCGAAGTCCTGACAGATAGCTCGGGCACTTATCATCGACTTCAAAGTCTTCGTCCCCCTTCTCTGGCTCCCAGTCACTGAATTTTGGACAGAGGAGTTGAAACGTGTTGCAACCTCGGAGTTCTTGAGCAGTGATGTTGTGCCCAGTGTAGGCATTTCTCAGAGTACAGTTGGGGCCTGAGATGTGCTCCCGGCTGGGCCACGACTGGTCCCTCTTTTTATATTCTTCAGTGAGTGGGACGATAATCATGCCGCGGTCTGATGGGGTATTGATCAGAAACTTGATGTACTGGTTGTCATTGACTTTGATTTCCATCTCGTCTTCATCTTCCTTGTTGTCATCGTCGTCGTCTTTAAACGTGTCGTCAAAAGAGTCATCACCACTCGCTTTGGAAGGTGGTGACATGGATTGGTGCTTGATGTCTTTTGGGTTTTCCGCATCTTCAGAAACAAATGAGACGTCTTCATCGTCGTCGTCGGCGGTGCCATCGTTGGTCACCACGAAGCACCCAACACAGTCCGTTTCGTTGCTGATGGGGACTCCTTGACACAGTCGTCGCGATGATGCCTCTGGAGGCTCGTCGACCAATCTCATGCGGCCAACATTACCGCTGACACCGCAAATCTGGCACCGAAGGTCGGTTCGTAGTGAAGAGACCATGATGATATATTCAATCTGGCGACAGGACAATGCAACAAATTGTTTGACTGGCTGCTCTTGACGGGCTTGGTGGGAGGACCACAGGCATGAATGGGCGACGAGAAGCCATTTTATACGAGTCGGCCTGCGAAAGCAACTTTCTTCTGTTGTGTTTGTTGATGTGTGACTGTTTCGCACTCGTGCAAGAACGATCAAAGAAGACGCCTATTGAGGAAGTAGCCAAAGGCCTCACGATGCCCAGGAAGGAAGAATACGGCTCTGCTCGAGTTGTCACGACGCGACAAAGAGACGAATACATGTATGCTGCGGAATGAGGCTGGCCTAGTTGATTTCGTCGCTTCCCCTACAGCTACTTGCTGGGAAGCTCAAAGACGCAAATGTTTTCACGCCGTCGTTAAAAGTTACCCGTGGCAGCCCGCAAATTCGGCACAACAGCGTGAATTATAGTGGTATTGGCGGATCGCATTAGGCTGGCTCTCAGGCCTCGAGCACTGCCAAACAATGAGCTGCGGGCCGCGCTTCTTATTACTCACACTGCTGTGAGCTTATGTTTATGCTGGGAACCTTTGTTCACGCTGGTACCAGGAATTCAAGTTGAAGTCATTTTGCCTGTTGTTTTACAGATTCAAGTAACTAATTATAGTCACCACTCTTGCAAGGCTTTTCAACATTACAGCGTAATACAGCGTTGAGTCACGTGGAAATTGTGTTTGATACTAGGTATCGAACTGATGCGCTGCATTGCCCCGCTAGCAGATTTACGAGTCACTTTGTTAGTCAACGTATGTACAGGCTGATTCACATCATCAAAAGGTGTAGATGCGCATTTTTACAGCCAAATCATCTCTCGCGATTTCACCAATTTCTTCTATCGAGCCGCAAAACGACGCGCTGTGATGAAACTCGATGCCAAAAAGGCCAATCATCAGGCCGATGACGCTTTCCAGACACGTCACAACTCTTCAGGTCAATCAGCATCTGTCACAAGCGCCAGTCTACGATTGGACAAAGAGATCAGAACCATTACTTTGCTGCCAGCAGAACAGCTACTGAGAGAATTCCTGCTTGAATGTGCACAGTCTTTTCCTGGGCTGGAAATGTGGGTTACAGGAGGTTGGATCCGTGACCGCCTACTCGGGATACCTTCTTCTGATCTTGACTTGGCCCTGAGCAATTTAACGGGTAAAGGATTTGGCACATTTTTGGAAGAATTTTCAGCAAAGCCTGAAGTGGAATCTAGATATTCGCAAAAAGCAGCCAAATTGGGCGTTTCAGGCTCCCTTTTCACCCGGTTTCACATCATGAAGAAGAACGCAAACATGTCCAAGAAACTGGAAACAGCTGGCGGGAGATTGTTTGGCTTGGATATCGACCTGGTCAATTTGCGCAAAGAGGTGTATGACGGGCAGACTCGTAATCCAGACATGGAGTTTGGTACTGCCGAGGAAGATGCATTTCGCCGCGATGCAACAGTGAATGCATTGTTTTATCACTTGAAGAAACAGCAAGTTGTCGACCTCACTGGCCTCGGCCTCCAGGACTTGGATGCGAAGATAATGAGAACGCCTCTCAATCCCATGCAGACTTTCATGGATGATCCTCTCCGAGTTCTGCGCTTAATACGGGTTGGAAGTAAGCTTGGCTTTTCTATCGACCCTGAGGCGGCGTCGTGCATGCGGAGCACACAGATACGTCGGGCACTCGACACAATCATCACTCGCGACAGAGTTGGCGCTGAGCTGATCAAGATGATGGCCAGTCCAACTCCAGAGATGGCTTTCACATATATCTTTGACTTGCACCTCTATGCACCTATTTTCATTCGATTGGATGCAGAGCTACTTGAAGCACTCGCGCAACAGTTTCCTTTTCTGGGAGTCAACTCATACTCTCCATGGCCTACTACCTGGCCTCGAGCATACGAGCTTCTCGCTCATGTTCTGCACGACCAAAGCAACTTGTCACTTTTGATAGCCGCCGACGGCAGCACAGACTCCCTTTGGACAATGGCTGCGTATAGCCCACTTGCGGGGTTACGACACAGATTACTCAAGGAAACGGTACAAGAAGCAGCGGCCTCTATCAAAACTACGGCAAAGATAACACAGCTTCTCGAAAGCTCGTTGAAAAATTTCGACTCCATTGGCAAGGTTGTGGCAGACGTCACATGTTCAAATGAGAATTGCTATTCGCGCAGTGCATGCGGCATGGCTATCCGCTCCTGGGGCGCAACTTGGACTACACAAGTCGCATACGCCATGCTATCAGAAGCAGTATATGACGATGCAGAGTACGAAACTAGAGGCGGTCATGATGCTGAATGCTCTCGAGATGCGCACGCTCGCAAAATTGTGTTGGACAAGTATTCAGCTTTTGCCGACTTTATTATCCGCCACAACTTGCAAAACGCGCATTCTCTTCGCCCCTTGCTTAACGGAAGAGAGATTCAAGAGTTGTTTGGTTTAAAAGAAGGCGGAAAATATCTCAAGAATGTAATGGATAAGCTCGTGGAATGGCAGTTTGACAATGAGGATGCCACCACGGAACAATGCGAGGCGTGGCTAGTACAACAGCGAGACTGCCTTGGGGTGCCCCAAGCTGTCTAGTTGCTAGCAAATGATTAGCCTTTGGGGGGATTTCTCCACAGACACCTTCATATGAGAATACCTGTCATTCAGCTTGCATATTTTTCGGGCTTTTTTCTAGGGAACGGGGAGCTGGCGAGTACCTGCTAGCACCACCAAAAAAATAGGCGAGTATTCCACAGGCGTTACTCCATACTAAAGTAAAATAATACCCGTCTTGATGCCTAAAGATGTTGGATGCATAGATGAGCGAAAAACTATAAATGATCAATGTGGCGCTACTTGTGTACTTGTGCCTTTTATCTAGACATTGATCCTAATAAGTAAGACATATTATAGTGTCATTATGACCTCCTCACCGACCTACATGAGACGACAGTTCCGACGCCTGCATATGACAAGAAGCGGGACCGCAATACCGAGAAAAAAAAAATCTTGCCGACCGTTCGGCAAATGTTGGGCCTTGTAATGGCAGCCTTAGTTCGAAAACCTCGTCTTTGCATCCCGCTAAATCTCTTTGGCTAACGAGACAAGGTTCAAACGCATCAGCCCTACAGCAGACACAGCCCCAATCTCGAAAGCACAGGGTAATTTTTTCCAGATGCAGAACGATTGCGAGTACTACTGCGACGGAAATAAGCCCCCGCAACCGAGTCATCCCCGTCGTTCCGTGGAGTCGCCGTAAACTCGCCCGGGGAGGTCCGGCGCCGGGGGGGTGCCACATTGCGAAAACGCAAAGTTTTTTTTTTTTTTTTTGCAGCTACGTGTTTCCGCTGGCCACAAGGGGGCTCTCTCTCGTTCTTGCCCAGGGCTGGGCAATCTCCCGTCTTCATGTCAAAACCTCGCGAGGAGATTGGCCCGCCGCTGTCGCCCGACTGTGGAAGTAGCTCACTCGCCTCCACAACAACACCTTTGACAAGACCTTCAACCACGTCCCCGCAAGCTCCCATTGTCTCGGTCTCGGTCCGGGTCCGGGTCCCGGTCCCGGTCCGAGTTCGCGTCAGCGGCGGGCGCAATGGACCACGGTCGCGCCAGGGCTGCTGGACTTGCCGCACGAAAAAGGTAAAGTGCGACGAGACGCGACCAAAATGTCTGCGCTGCATCCGGCTCCGCCTCTTGTGCGACTACGAGCCTCGTGATGATCATAATGATAATAATAAGCGCACATCTTTCAAAGAGCCCCAACAAGACGGAAGCGCGCCGGGGCAGTGCTGCCGGCGACGCGCCGTGACGAGCCAGCCGTGGCTCTTGCAAGTTGCGCCGTGGCGGCGTGCCGCGAGCGTGCCGACGATGCACATGCCCGTCTTTAGCACGGCAGCCAATTCGCTAAAGCTGACATCGCTGGACCACGAGGCGATTCGCTACTACCGCACGACGTTTTCCCAGAGGCATTCGACCAAGAATACAGACTTTTCCTTTTATTCCGTCATTTTCACCCTGGCTGAACGAGACCCTCGTGTGATGCGCGGCTTGCTGGCGCTGGGCACGCGCAACATGTACCAGGGGAAAATCGAATCTCATAAAGACCAAAAGGCAACGCGCGGATGGTCAGGCCTGGGCCACTACTCGGCTGCGCTGCGCATGATGGCTGATACCATCAGTGCCGGTGAAGATGGCTTGATTGACTTGGATGTCGCGCTTGCGGCCATCTATCTCATGCTCATGTATGAGCAAAAGTTTGGCGACGCCAAGTATTCAGGCTGGATGAACCATTTGAAAGGAGCTGCTCTGCTGATACAAGAACGCTGCAGCGACTGGCCTGCGCAGTTAAAAGCCGAGCCTCGGAAAGCCTTCAAGGCATCGTCGTCTTTGCCCGTGTCAGATGAAACAACAGCCTCGTCGTCTACGACACAGACGCCGCCTTTGTCCGTGTTTGCCGCGCGCATGCTGGTATACTTTACAATCATGGACGGGTATGGCTCGACCTTTGGCTTGGGAGGCCAGGTCAACAAGGTTATGCACAGGATTGCGCAGGCCCATGACCCGGACATGTCACCGACAGACGCCTTTACCAAGCTGCATCGGTACTCGGACGGCATATACCGAGCGGTTTTCCGACGTAATTATCCAGCGAATGAGATGCTGGCGGATGTGGCAAACCAGTCCATTACCGACATGTGGCAAGCTTGCTGCGTCTTGCGATACCTCGTCGCCGACATTTCCAACTATAAAGGAGATGCCGCTCGACGTCGCCTAGACGTGGTCCAAGAGTCGGCCGATTACATTGCCGAGAGCTATCCAGAACTCGTCGCCCTGGCCACGGAGATTTCTCCCGATGCGCATGTCCCCGAAATGATGGCCACCAACTTTCGGACCTTTATACCGCTGTACTTTGCTTGCTTGCTAGAACTGCATCTGCAGAGGTGCGAGTTGGAAGAACAACAACCTGCTGATGTAATGACGGCCGACGAAAAGAAGACGACGACGGCAACCTACATTGCCGTGATTATGAATCTGGCCCACCAAATCTACAAGCACGCCGGCTTGGAGCTGCTGCATCTAGTCACGTATCCTTTATTTCTTGTCGCGCTGCAGACAGACGCCCGCTCGACGCGGGATTGGATCCTGGCGCGGTTTCAGGACCTGTCTGCTTTTGGACCGAATATCGGCAGAGCGCATGCATTTTTGCAAATGGCGCTGAAGAAGCAGCAAGAGACTGGGGAGAAAATCAACGTGCGCAAGGAGATGAAGGCTAGCAAACTGCCAGTGTTTGTGATATAGCAAACTAACTACAAAACATGATGACTAAAACACAAAAGGCAACTGAACGACTTATCGAAAGGAGGCCCTGCTATAGCCAGTTAGAAGTAGAGTATTATTTTCAAGTTGGACCGCCGTTGACGGGACAGAACCTCGGTATAGTCTAATCACGTAAGTGGCAAGACCGGGTTTAGTCCCCGGATTAGTGTCCACCAAGCCAAGATAGCCCGATCCTCCGAGTTTTGTTTTATTACTTGTCAGGCCACACCTTCTTCAAGCCGAGGCGGCGCGGGCAGCCAAGTCTAAAACTCCGCTGTTTTTTTTTTGCCAGGGCCGTGGGTATGCTACAAGTCCGCTCCAGCCAATTTACTAGTTACTGCAACCGGGGGCTTATCATTTGCGTTTGAAAGACGTAAGTGTTTTTGTGCCTAGCTTATAGCCTCATATAAGAGCGGCGCTCCACCAACACGAACAATATAGATAAGACAAGTCAACATTACAACTTTGCTCAACTTGATTCAAAGACAAAGGAAAAAAAAAAAAGAAAAAAAAATGTCCAAGCAGAGTTTGGAAATTGCAAACCCCATTACACTGCCATGCGGTCTCACCCTGCGCAACCGCCTGGCCAAGGCCTCCCTGGCGGAAGGCTGGGCCGGCCGCGACCGGCTGCCTCACGACGACCTCATCGAGACGTACCGTCTCTGGGCCGAAGGCGACTGGGGCGTCATCATCACCGGCAACGTGCACGTCGACTCCACCTACCTGGGCGGGCCCGAGGACGTGAGCCTCAACGAGCGCATCAGCCGCAACGCGCACATTGAAGCCTGGGGCCGGTGGGCGGCCGCCAGCAGCGAGCGCGGCACGCCGACGCTCGTGCAAATCAACCACCCGGGCCGGCAGTCGACTATCGGCGCGGGCACCAAGGGCCTCTTTGGCAAGTCGATTGCGCCCAGCGCCATTGGCGTCAATCTCGGCCCGGGACTCGTCGCCAAAGCCGCGAGCGCGCTCGTCTTTGGCACGCCCCGCGAAATGACCGACTTTGAAATCGACGACGTGGTGCGGCGCTTCGCCACGACGGCCCAAGTCGCCGAGGCTGCGGGTTTCGCGGGCGTCGAGATTCACGCGGCCCACGGGTACCTCTTGTCGGCCTTCTTGTCGGCGCGGAGCAACCAGCGCACGGATGAGTACGGGGGCACGCCGAGGAAGCGCGCGAGGATCGTGGTGGAGACGATTCGGGCGATTCGCGCGGCCGTGTCGTCGCCCAAGTTTTGCGTGGGCATCAAGATTAACTCGGTCGATCACCAGAGCGCGGGCGAGTTGAAGGGCTGCCTGGAACAGCTTACTGAAATCACCAATGCGGGCGTCGATTTCCTCGAGATAAGTGGAGGAAGCTACGAGAATCCTACGGTATGTATATGTATATATGTATATATATATATATATATATATATATATTAGACCCATGTCTCGTCATTCAGTCTGGTTTGCTAATGTTTCTTTTTACAGATGGTGAGCTCGGTTGTGAGTGAAGCCGGCGTCAAAGTTTCCGCCAGCACGGCGACTCGTGAAGCCTTTTTCCTCGACTTTGCCCACGCCATCCGCCAGACGTTTCCCGAGCTCCTTCTCATGGTCACGGGCGGCTTCCGCAGCCGTCTCGGTCTAGAGCACGCCGTCAAGAGCGGCGCCTGCGACTTGGTCGGCGTCGGCCGGCCGTCCGTCGTGGAGCCGAGGCTGCCGCGGAGCATCGTCTTCAACCCAGACGTGCAAGACGAAGACGCAAGGCTGCCGACAAAGAGCTTCTCTCAGGCTACGCTTAGTCGATGGCTTGGTATCAAGGGACTAGGAGGTGGCACCGAAACGGTACGTAAAAGTATTATACAAAGTTGTAAAAAAAAAAAAAAAAAAAAAAACAAAAACAAAAAGAAAAGAAAAAGATGGCGGTACTAATTTTTTTCACGTTACAGATTGGATATATGGGTGAGATTCATAGAATGCAAAAGGCCGCCGCCGCCGCTGGAGTGTAAGTCGCAAAGCCATGCCCTCGATTGTTTTCGTTTTTGGTTTTCGAATTATTATTTCGCACATGGTAGCTTTCTAGATAGACTGCACGCAATTGAATGAATTCTGACGCTAAAAAAGCATGACACAACAATACATGTATGTTGCATCACCAAGGACCGCGACAAGTTCTTATACAGACACCGAGTACAATGCAGATCGCCCATGTATTGCCAAGGACGATTCGCTTATATCAACCCCGCGCTGGCTCCAAGACATCCGAGGCAACTTGTAGCCCAACTGCCCAACTAGTTCAGTTCAACTTTTGCCGACGCAGTGTGGCTTTGCTCCATCTAGTTAGTCTCAGTACACTCCACCGGGCCGTGCAGCGTGCGCCGTCGCCGACGGGTTAGTTGGGCCGCGTCCAAGACGGAGCATTGTTATATAGACTAAAACCCCAGGTTTTTTTTAGATGACAATAAAAAAAAAAAAAAAGATTGGTTCTGAATCTACTTTGTTAAATTTATCCGAAATAGTAAACCTCACAAGTATGCCAGCACCAACATCCAGTCCTGGTCAAAGAACCAGCCACACCGACTTTGACCTCATCATTGTCGGCGCAGGCATTGCCGGCATCAATGCCGCCTATCGCTTCCAGACCGGCGGCGGCGGCGGCACCTCCCACCACCACCACAGCTCGTATGCCATTTTCGAGGCGCGCGATGCCGTCGGCGGTACCTGGGATCTCTTTCGCTACCCGGGCATCCGGTCCGACTCGGACATTTTCACCTTTGCCTTTCAGTGGAACACTTGGCCAAAAAGGGGCACCATGGCCAGCGGCGCCGAGATTCGCGCCTACATCAAGGAATCGGCGCAAAAGACGGGCATCTACGACAAGATCCGCTTCCGGCACAAGATTGTCGCCGCCAACTGGGAGTCGGAGCACTCGCGCTGGGCAATCACCACTACTACGGTCCCCGGCGGCGGCGGTGGTGCTGCTGCTGCTGCACAGACCAAGATTTACTACAGCCAGTTTGTCTATCTCGCGACGGGCTATTACGACTACGAGACGCCTCTTTCTACCACTATTCCCGGAATCGAAAACTTCCAGGGCAAGGTGCTGCATCCGCAGTTTTGGCCCAAGGACCTCGACTACACGGACAAGGACGTCGTCATCATCGGTAGCGGCGCCACGGCGGTGACCATGGTGCCCTCCATGACCGACAAGGCCAAGCATGTGACCATGTTGCAGAGAAGTCCGACCTACATTTTTCCTCTGCCTCAGTACGGAACGCTGGCCCAAATTGTGCTGTTTCTCTTTCCCCGGCCCGTCGCCCACCTCATTCTCCGCGCGGGCTGGATCCTGCAGCTCGTCTTTATGATTCAGTTCTGCAAATACTTTCCCGGCATCGTCCGCCGCGTCATCAAGCACGAAAACGTCAAGCGGCTGCCGGCCGAGGTGCCCTGGGACCCTCACTTTAACCCGCGCTACAACCCGTGGGAGCAGCGTCTCTGCGCCTCGCAAGACGGAGACATTTTTGCTGCCCTCGGCACCGGCAAGGCAAGCGTCGTCACCGATACCATCAGTGTTGTGACGGAGAAGAGCATCAAGCTCAGTTCCGGGAGCGTTTTACATCCCGACATTATCGTCACGGCGACTGGGCTGCGGCTCAGCTTTGCGGGCGGCATGGACGTCACCGTTGACGGACAGCACATGGACCAGTCCAAGCAGTTTCTGTGGAAGGGCACCATGCTGCAAAACGTTCCCAACTTGTTCTTTACGATTGGCTTTGAAAACGCGTCGTGGACGCTGGGCTGCGACTGCGCGGCGCATCTGACGGTCCGCGTCATTGAGCAGCTGAGGCAGAGGGGGCTCAGGGTTGCGGTGCCGCGCATGAGTGCGTCGGATCAAGAGACAATGGTCCCCAAGCCATTGTTTAGCCTAAAGGCGACGTATCTGGACAAGGTCAACGAGCAGCTTCCCAAGGGAGGCAGTGGCGTTTGGGCGCCTCGAACAAACTACCCAGTGGATCTGTGGAAGTCGACATATGGTGACATTGAAACGGACCTAGAGATGAAGTAGATGTACAGCTAGTCTACAAACGATTAAATAAAGACGTATCAAGACTTTTCAAGACGTATCAAGACGTATCAAGACGTATAAAGACGTATCAAGGCGTATCAAGACGTATCAAGATGTATCAAGACATATCAAGACGTATCAAGACGTATCAAGACGTATCAAGACGTATAAGACTTATCGAGACTTATGCACCAACGTCTTGAATTCATGTGCTTTTGTTCGCCCTGTCAAGGCACATCGAAGCCAAGCTTGACCACCTCTCCGCGGCTGATCCCTTCAAAGTACCCATCGTGTGTGTCCTATCAACAATTTTAATCATTAGCAACGTCTCCAATCAGACTGTCTATGACGTCTCATCTACTTTCTTCGTAAAAAAAAAAAAAAAAAGGCCATCATGTGTAGAAGCGTCTCGAGACTGAATTTCAAAATAAAGTGGCTGGGTGATTCAGCTGCCGCCTTGCAGTAAGTAGCGGTAGGCCCTCGCAGCCAGCAAGTCTCAGCGCAACCAGGCTTGAAGAGTAGCCAACCAAAGCTGTCACAAAAAGTGCCAAAAGGCTAGTTAGACGTTGTGGCACATTTGATATAATGTGCGATGCCGCAGGAAAAATGTTTTCGAGTCACCGCGCTCGCCCCCAAGTACCCGACCCCTCACTCATCTAACATGGCCCAGTCCGCGTACGTGGTCTGCGCCGAAAACATTTCGCTGCTGCACCTTTTACAAAAAGTACCCGAGCCACCGTCTGTCAACCTTGTCCCTCCGATCGAGCACGATGCAGCGAGGTATACGTTGGGTATGGCGACGGAGCGCTCGCTGGCTGGCGCCCTCGCGTTTGTGTCGAGCATCACGGACAGCCCCAATTGCATCACGGCCGTTTGCGTACAAGAAGAACAAGGCCAGAAGCTGCAGATTCACGTAGCCATAAACAAACAAACACCAAGAGAGAATAATGTGACGCTGGGCATAATCTGCAGTGGTTTCAATCAGATGTTTACGCGCCTCTCTGATTTTCAAGGTGGTATGTCAGTCGGTACGAAAGCTGTCTGAATCGCGAATTGACTTGGGGTTCTACGCAGGCAACTGTGAAGAAGACCTTTTCGTGCAAATAGTCTCATTATGCAGATCCAGGATTCTTTGTCGGCTGGGGTATCAGAAAAAGACGGCGTCTAGATGTAGGAGCCCGCTCGACACTGTCCTTGACCAAGCCACACAATCGCTGCTACAACTCCGAAACGGAGTCCAAGTGCCCAAGATGGCCAGATACCACCAAAATGCTTCAAATTTGACCGCACAGATTGAGCAGTTTTTGGAAAAGTCGGCCAAATTGGTCAAAGTCATTCGCAGCTGGACTATGCACAAGACAGACAATGAGCTGTGCGCTGTCATCGATGGTCTCTATGACTTTGTTGCAATGGACAAGTGGAAGGCTGTGATTGACTTGATTCCTGGCCGTTTGATGGATCCTTCCTCCAGAGAAAGCTTGGTAAAAATGCTTCAAAGAGGCTCACGATACAGACACGTTGCGCGGGTTCTGTATCGCGCGGCCAAAAAGTATCCCATCGCCCGGCGGATGGAGGCGATTGCCGTGCAGCTGCCCGAGCGCGCTTTTAAAAGACCATCTCCATCTTCGCCGCCTTCCTCTCTCGAACGGACCTCTAGCAGAATCCTCGCGGCCCCAAACCACAGCGTCGACCGCCTCTGTCAAGCGCTCAACACCAACGCCGACGATGCCCGCACCGAATTCAAAGCCCAGACGCACAAGACCCTCACCGAGGGCAAGTTTCACGCTGAAGTCCAGCTCCTCTGCCAAATCCTGTCCCAGCCTTCCTCGCGCAAGCCGCCGCGTGTCGTCTGCGCCAGCAAGGACGCCTGTTTTCTGTGCAACTGCCTGCTCCGGGCACACGCCAAGCTCTACACGCCGCGCTGCCACGGCAAGCTCTATGCCGGATGGCGGCTACCGATGATGACGGCCGAGTTGCGGCCGCTACAAGTCTCGATTAACCGGATGCTGGAGCAAAAGATCCGGAGCAGCGCCGCAGCGCTTCTGCATAGTGTGGGCGGCGCGCGACGACGACGTGGGCGACGGCAGCACCTCTACCCGGACCCGTGTGAGAGCACCTGCTCGACGGCGATGCGCTCCGACACAACGGTCGTGGCGAAGAGCCTGGGCTCGGCGGATGGGGGGACACTGAAAGAGAGTAGCACCTCGGAGCTTTCGGTAGCGAAAGATTGTTCGCCTTCTCCAGAGACGACTTGCTCGTCACGTAGCATGACGTCCCTAAGAGCAAAGGAGTCTCAGCGTCTTATGGGTGAGGATGCTACGGCGCTGATGGAAAAAGACGACTCGCCGGATATATCGAGCAGCAGCGATACCGCGAGGCCGGCGGAGAAGGAGGATGCGCAGAGTCTTGTGGGCAAGGACAGACGTTCGGATAGCCGTCATTGGACTATATCCCAGAGCTATGCCCTCGCGCAGGGCGAGGTCGTCGCGTCCAGCATACCACCCAACACGGCATCAAACACGTATACCGCGGAGCTGCTGCGGGTGCAGCTGGAATACACAAATACGAGGCACCAACTAGCAGGCGACGACGACCAGACACGTCTGAAATACCAGATTCAGCAGCTTACCGCTCATGAAGCCCGCACGCTCCGCGAGGGCAGGTCCATCTCGATCATCGACGTCTCAGCCATGACGGCCTCGCAAGAGCGCACTTTTAAGCTCGACGAGTTGGCAGAGTTGTATCTGGGCGCCGGCACGACTTGTATATTCAAGCTCGTACTGCAGCCTGCGCTGCCACAGACTTGATAAACGTCTAATATGTATCTCCCTCTCTGACGGCGGGATGCCCCCAGTCATACTCGAACCGGCCCCAGCCCCCATTCTCCATCTCATGCGCCATCGACATTGCATACACCACCATATCATACGCGCCCTCCCTCGGCACCTTACCCTGACACACGTTGCCCCCCATGGCCACGTTGAGCAGCACCGTCATGTCCCGCAGCGGCCTCGTCCCCGCTGGCACCGTCGCCTTCATCACCGGCCTCCCGTCAATATACCAAATCATCCGGCCGCGACCCGCCTCCCCACCAGGTTGCTCCCACACGAAATCATACTGCACCGGCCGCTGCCGCATGTCCGGGATGCGCGTCCCGCGGATCCGATGCCGGTCCGGCTGGTCGTGCTGGCCCCAGTGCAGGCAGCTGTGATTCTCCGCGTCGCCGTTCCACGTCTCGGCAATGTCAATCTCGCCGTCCGTCGGCCAGGCAAAGGGCTCCTGCGGGAGCAGCCAGAACGCGGGCCAGATGCCCTCGGCGCACGGCGACAGGATGACGGCGGAGAGCACGCCGCGGTCGTGCGCGAGGGTCTGCTTGCTGACGAGGCGTGCAGACGTGTACTTTTGGTCGGCGTTGCTGGCAGAGTGGTTGGCCACGGCGCGGAGCACGAGTCTACCATCTTGCGTGCTACAGATTTCATGTCAAAACGTGGCCTTGAATTTCGAAAAAAAAAAAAAAAAGAAAAAAAAAGGTATGTGTTGTATGTTGCGCGGGTAGTAAGTGGTACAGTGAAGGGGAAAAAAAGGCTTACTGAAACGCATTCTGGGGCTGGTCGGTATAGTTTTGCAACTCGTGGTTGCCCCAGCCGTCCGTGCCATGACCCGTCTTGGCATCCCATTCGTGCGATACGTCGACGTGCGGCAGGAACTGAGGCTGCCAGTACACACGAGAGCCCTGCGGCGGGGGGTGGTGCGGGATCGGCGGCGGCGGCGCGCCTCCCGCGCCATGTTGCGGATGAGGCGGCACCGGCGGCGGCGGCGGCGCTGCGCCGCCCTGATGGCAGTACTGCTGCTGCTGCTGCTGCTGCTGCGATCCGCCACCAATCATGTCGTTGAACTCATTTTTGATCTGATTGAAGCGGTCTCTCCACGGCATCGTGGCGGGGAAGCGTCAAGCCGTTTGCAGAGAGTGAGTAGCTGGAGCGGCCATATCAGATGAAGCTCAATTACCACCTGCGTAAGTTACATACCTGTAAATTTGTATGAAAATGCCACAGATGTGCACCGCAATGTGAAAATTGAGAAGTAAGGTTGAGCTTGAGGGATAAAGGTCTTGCCAACAGCGATGATGATGATGATGATGATGATGTTGGGCGCATGTGGGACCCACCCAACAAATGCTAGGCAGTGGCAGTGTAAATGCAGGTTGTGAGGAGGTGCAGCGTACGTAATTCAGAATTTTATGCAGACACAGCTGCTCGTTGAGAATCGTATATCCAATTGAATGAACGTTTTGTACTTTTATAATTATACCCATGATACCTTTTTTCCTGTAGCCCTCTAACGCCTGTTGAAATGAACTCTTAAAGGTCTACCATGTGCTTCTCTGAGCTCTGATGTTGGTTGTTTAAAAAACTCCCTCTTTTTTAAGGCGGCTCCTTGTCGCCGGGGCTCTATTCAGTTCTTCCTTGCTCCAAAAATATACAGAATGTTGTTACAGCAGTAGTGGCGTGTGTGTATTCCCTTACCGTGCCCGGCCTTAGGCCGGCGTGTTGCAGAGGCGCAGGATGCCCTCGTACATGGCAAACATGATGGCCGCGCTGGGCACCGTGCGCAGCAGATGCGGCGTCAGTCCGCCGTAGAGCCCCATCAGGCCCTCCTCCTTCCATACGAGCTTGAAGCACTGGACGAGCCCCGTGTACTTGGGCCGTCCGTCGGCGACGGGCGCCTGCCGCAGGCGCGTGCGCGCCACCTCGTGCGGGTACGCCAGGATGGCCGCGATGAACTTGGCAACGCCCGCGGCGCCAAAGTTGCCCGTCCACTCGACGGAGCGGTCCCACGCCGTCCTCTCGCGGCCGCTGCGCTCCAGCAGCTGCTCCCTGCGCGCCAGGTACGCCTTGAACTGCTCGTACAGCACCCACTGCAGCGTCGACTCGGCGACGCCCAGGTAGCTCGCGCTCATGCCCTTGTATAGCCCGCGGACGCCCTCTTCCCGGAGAATCTGCCTCACGCAGTCGTAACTGTTTCGGTACCGTCTGCGCACCTCGGCGCCGGCAGCGTCGCTCGCTCGCTGCGCAACATTCTTGTCGAGCTGCATTCGCGTCTTGATCATCCAGATCGGGTTGGTGGCCGTCGACGTCGCGATGCCCGCCGCGCCCGCCGCCAGCATGTGCACCCACGGCGCCTCCTCGCCGCCGTTCCAGCGCTCGGCGAGGATGCGCTTGCCGTTGCCGTACACGTAAAAGTTGATAGCCCGCGCCGGCACCACACCAATCAGGTTCGGCCCCAGCCCCTTGAACAGCGCCTTGGTGCCCTCGGTACGCTGCACCCCGCGCAGGATCTGCAGCGTGTCGCCGAGGTGGTAGAAGGCGGCCGCGACGGGACCGCGCCTCACCGCCGCCTTGGTCTGCATGGCCTGCGCGGCGCGTAGTTGCGCTTGGTAAATGTCTGACTGGAGCCGCGTCTTCAAGACGTCGAGGGGGGCGGTGAGTGTCGCAGCCGTCATACCTCCGATGCTGCAACCAAGTATTAGCAAATCGTGCACGTCAAAAAATCCGTCGGCGGCGATCGGAAAGAGGCAACGCACCCTCCAGCCAAGAAATGCACCCAAGACTTTGCAAAAGGCAGCGCCTTGACCTGGCCCCTGGGTGTCAAGGTGTCCTCGGGAAAAACGTCGCCCGTTTCGCGCGACTGCACCAGCGCAGCATGCTCAGCCGATGTGTGCGCATGCCCCAACGTCTGCCGGCGGTCGTCGCGCCCGGGGGCAAAAACCTGCTGCGGATGCGCCATGTTGGTCGGCTTCTTCGGTTCCAGGGGTGTGGACGTTGTGGCGGACGCCGTTTCGCTGCGCGGAATGGACTCGATTGTAGGTGGAATTCGAATCGCGGTGTATCGTCTTTAGGAGCGAGATGTACCGTCGACTATTAATGTATCCATCGGAAAGGAGCAAATAGGTGTTTTTGTCTTGTAGGGGGGTGAGCAGGATTGAAGAGGCGAAGGAGAAGATGATTTTCTAGAGCCGCCCCAATTTTTTTGAAGCAAGTTCACACGGCTCCTCAGAGGCGGCTGCATTGCGCTAACTGAATGATAACTCTTTCATGGATGCCCAAGCATATCATTCAGACGAGGGCTGCTAAATCAACAACGGAATTTTGAGAGTTTTTTACAGAAAGTCACGCGCCAGCTCTGAGTAAGTAGTGTGCGCCGCAGCCAGCCTTTCAAGTACTCCTGTGTACCTACAGAGGATCTCTTCCTTAGTATGGAGTACACGGCTACCCTTCCGGCCTCTTCATAGGTCATTTTTCGATGGCTGTTTTAGGAGACTGTCTTAGGGCTATGGCAAGCGCTGCTGGTAGTGTATTCAGAGCCTCTGGTAGGCTGCTGAAGACGTCTATCAAAATTGGGAGTACCTACGAATTCCAGTAGTGTGTGTAATTAAGTGACTTCTGCCAATGAATGAGAATCTTTTTTGAGAGCTAGTTAGTGCCTATTAGGCTATAATAGGCTCATTGGGCTGTTCGAACATTTGTATTCTTTTGTTGATTCAGCAGCCCATCATCTAGACAACACCCCCATTGACGCACCTCTTTCTCCTCTCTGCTCACGCGCCGTCAACAGCACTTCTACAACGCCGCCAACAACACTTTCAACGACGCTTCTATTGGCGCTGCCTAAGGGGGCGCTAAAAGCGCACCGAGTGACAGCTGCCAGAGATACAGCCAGCGTGCAAAGAGGGTATTGGCGAGTGTGATACTTGATGAGAAATCTCCATGTGGAAGCCACTCTTCTTCGGGAGCTGCCTCAGAACACACGTTCTGGTTGGCTGAAGAGAAGGTTAGTCTTGACCAGGCATAGCTACTTACCTATGTGCAAATCTTCAAAAGTCGAGTGCTAAATTTTGGCTCTCGTGTGGCAGGTGTACGTCCTTGGATGCCCAGAAGGTGCCACCGCCGTGCGAAGCTCCTCCTTATTAGTGCATTTCAAACACCCTGGCGCGAGTATATGCAGCTGTATACAGAATATTAATAGCGCGGGAGCTTCATCACCATTGAAGTAAGACAATATATGAGTAGTATTGATCTGAAGGAATCACACGTGCTACCAACACCTTCATCGGATGAAGGTGGGTGCGTGGTACTAAATCCCCAGCCCTGGATCGAGAGAAGCTCCGAACCAATCCTTTTTGCTAACACGCATAGTCGGATATACCTGAGGCATGTACGACGTCCACGATGAACCGTTAGTTGAGGCCATCGCGCTCGTAGCAGCCATCCTGCAGCTTATTACCAACCCTTGGGAAACACTCGTTGAATGAGGCAGTCGAATATAACTGCCCATTTCACCTTCTAGGGGTTCTCTTCCAGCATCAAACCCAAAGTAAATCCCACTTCTGAAACTTACATCATCTCCTCGCATCGCGTGAGTATCGCTGCTCGACATGATGGCCGTAGCTAATGTGGACAAAACTCAGGAGCAAAATGTGTCAACGACTCGTTGCGACAGTCGTGTATCAGTGCGGGTGTCGGATCAAGTCCCCCCGCAGTCTCTTTGAATACCAGGACTGTAAAAATTGCGGCATCGAAAAGTATAAATCACACCTGGGCCGGACGACGAAGAAAGGTCCATGCCCTGATTGCATGACCAGCGGTACCTGGTCCAAGGAAAATGGGAAAGTGGAGGAGAAACCTTGAGTAGAAGGGATGAGATGCAGGGATTTTCAGCGGAGGATTGAAAGCCAATTAAATCAACATCGGTCGCAATGAGCTAGCGTCCATGGATTCTCTTGATGCATCACATTTGTAGAACTTTTTCATTGTCATTATCTAGCTGAATTCAATAGATAAAGGGAGAGAACATTAGGTGAGCTTTTTTGGCGGAGTTCAGATGCATCAGTATAGATGAATAGTCAAAGACAGGGTCAGCTACACATCGCCAGAATAGGCCTTTAGCAATTCCGACCTATTATTACTTTCTATTATTAGTGCACCCCTTCCTTCACGATCGATCTACTCTTGAGCACGGACCTGCGGCCCCGAATGGGATCTGTGTTACGTGGTATCAGTGCCTTTACATTCAGGCACCAAATATAACTGTAAACCCGTCTGGACAACTTTCCTCCGACGCACCCGTTCCTTCTCTCTGTTCACTTGGCCAAACGCTCGGCAACAGGTGTCTCTGCAGACCCTCATCCAGACTGCTAGGTTCTATTACCATCATGGCCATCCGGCGGCAGTTCCCTGACGTGCACTGGGTCTGGGAAGGGGGCATCTCCTTTGTCTATGAAGTCCATCCTCACATCGTTGTCAAAGTTCCCAAATCTGGCGACTATGAGAGAGAACAATTCCGGAAAGAACTCGAGATCTATGAGATCTTTTCTCATAATCCGCCCTGCCCTTCCATAGTGCAGTGTTTCTTCTACGCGGACAATGGCATCTTCCTCGAGTACATGCGAGGTGCGACCACTATTGGCGTTTTACATTTCCATCTACTAATCGCCACATTAGATGTGACCCTGTGTTCCAGAATACAAAATAACCACATTCGGGACGATGAAACAGATATCATTACTAAAGTGGAGAAATTAGAGCCTTTGCCCTTGCGAAAGGAATGGATGAACGATCTCGCTCAAGCCGTTGCTTTTCTAGAATCGCTCAACCTGGCCCATGGCGATCTACGACCCGAAAACATTTTACTTGATCGGGACCGATTAAAACTGTCTGATTTTGATAGTACGGCTAAGATTGGGTCGGAATTTGAAGCTTGTATTCCTCCGTATGGGAGAATACTCAACAGCGACGAGCAGGATCAAGGAGTGAGTGGGACTGCCGGTTCTCTAGGTGCTCGAACCGAACAGTTTGCATTGGGCTCCTTGTACTATTTCATTAACTATGGTTTTGAGGTTTATGGTAATCAACGCCTTACCGAGGATTACAACAAGCATGGACGCAAGGTTGTGGACTTGCTGCAGGACATGAAATTTCCGCAGTTGGATGGTGATCCGTTGATTGACGACATCATCAACAAATGTTGGCACAACAAATATGCCACTATTGGGGAATTGGCTGCACACACAGAGACGCTCCTTCCTGGAAGAAGCAATCGGAGAGATACTCAAGCCGAAAACACACCAGCCCGGCTATGGCTTACGATCTTGGGTCACCCTGTTCGTGGGTTCAGAAAATTTCTTAAATCTTGTTGGGGTTTCCTGCTCTGTCGCACCACCAGAGAGACAACCAAGCCAGATGGAGCTATTAGCGAAATACCAGATGGCTATACCCTTGGCATCGAGCAGCACGACTCAGCGAAGGGTTTCTCCTTCAAAAGAAAGTTGTGTCAGAACCTGGACAGGTGTGGACTTCTTCATGTGCTCTCTTCAGACGAGCCAGAGCAACTTGGATTCAAGCTCGAGTGGTATAGGCATGCCACAGGTTGAAGCGAAAGCTCGGGAATGAGTTAAATATCGAACCAAAAACAGAGGTCTTGGCGACCAACTTGTGGCTAGGGGTGGCTGGTATATGGCTTTGCTGTGCGGATCAGAGGCCATTGAACGCGTCCGCAGTGTGCTGTGTCTGTCACTTAATTCAAATTCGTTACCATGCCCATATTTTTAAAATTATCGCGATTTCTTGTAGAGATCTAGCCAGCAGGCTCCCCCCCCCTCCCCCCCCCCCCCCCCCCAGCACCTACAGCATCGTTTGAAGCCGGCTCGTCATAGGCTGCACATGCCACGCACCTACAAAGATAATAGACATATTAATATATAGCTGAAATTACTACAAGCTGATAGTAACTCAATTTCTGACTACTTAACCCTGTACGTGCCACGTACGTACCAATCAGTCTGACAATCGTAATTTTCCTCGTTGTCACTTGCTTGATTCCCTTGCTGCAACATCGCAATCTTTGGTCCACCAGAAATAGCATCGATAGACTTTCAATGCTACTCCAAAGCTCTTCACTCGTGACAACCATTGATAAATCGACGCGTTGGGCATCGTGACTCTACTAGTCGCACCGGAGATGGATAGGAACCTTGAGACGCCTTTCGCGATGCTCCTCCTATAAGTCAAGATGGAACATGACACAACCAACCAGGAAGACAAATGGCTGATTAGTGTAGTGGCTATCACGTATCGTTAACACCGATAAAGTCGTAGGTTCGAATCCTCCATCGGTCAGTCTTCAGCGGGACTTTGGGTTTAATTGAGCTGATCAAGTATCAATAAAGACTCTGCGCCATGCATATCGGCTCTCGCAAGGGGTGATGATGCTTGGGTTCCCATCTTTTTTTTTTTTGGCGCAGGCGTAGTAAGGGTCCAATTTTGGTGTGGATATAGTTAGTCAGAATTAGCGGGTTCGCAATAAACTTATATTATAGTCAGAATAAGCATCATTTCAGCCAATGATGGGAATCAACCAAGCCTCAATTCTGTGCGGCGTTTTGCACTATGTTTTACCCTACCTTATCGTAAACAAGGGTACCACCAACACAATCACCAGTTTTACGCTTTATAATGTTGACGACGGTATCATAGCTAGTGACATTGCAAGCTGGTTTGGTCGTCGGTCAGACACAGAATTTCTCTTGGATTTCATCATTCTTGCATTTCTTTCCAGCTCAGCGGCCCCAGAAAGATCATATTTGAATCCGCAACACTATTTCCCGAGTGCTTGTTGTCGTGTCGACGGGCGTCATGGTACTGATTCACGCAATTGTAGTGGTACTATAACTTCATAAAATACTGTATATTTCCCACCTTTTCCTTCTATCTTTGTGAGTCTCGCTAGGATATAAGTTCAAACCACAATATATACATGGAAACTGCTTTTTAACCCTAATATCGATGATCGCTAGTCAATGGGATGGCGGTGGAGGTGGCTGCGTGACAGAATGAGGCGGCGACTGTGACGTGGGAGGATATGGTAAAGGCTGATGTGCGTGAGGAAATGGCGGCCGCATGTAGTTGGAATCAGTCAGTACAGACGCCACTTGGTTCAAACGCGTCAGATCACGCCCACGCTGCATCGGAGGTGGTCCGGCAAGGCCCGACAATACCGGGGGCAGGCTCATCCTCCCGTGCTCGGCGCTGAGATCGGAGCGCGCACTAGAAAGCGGCCCTGGACTGTACGTCGTGGACTGTATAGAAGCACTGGTATCAGTCTCTGTACGGCTGGCGGGGCGCATCGTTACCCCGTCCATTGTGAGGGGCGGTGGCAGCTCGTCGGGCGGGGAGATGCCCTCCGAGGCAATCTGTGCGTCGCGCTCTACGCAAATGCCCATCTCGCCTTTGAGTAGCGCAGCTTCTTCGTCTGTCATGGTGCGCCAGGTGCATTTCGCATGCTTTTTGGTGCATCCCTGACAGGCAGTTAGGTGCTTGACACAGTGTAGTCGCAGACGGCGACAGCGATCACACGCTGGGCTAATGATGTCGCCGCGCTTCAATTTATCCGTCTTTTGAGTGACAAGTGAGCGCAAAAACTCGGCTCGGTGGTCCATTTCCGTCATGGCAGAGCCTTCCGTCGGGTGACTGCTGCTGCCAGAACGCCCCGAGGTCACCGACAGTCGCTGCTGCGTAGGGTGTGGCGATGCAACAGAGGGTGAGATCGGCAGCATACCAATTGGAGAAAGAGCCGCGACAGACTGTGGACGAGACGGCGGTGCCGATGTCGATGCCGACGCTGCAAGAAACTGCTGCAGCAGGTCGGCGTGAAGATCGTATGGGGCGCCCGACGCCGCAAGCCGCGCAGGCGGAATTCCACCGGTGGACGGGTATCGCTGACCATTTTCTACATTACGCCTCCTAGACAGCTCATGCTTTCGTTGTCCTATGCGATGATGTAGTATGCGGGCTCTGGCCGCGACTTCATCGGCTCTCTTGTACAAAATGGATGCCCTGGATTCGAGAATATCCAGGGTGGCTAGCTCTGCCGTCTCGTCTTCTTCAAACGGGTGTTCAAGTGGGAAGCGATCCAGCGCACCGGAAGATATTAATCGCCAGTCATCTTCGGTAATTTCGCACTGTAGACCTTTGTAGTGAAATTGGCAGCATCGGGTGCCGTTGGGTAGAGTGGCAAAGACGAATTCATTGGGGTGGGCCTTGGCGTGTAAAACAACATCAATCCAGCTGATGGGATTAACAAACGGCTGCGTCGCGTTCGTCTTTATTGGACCGTCAAAGAAGCGCTCAATGCCTTTTAAAATTCGAGGCCCTGTGAGCTTTGCGCCGAGGTTGGCGGCCAAGCTCTCTTGTCGGTCAAGCGCGCCTGTACGTGTGAGCCACAAATTCGCAATGCTGCTGAGCAACTTCATACCTTCATAGCCAGCAATGAGATGTAGCACATCGGCAAAAGTATCACTGTCGGCTTGAATGAGCGCTAGACGATCGGCATTGGGCCTAGGTATAAAGTTGATGTGGCTGCCATGACCTGTGCGAGTTAGCATGACGGACTGTCGTGGTACAGGCAAATTGTCAAGAATAGTTTCTTGAGACAAAGGTCGGCCTATTTCCTTTTCTCCCCATCACTGTGACAATTGACAAATGGCTGTATGGCAAAGTCGCACCGCCTGAGACGGGCATACACTAGCGACGCTTCTGGCACCAGCGTGGGTGCGGAGCCGCATAATCCGAACCTTTTTGGGACAGAGGCTGGAAGCTGAAGTCTTGGGCGTCTGCGCCATTGCGGTGAAGGGGCAGAGGGAATCGAGATGGTTCAAATGAACCAAGGAAGTGATATGGGGGAGTGAACAGTCTATAAAGGAAACTTACTCTGCTGCAGTGGATTCTGTTGAGATGAGGGATAGCTTTGCTGGCCGCTGTTGTCAATGGCAGAACGCTTCCTCTTGTGCTCAAGGTCGGGAGTCTGGGACATGATGGTGTGGAGCAGGCGAAAGACGAGCAGCGAGAATTAGTGGTAGGCGGCTGTCTTGGCAGAGAGGCAGGCTTTGAATCGCAAAAACAAGGTTATGCCGCGCTTTGCGGATCTCGGAGGATTTTCGTAAGCGACGTAATGAGAGACAAGGGCCGTGTTCGAGTTGTCGTGCGTCGAGGGCGGGTAGGCGTGGAGAGACGAGGCTGGCATTACACGCGACAGGCGAGAGACGAGGGCTGGGAAAGTGAGAGGTGTAGATGAGGGATTGGTGACCAACAAGGGTTTGTGGGGGGAAAGAGATTGACCATGGACCGAGTGTTGGCAATATAGTAGAAGTAAAGACTGTGTGGAGTGGTCAAGGTAAGAATTATAACTCGACGAATTGCGCGAGATGTCGCAGCTCCCCTGTTATACGCAGCGTGTGATTCTGCAGCCCACTGTTTTCAACGGCGACGAGTAAATGTCTAGGAAGAAGGAGGACGGGGAATGCTTCCCGCCAAGCCCTCTGCGACCTGATGCTGTCTTCCGTCGAAGCGGATGCGCGCGAGAAGTGGCAGAGGCTGTAGTTGTAGTGCAAGAGGTGGTGGCCGGGCAGGGGACCTGTCTTGTCTGTGGGGCAGACGCACATTGGGGGGGAACGCAGACTGAACGAGAGAAGTGGTGAGAAGAGTGGACGGGAACCCTTGCTACGTTGATCAAAAGTTTGGTCCGCGCTATTCGAAAGAGCTTGATCGAACGAACGAGACGGGCTCACCGGACAAAGGGGGAGAGAAGAGGAGACAGCGGTGATGCCGCGAAGATCACAGGTTCGTAGCGGTGCGCGGTACGGATAGTTTGAACTGGTGATGACGCTTCGAGACGTCGTTTGTAGCGGGTTTCGTTTGAAGGAAAAAAACAAACGCCCCAAAATTTGGAAGGGGCCGGGGGATGAGATGAAAGATGAAAGCAAAAAGGTGAAGAAGAAGCGGTCGAGTAATTGGAACGTGTAGATGGGCAGTGGAAATGATGTATCGGTTCAAGATGCGTTGGGCGACTGCAGATCCTTTTGTGCCATCGAGAGGAGGTGAGGGTCTTGACTAGCCAGCGCGCCGAATAGGCGGCACTTTTTTGGTTCGAACGGGTAAGGTGATCAGCAGAAATGATGGACGACAAAGAGACGAGGAAATGACGAGCTGGAGAGATGTCAGTGGCGGAGCGGATTCGTCTAGAGGCAGAGGTAGGTGGTTGTTTTGCAGCCGGCACCTAGGTACACCAACACCCACACGCAAACGAAAGACGTGCCGCCTTCACCTTGACATTGCTAGAGCCAGCCCACTGCTTTTTGCTGTTGGCATCGGCAGCATCAGCACCACCATAGGTCCATCAAGCCACGCATGTATGCAGGCGAAATAGCAGCAGCGGCCATCATGTCCAAGTTCCGTCCCATTTTCCCGCAACAAAAAGGGCCTTGAGGCCCTGACCAAAATCCACAGCGGGGTTCAAGATTGAGCAGCGCGTTTCCAGTCGGCAAACTGGGCAGTGATGTGCAAGGCAAGGCGAATCAAAAGAATCCGCACGATGCGCAGCGGCGGAATCAGGTTCAGCAGGGATGCGTCAATCTTTTCCAAGAGAAGTTGGATCGGCTAGCCTTGGAACCAGGCATCATCAGACCGGGATAGGAAGCCCCCAGTGCACATCATTTGACAGACGGACCTGGCCTTGACAAGGGGTACCAGAAAGGACAATGTGCTTACGCAAAGAGAGTATTAATTACGGAACAAAACGAAAACAGAAAATTCTAAAAATAAATCCGATCGGATGGGTGAGTAAGTCTAGCCAGATGTATTACTATATTGAGAACTATCAATGGCTTTATAGGACAATCACGACTAGTCAAAAGCGAGCCTCCTGTCGCCCATCAGAAGTCTGTTGTCCCCCATTCGCAAGCCTGCATACCTATTCTCCAGAACACCTACGGGGCCAAGGGGCAAATGGGGGGCAAATGGGGCATTGGAGCTTTTTAGGGCCTTTCCGAGAGGAACGCCCTCGGGGCTTTTTCCCCTCCTTCCAATATTCCACTGCCGCAAGGCTTCTGGGGGCGGCAAAGCAAGGGCTGAGGATTTTAATTCGAAACTTTGTGCACCGTGGACAGTTTTACGCAGCTGTGGCTATGCTGTCACGCCTGTTTTACTCAGCCCAACCGACACATCTACACCCGCCTCGAACTAAGTGCAAATATTTCTTCTTTCACTTACAAGACAATGTCATTTCGCCTCTTTTGTTTCTGTTTGACACTTTTTTTTAGCTCAGAAATCCTGTTGCCTAGGTATTTCTTACACCACAACCCCTCTTTTCCACCTGCAAACACTCAAACATTTTTAAAGATCCTGATCCTGTCCGCGGTGCCCGCTTGCCGCCGTGCCCGCCCGCGTCCGCGGTGCTGTCTAAAGCTATCCGTACAATAGTTACTCGTTCTTTTTTTTTCTTTTGCTGACCCTTGTCTATGTCCACCCATCAGCAAAGTCATCAACCACCGAGTCATGCCATGCCGCCTCGCCATTGCCCCCTGACATTATGACGTCTTGTCTTCATCCGTTCCGATTTCACCACCCAGGTTGCGCCACCGTTCTCGCCACCGCATCTCCAAACACTTTGCACGATATCGGCATGACTTGTAATCAATCTGAGCCTCGCAGCCGTTACCTCGTCAACCTCTTTCTACTCTGACACACTGATAAGCCAGAAATGCTCCAGAGTTCAATTTCCACTCATAAAAGTAGCGTAGTATCTTGCACCTTGGTGATGCCACATTGGTAACAATGTCCACAATGCCGCAGTGGCGAAACATGGCTTACCTCTCCACTCTCTCCCGGATGCTTGGTACAAAGGCTTCGATCCCTTTTGTTCCCGTTTTGGCCCGTTGTTTTCGACAGCTCAGACTGTCCGATCCACGGGTCAACCTGAACGACCAACGCTCGAGCGCTGTGCCGTCGCAAGCTTTCGCCCTCAGTCATTGATTGATCAGACAGCTGCGGCCGTTTTCACGTTATCTTTCTCCACTCGGAAATCTACTTTTTACAGAAATGAAAAACCGACCCGATTCAAACCATCCTTTTTTTTTTCAACTTTCCATGTCATATTGAATCATTCCCTTGACTATTTCTCTCACTGCCTCAAGACCGTGAGGTACAGATGACAGTGCAATGCGGTACTTTTCTACATATTGTGATGTCAAGAGCTCAGAATTGCCGTTTCGTGGGTGATGCTGCAATGAGCAGTCGAGGTGCGAAAGTGGTGTAGACATAGTTGTTCTTATATAACTGGTCTCCGTCATGTACTCCTACTCGTCATGTGTTGTGACACCTCATTTATGTGGCTTGTCATTAGACCCCTCTACCACCCTGGGCTAGGAAGCCACTTTTAAATCTTATCCTCCATTCTTTTAGTTTGCCACATGGAATGCCAATCTACGCGCACCGACTCCAATTCTATCTCTTCTGGTATTGGTTAGTTTCCCTGCTTCAAGACCCTTACAAGTTACAGCACATACACCCGCTTAGTCAGAACCAGCCATTCTATGGTCTAACAATGCTACATTTTTTATTGTCTACAATATGCCTATACTTATTATAAACTATGAATCATTTGATTGAAATATATATCAATAGACATGAGTAGACAACTGAATAAGAGAGTAAGAAAATAAAGTAGATTATTAGTCAAAAAAAGAATACGCAATCGCGTTATGTTATCGGCCGCCGTAGCTGATCGGTACCCCGCTATTTTCAACATGTCAATCGCATGGCTTCGTCTCCAATTTGACGTTTGCCCATACCAACCTGATCCATACCTAATACAATTTACCTACCCGATTCAACATGGCGACTTCAGCGTAAGTGATCACGGCTTTGGCTGTGATACTTTTCCATAATTCACGCACTCATGGCGTGGCAATCAACCGGCGCATGGAAGTCGCCACTCGTCAAGCAATCCGAGGATGACTCCAGTTTCCCTGGGCTCAAGCCCACGAGCCCAGAGGCTACCAACAAAATTGAATATGAGGAGCTACAGCAGAACGAACTGCTGGCCCTAGAAGCCATATATGGAGAAGATTTTATACAACATAGCGGCACCCACAGTGCCTGGAAGGTACGAGCCTTTCTACCAAGTATCTTGTAGGCACCGTGCTGACTCCTAGAAGAAAGCAGAACCATCCTTCGACATACGAATCAAAGCACCGACTGACGAAGACTTTTCCGTGACCATTGGCTTCGTTCTCAATGCCACATACCCCAAGACCCCCCCGATTATCACCACAAAAAAACAGGGTTTTCTCCGCGAGTCCACTCAATTCAAGATCCAAAAATTTATCGAGACTCAGCCCAAGATATTTGCCATGGAAGAACAAGAAATGATCGATCAGATCGTGGAAGGCATTCGTGATATTCTCGAGGAGGCTGCCCAGGCAAAGGCTGTCGGTAAAAATCTTCCTTCGCTTGAGGAGGAGCGCGAACGTCACGAAGCCGAGGCTGCCTTGGCTGCTCAGAAGCTCAAGGAAGAGGAAGACCGTCAACGCAGAAAAGAAACAAAGGAAGAGGAGCGTGTCATTGCCGAAATGCTACAGCAGCAATTGGACCGCCAACGTCAGAAAGCAAAAGAATCTCGCCAGAGTCGTCGACCCAATGGCGCGAACCACATGCCAACCGCCCAAGCTACCGAAGCTGTTGAAGATCGCATCGATTTCGATCAATTCTGCAACTCAGTTGACAAATCTGGCAACGAGATCACGTTTCGATCAGTTGCATCCAAGAGTGACAAGCGCCCAGGCAAGGTGTCTGTCGTCTACACCGTCCGCCCTGTTGTACCTACTGGAGTCTGTAACCAGACGCTCGCACTCAAAGAAGCCACCGTAAAATCTTCCGGCAAGGAATCTCAGGATTTCAGAAAGCAGCTACAGTCCTTCGAGTCGCGTCTTCAAGACTTGAAAGCCTCTAAAAAGATTGTTCACAGACAGATTGTTGAGATTATGGATTTCAAAGTCCAAGGTGGAATTCCTTCGGATCCTTCTGCCGCAAATGCTTGGACAATCAGAATTCTCATGCCCCTCGCTGACAAGGGTCCTCTGGAAGAACTCCTTGAATTGGCTGGAAACCTCGAAGTAAGCAAGGTAAAATCCTGGACGCGGGATCTACTCGATGCACTCAATTTTCTACACAACAAGAACATTGCCCATCAGTGTATTCATGCCGGGAATATTCTTCTTTTCAGAGAGTCTACTGGCGAGATTGTGCCAAAGATTGCTGATGCATGGTATCAACGCGAGATTCACGCCCTCTGCGAGCAGAAGCAGGGTCCACCAGGCGTCAACTCTGCCAAGTCTGCGTATTGGCTTCCGCCAGAAATCGCCGCCGCCTCCAAACCCGTTTACACATTCAAAACCGACATATGGGATTTTGGTATTGTGTTTGTGCAGATGATCTTTGGGCTCGACATTCTGCGCAAGTACTCGTCGCCCAAGAACTTGATGGAATCTTTCTTGCTCTCTCAGCCTTTACAAGAACTTGTTGGGCGATTTTTCAAGGAAGACAAGCAAAAGCGCCCGCGAGCTTTCGAGCTTGGCTCCAGCGAGTTTCTTGCCACCGACGCCCCAGTTCTCTTCGACGACTCCTCGGCTGCCATCTCGAGCGTACCGTCTCTTACTTCTCTACAAGCCCCACCCTTACGCTTGCGACGCGACTCCCATAACAGGGGAGCTACCATCTCAAGATATACCGAAGACTTTGTTGAGGAAGGCCGCCTCGGAAAAGGTGGCTTCGGCGAAGTGGTAAAGTCTAGGAAGAAGCTTGATGGGCAAATCTATGCCATCAAGAAGATTACTCAGCGATCGCAAACGTCTTTGACAGAAATTTTGAAAGAAGTGAGATTGCTCTCTCAACTCAGTCACCCCGCTGTAGTCAGATACTACAACACATGGGTTGAAGAGGTGGCCGATTTTACCGACACTGAGGGAGAGACATCGACAGATGATTATACGGCAGGAACCGGCGAGACTGAGTCCAATGGTCTGGAGATTCAGTTCGCTGCCAGCACCGGAGGGCTGGACTTCATGTCATCTAATGCGCCCATCGAGTTTGAATACTCTGGGGGCAGCGATGAAGATGAAGACGGCGAAGACACTGAAGGTGAAGACGACAGCTCATTCTCTGGCAATGAAGACGCACACAATCCCGACTCGCCTGTTAAGGCAAGGCAGGTCGCTCAGATGCGTAGAGAAAGGTTTCAGAAACCGTATCGAACCATCCTTTACATCTCGATGGAATACTGTGAGAAGCGGACGCTGCGTGATTTGATCTCGCGCAATCTGTATCAGAACACAACCGAGATTTGGCGCCTGTTTCGACAAATACTGGAAGGGCTTTCTCATATTCATGGTCTAAGCATTGTTCATCGCGACCTTAAACCTGAAAACATATTTATTAGCAGCAGTTCTGACGGTGTCGATAACGTCAAGATCGGTGATTTTGGCCTCGCCACTAGCGGCCAGTTCACGATTGACAAGGCTGCTGCTACGGGCCATCTGGAAACTGATGACATGACGAGAAGTATTGGTACAGCCTACTACTCGGCACCAGAAGTTCGATCTGCGGCGCATGGCATGTACAGCACCAAAGTTGACATGTATTCACTTGGAATCATCTTCTTCGAGATGTGCTACCAACCAATGATGGGCATGCAAAAGGCCGACGTTATCGGCCAATTGCGACGACACACGCCAATCACACCAAAAGATTTTAAGCCTGCTGAAAAGTCAATGACGGACATTATACTATCGTTGGTGAATCACAACCCCAAGGAGCGGCCATCTAGCGCAGAGCTACTCAAGAGCGGCAAGCTTCCTGTGCAGATGGAAAGCGAAACCATTCGGCGCACTTTGGCAGGCTTGGCGGACTCAAACTCCCCATACTATCGCAAGATGCTGTCGAGCTTGTTTACTCACCCGGTCGAGGCCACCAAAGATTACGCTTGGGACATGTTTACAAATGCACCAACAGCATCCGAACTCATGGCAAGATACCTGGTCAAGACAGAATTGACCTCCATCTTCCGCCGCCATGGTGCAGTCGAAGCAACCCGTGGCGCCATTTACCCAAGGTCCTCTCAGTATGGAGATAACGTTGTGCAGCTTCTTGACCAAAATGGGACCGTGTTGCAACTCCCCTTTGATCTGACGATGGGACATGCACGAATGCTAGCGAAGAACTCTAGTGGCCCGATTGTAGCGAAAACATTCGCGTTTGGCAGTGTCTTCCGCGACAAGCAGGATACAGGGCAGCCGCAGATGTTTGGAGAAGTCGATTTTGACATCGTGAGCACTGATGCTTTGGATTTAGCGCTGAAAGAGGCAGAGGCACTGAAAGTAATCGACGAGATTCTGATTGCCTTTCCATCGCTGTCAACAACTCCCATGAGCTTCTACCTTGGCCACTCGGATCTTCTGCAGTTGATTTATGAGCATTGCGGTATAGAGCCATCCAATCGCCGCGCGACATCAGATGTTCTTAGCCGCCTCAATATTCACAATTTCACGTGGCAAAAGATTCGAATGGAGCTTCGGTCCCCTGCCGTAGGTCTCTCCGCCACCAGCGTCGATGAGCTCCAGCAATTCGACTTTAGGGATACGCCAAACAAGACATTCGCCAAGCTGAAGAAGTTGTTTGAGGGTACAGACTTGTATCAAAGAGCGTCCCCGACCATTGCTCACCTGAAAGAGGTGACGGAGTACTCGAAGCGCTTTGGTGTTACGACAAAGATTTACATCAGTCCACTCAATAGCTTGAAAGAAAGCTTCTACGCCGGAGGCTTACTTTTCTCGTGTCTCTACACCAAGAGAGTCAAGGATGTCTTTGCCGCTGGCGGTCGCTACGACGCGTTGATCAAGGAGCAACGGCCCAAGATGGGTGGCAACTTTGACGAGCGTCATGCTGTGGGCTTTAGCATCGCTTGGGAGCGCCTTGCTAAAATCCCCAAAGCAGGGGGGAAAGCGTTCCTCAAGAAAATGGAGGATGACACGAACAGCCTGGCCAACCCCAAGCGATGCGACATTCTCGTTGCAAGCTTTGACCCGGCCATGCTGAGATCCTCTGGCGTTGAACTGCTCCAGACACTCTGGGCGCAGGATATTACCGCCGAGCTCGCTAAAGATTCCCGATCTCCAGAAGACTTGCTGCAGAAACACAGAGACGATAATTACTCGTGGATTATTATCGTCAAGCCCGAATCCATGCTGAAGATCAAGTCGCTGCTGCGCAAGGACGTTGCCGACGTCGATATTCCCACCACACAGCTGACGGCCTGGCTCCGCACCGAATTTCACAAGCGAGACATGAAGGGTAGCGGCAGCATCAGCAGCAACCGCAGGAGCATACTGGCCGCGCCGGGCGACAGCGCATCCTCGGCCGCCGCCGAGCGGGAGCGCGAGCAGGACGTCAAGGTGCTTGTGGCACAGACACGCAGCAAAAAGTTTAACCGCCGCACCGTCGTGGAACAGGCCCAGATCACGGCCGCCAACTTGGTGACGTCGTTTCTCGAGGGCCCCGTGCTCGCCGTCGAGACGTCGGAGCAGGTCATGGCCATGATTGGCCGCACGCGACTGTCGGACCCGGAAAGCTGGCGCAGAGTCGACCACGGCGTGACGACGACGGAGAAGAAGTATGTGCGCGATATTCACGACCAGCTGGATGCGTGGAAGTATGCACACGATGGGAGCGGGGCCACGCGGCACTCCTTTTTGTATAATTTTAGAACGGGAACGTGTCTCTACTATGACTTGGCGGCGTAGGGGTGGCTGGCGAACTGTTTCGTGGATTTTCATGTTTATGAATGATTTTGGTGCACGATGTGATGATGCATAGACCATGGCAGCTAAATTCAATGCTTTACGAAGTAAACTTTCTTTTCACTCAAAATCGCGTTGAATATACAAAATGTTACAATGACGAGCTGTACTAGAATAATTTAAAACCATTAAGATATCGATATCCTCGCAGAAACATCGACCAGTATTACGGAATACAACGTGGGAATAACTTAGCACAAGGATCGGTAGATGCGCTTCCAGCGCGGCCACTTACGGCGTGGGCTGGGATCGTCTGGTTGAATCGAGTCGGCGCGGCCAAAGCTCCGTCCCGTGTCGATATCTATGGCCTTGGCGCGTAGAATGTGCGTCTTGAACCAGAACTTGTGGCCGAGGTAAAACGCCAAAACAATGGGCACGGCGAGGACCTTGAGGAAGAAATTCTTGGCGATGCCGACCGACGAGGTCTGCGCGGGGCCGAGCGGTGAGACGGCGGTCCAAAACTGCGAGGCGACGACGAGCAGGTTGGCAATGAGGCCAGCGTACGAGCCGACGATGCCAACCTGGGAGCGAAAGGGTAGCTGGGCGGGCACGCAACCGGCGACGGCCCAGGCGCGGCGGAAGCGAATGTGGCAGAGGCAGATGCTGCCCCAGGTGAAGAGGCTGGAGAGGCCGCAGATGGCGATGAGCCAGCCAAAGATTTCGGGCTGCTCCTCGAGATCAACCAGATAGGCGAGCAGACCGACGGCGAGGGTGAGGAGCACCGACACGAGCGGACGACCCTTGCGGTCAATGTAGGCGAGTACGCGGGGCGCGTGGGACTGCTCGGCGAGGGCCGCGAGGGTGCGCGAGGAGCCAAAGACGGCCGAGTTGCCGACGGACACGACGGCGACGAGAATGACGGCGTTCATGATACTCGGGAGGACCGTCTGGCCCATGCTCTCAATGGCAATGACAAAAGGGCTGGCGGAGGCGTCGACAGACGACTTGGCGCCGAGGAGGCGCGGATCGTCGTGAGGGACCAGGAGAGTGACCAGCAGCAGAGCCACAATGTAAAAGACGGCGATGCGCCAAAAGACTTGTCGAATGGCCGTCGGGATGGACTTGCGGGGGTTGGCCGTCTCCGCCGCAGCGAGACCAACCAGTTCGGTGCCTGAAAAGGCAAAAGCAGCTGATACCAGGACATTGCAGAATCCCTTGAAGCCATTGTTTGTTGCGCCTGGATTCACCCAATACTTGCCACCAATGTAGCCCTCGTGAGGAGTCCCGCCAATGTTGACGACTATACCGAGAAGACTGCAGTTATCATTAGTCGCCGTTCAACAAAATACTACAACCCTGCTGTAGAAGTACACGCACATGAAGCCGACAATTGCAGTCACCTTGATGGTGGAAAAGACAAACTCAGCTTCCCCGTAGCCTTTGATGCCGAAAAGGTTGATGACGGCAATCATGAACAGAAATATGGTCACAAAAATGGCCTTGCTGAGACTGGAGTTCCAGTATTCAACTGTCAAGGCGCCGGCAATGACTTCTAAAGGCAAGGCGACAAGCCACTGAAGCGCATAGCTGAGGGGGCATGTTAGAAGGTCCAGTAACAATGCGATTCTGTACTTACTTCCACCCCATGGCAAAGCCCCAAGACGGGTCGAGAAATCTGGTAGAGAATGCGGAAAATGAGCCGGAGATGGGAAACACAACTGCCAACTCGGCCAAGCTCTGCATGGTGCAGAATTGCATGGCGCCAGTGAGCGCGTACGCAGTGAGTACCGAGGCCGGGCCGCTCTGTGCTAAATCAACACCAGAAGCAACGAAAAGCCCGGTACCTACATCACGATTAGTATAAACCGCACAAAGCGATAGCACGAATTACATGCCAATGGAGCCACCAATGGCAATCATTTGAAGGTGGCGGCTCTTTAGGTCGCGGACCAGCGCTGAGTTGGCCGTTCTTGCGTTGGCCGCGTGTAGGTCATAGTGACGCTCAGGGTCGCGGGGCATCTCCTCGCTGCCTCGGGTGACGTAGTAGCCATCGTTGATAATGCCGGGCGAGCCCTCGACTTGCTTGAAACTGTCTACCCATCTTTGCCCCGCGGCTTTCTGGCTGGCGTAGCGAACCGGTCGCGGAGCGGTGGAAACGGCGTATGACGTGGTGGTGGTGTTGAAGGGCGCCTGGTCCTTGTCGTGGGTGGACAGGCTGCTCATTTCGACGATTTCAAAATCTCGCGTAAAGGTGATGCCAGCCGTGGGTGGCGGCGACCTGGTCGACTCACCGCCAGCCATGATGATGGATGATGGATGGTCGGTCGCACAACGGCGAGGAGAGGCAGGCTAGGTTGGTCAATGTTGTTGAGAGACGGGGAACATGGCAGACCTCGAGAATGAGGTGATTTTCACATGGAGCGTTCTTCTTCTCCAAGCCCTGGTCGGAAAGCCAAGGGGTGTTTTTTTACTCATGTCAAACGGGCTGGACAAGTCAACAGTCCCTGCCACCTGTCAGAAGAGTATCTAATAACTAAATACTGGTAGGAAGGAAGGGCCGCAGCTGAAGTGTCTGGCCCAGGGCCAACGCCACAACGTGGTGGGAGCCAACGAACGTTGGCCAAAGGCGCCATGCCGTTTCGTTAGTGGCCTTGGGGTACTACTTGAGTCCTTCGTCGCGCTGGACGGATACTGCCGTAATAAGACAGGACGAAAACGCCAAGTTGGCGAACTGTCGCACGACTGAAGTCGCAAACCCATTATGCAAAGCTGGGGTAGAGCGTCTTCTTTTGAGTTTTGCATCTGACGATGAGCCCAGCGACAAGCGTCCTGCTGTGGAGAGAGTGAGCGTTGGCGACTTGTGAGAGACAAGGCCAAAAAAACGTGAGCTGGCCTGCGGTAGGAACTATTGATGGTTGCAACGCCAGGCAGACGCCATTCTATGCAGCTGTTACGAGGGTATGTTGGCATGCCCTGAAACAGCTCCTACACGAGTAACAGCGCATCGAGTCTATAGAGAAGCGAGAAGGCATTACCTAGGTTGTTAGTTGGGTCTGAGGCAGCCCGCTTACCCGCCAACGTCTGTCATCAAAAATTATCTTGTGTTTCCATCATCATTATCCACCAATGAGGATCCGAATGGCTGCAGCGTCATGAGAGTAATTCAAGGCATCCCTGCACAAATGCGCGATGGATTGGTAAAGTCATACCGGCGCTACCGAGCCACGAAGGGGCTTTTTGAAACTCCAGAATGTGTTTCGAGATGGAGTCTTGGGACCTTGGGGTGCCAGAGAGTCGATTTGCGATGGGTGTGATGAGCCATCTGTTGTTAGGATTATATCAATAGTTGATACTTAGGCGGCTAGGTAATACTACCCATCCGAAGCGTTTGTCGGCGGATTGACACAATCTAAGGGGGGTCGAAGACAGCTTGCAGCAGTGGTGAGCAATAAAATACGTTAAGAAGCGCATAGGTGGCTGGAATTAGAGCGTAAGACGGTATGCACCTTGATTGTCGCAATTTCGCAGATAACTTTGTTGTTATTTCTATGGTCGCGGCTGATAGCCTTATTAGTAAACGGGTGACTAACGATATGGTGGTGGAAGCCAGTTGGTGGGTTGGCGGGCAGGTAAAGCAAGCCAACATTTTAGTGGTGCATCCGCTAAACAGACGTGAAGAAGCGCACTGATGAAGGGTGCTAAAATGCACCAAAAATCGCTGAAACTCGGTCAAGACTGCTGGAAAAGACCCTAAAACTCCCCGGCAAAATGGCTGCAGGTGGGCTTGGCTTGCCACTTACTATTAGGCAGCAGAAATGCCGCTAACAAAAAGCATTGGCCGACACCTAATCCAATGCCGTCACTCGTCGCTCGTCACCCGCCAGTCGGGAGGCCCGCCGGCCTGCATCGGAGTCATGTCCTTGTCGCCTTTTTCTGCCTGACAAACGTCCATCGCTTCTTCCTGGTTATCACATTTTCGCTCCTTTTTGGATTCCGTCCTCTCCGACCCTCACGCTTTACTCACTCGTATCAGCATCTCGGCGCACCTACCTGCACACCTCTTGTTTGCGTCACTGCTGCCCGCCTCGTCTGGACGCTTGCGGCTTACCGCTCAACACCGCCTTGGCCACCCAACCGTCACCACCGCCGTCAACGCTGCCTCTTTTCTGCCAACAGTGCAACGCAAAGCACAATTCTCCCCGTGGAGGGCTTTCCTAGTAACCAGCGAGTCCTGGCTCTCAGTCCGCGGACGACAATAGACCGGGCTCGTTTCGAAATTCGTCCGACACCACGCATTCGCTCACCGGGCCGTTCCGACACCACACGATGGCTCAAAAGCGCCTCATGCAGGAGCTGAACCCGCTTCAGAGAGAGAAGTGGCTGACCATTAGGGTGAGTAGACTTTGCCAGGCTTGGTCTTTTTGATCGCGACTTTCAATATGCTAATTCCTGTGCAGATGGATGATAGCAACATGTTCAAGTGGTCGATCGGTCTTTGGGTTGTCAACCCTGACAGCGTCTTCTACGGTGCATACCTCCGAGTAAGTCGCTGCGGAATAAATCATGTCTCATCCAGCTACTGACACTGCTTCCACAGAGCGAAATGCGATTCCCTCACGACTACCCGTACCAGCCGCCCACGTTCCGATTTACCACCGAAGGCATCACACACCCCAACGTGTACCCGGATGGCACCCTTTGTATCTCCATCCTCCACAAGCCAGGCGACGACGAGCAGTCCGGCGAACTAGCCAACGAGCGATGGAATGTGCTGCATGGTGTGGAGTCGGTTCTGCGCTCCGTTTTGCTTCTCTTGGACGATCCCGAGATCAACTCACCTGCCAACGTCGACGCCAGCGTGCTCTACCGGGACGAGCGAGAAAAGTACGACGCGCTAGCCAAGGAAATCGTACTTATCTCGCAGAACGAAGCTCCGACAGGCGTCAGGATGCCTACCCCAGCTGAGCTTGCACCAGTGCCACAAAAGATTGTCGAGGATGACGATGACTTTTGGAACCCGTCCGAGGAAGAGGAAGACTTTGGAGGTAGCGACAGTGACATGGACGATTTTGAGGAAGAAGAAGACGACGAAGAAGATGACAAGGAATGATTTTTTCATGTCAACTTGTAGGCGTGGCAATCTACGTTGGTCGTGGTCGCAGGGCCATGAACAAGGGTCACAGGCGTAAGGCGGGAGTATTCAGCACATGGAATTCGGCACAATTTTACAAGGGCCTCTACCTACTGGCGTCATTGTTATTTTGGGCACTTATCACTGGATTTAAAACATTTTAGATATACAAGGCACCAACTATTTATGGAGTGATGCATTTTAACGACACAGGCAGGCAGCAAGAATGGTGGATATTTTCACAGCGTCTGGAGCAATGTATGGAACTTTCATCGGAGCACTTTTCAATGCAAAAATTGTGTCATTTGAAGGACGTGAGACTCATGTCTTCAAACCTGCCCTATCTGTTTCTTGTAGGAAGACTGTTGCTCGGGGCCGTTCGAAGCGCCATGGAGTACCTAGTTACAGTGGCTTGAGCGTGAGCGGGCTCCCGTCTCCACTGCAGTCCTTGGCCGCTAAATTTACCCGCTGTCGAGGAGTCAGCTTGCCCATTTTGCGGGCAGCCTGTTGCCTGACTGCTCCTGCGGTGGCGCATCATCGCGTTGCAGCCGATGTCAATCAGCCCGAGCTCCTCCATCGACGATCCGCTGCCGAACCAAACCTTGTCGCGCGGCTCGGTGATACGTCGTCATCTGCTGTGCAGTCATTCAGCGGCTTGCTTTGCCCTCCTCTGGCATTTGTACTCCGTCGAGCCGCAACGTGCAGCCCCCGAAACTGCCGCTGCAGGCTGGTGCGCCTCGAATATCACAAAACACTAGCCGGCGAGACAACCATCGCGACAGCCATCAACGTTGCCTGCCCACATATCGATCGATTCTGCCATTGATCTGGCCTCATGTTCGAATATACAAAACATTAAATCCGCAAAATGGCCTCGATGGAGCCCACCGAGGAGGAGATCTCGCAAGTCATCGACTTTGCAGGTCTCGATCGACTTAACGACCGAGGCATGGTCATTCAGGCGCTCAAGGTACTGCGGCTCGAGCTTCGTACAATAAACCTCTCACGGCACTGACACACCAGCTAGAACAACGGTCGCAATGTCGAAACGGTGGTGATGAACTACTTCGATAATCCTGATGGCGTGCGTGACTCCCCTTGACCCCGGCCTTTTCTTCAAATTAACGTAGGATACTACCAACAGTTTCGGCAACTTTTTACGATGACATGGAATGATGGCATGTTTGGTGCAGATCGTAATGGCGAAAACGAAACCAATACTGGGTCCAGTAAGTCAAGACGGCGAGTTGTGCTGTCCCATGCTGACGTATCATTTAGCCTTCCACATCGAAGAACCGAACCCGAACCCTTCGTTTTATATCGAATCAATGAATAATTCGACGCACGAAAGCGACGTTATTCAAGGCGTGACCCCGCCGCCCGATAGATATAGCCTCGGGGCACCTTCTAGGCCTCCTTCAAGGTCCAATGCGAAATCTCCCTTGGCACAAGTGGTAGACATGACAGCATCAGATGTTCCCAGTACGTCCTCTGGAGCTATTTCATGTGCAATAATAACAATATATTAGGATTTGTTGATCAGTCGGAACCAAACCAGCTGAACCAGGACATGGAACGAGCCTTGCGCGAATCTGCTCAAGAAGCTGGAATAGCTGCCCCGGGTCAAGAATCGGGAGTCATGGAAAATTGCACCTCTACACCATATTTTGGACCGGCTACAAGATCGCAGTACGATCATGCAGATTGGGCCATGGTACCAATTGGCGCTGCTGCCGTGAGCTCGAATGTATTGCTTCCTTCGAATCGACAGCGAAAGACGGATGCCCCGGCCTTTCTCGTGCAACACCCAAACACTGTCGGCAATCATAAACTCGGCGGTCTTTTGACTATTCTCCACGAAATTCCCTTGGCACGAAATATCCTTCTCAAATGCGGATCACCGCCCGAGACCTACGGATATGATACGGAATGGTGGCATGGCAAAAGTATCACGCCTCCGCAGTCTGTATATGCGCAAACACCTGATAGTGACGTCGAATGGAGCTCGAACAAGGACGTTAAACCGGGATTTGAGGAGGAGATTCACCGTTTGATGGCATTCCTGGACTCTACCGAACGTAGTTACGGCTCTACCAGCGTTCTGACAGAAATGATTCCTTATCCCGCGGTTGGGCCGGAAAAACAGTTTTACGAGTATTTGGGGCAACGGAATGGACAAGTTGTGTACCCTCTTACTCAAGTTGCCTCACTAGCCCTGTTGCATGGCGACGATCTAGGTGACGAGGACGCCAGATTTGGTCTTCTCGAGATTGAGCATCTGAAGGGCGACTATAATAATATCAAGACACTCTACGAGGCTCTTGACCACCTGATGTGGAGCGATGTACTCTCGTGGAACGAACTGACACAAGACTCCAAGATGGCAATGTTCAAGGATATGGGAGAGGTCGTTGCCATTAAATTTGGTGGTGAAGGTCCTGAAGACTCTTTGGAAATACCACTCGAACTATATCCTGAAAGGTATCTCACGACTCGAAAACGTGAGGCGCATCGGATACAAAAAGCCTGGAGCGAGACCAAGCTGGCCATGATGAAAGTTGAACGACAGGAACAGGCAGTCCACGAATGGAGAGATGATTTCAATCAGCTCTCGTATGACAAGAAAACCAGGATGGAAAAGGCTGCCGAGCAGTGGAAAGTCTTGAGGAAATATCTACAAAGTGCTGGCCAGTTCACTAGCATGCAGCAATCAGGTTTCGATACAAACAGATTCCCCGACTACCATGAGGCTCCCGCGAGTCTGTCAGAAATCCAGCAGCATGTTTTGGGCAAAGTGGACGATGTTGTAAAGCTGATTGAAAGGGTATTGGCAGACGTGGAAAAGGCGCTAAACGGTATGCCGGACGATTTGCATTACCTCGTCGGCTGCTAACAAGGCACAGACTTAAACACAGAGCTCGACAAGCTCAAGGCCAAGCAAAGAAGCCTAGGTAGACTGCTGACGGACCCTGACAAGCCAGGTCGGCCACAACCGATGACGTGCCAGAGGTATTTGCTCCGAGGCGTTGCGACTGAAAGGGATGTCATATACGTCTGTCGACGCCAGCAGGCAGATTTGATCGAGCCCGGCGATGCCCCAAAAACAATAGATCAATGGTGGCGGTTGGCCTATGCTCAGGGTGAAGCAGACCCTGTCAAAGCCGAGGTACGTCCGCGCGACCCTTTTTACCCCTGTCGGCTGTTCACGTGCCAACTCATTGTAGAAAATCGAGATCGAGCGCGTTTTACGCGAGGTCTGGCAAGAAACGAAAACGCCACTTCTCGTTTATGCCACGGAAGAAGCCGTCAACACTCCCAATGATCCACTCAGTTGGCCATTGGAGCGCTTCGTCAAAGCGGACAATAAGGCATTCCGCAACGACTTAAGCATGGAACGCACCCAGGAGCAAGAAAATAGACAGGCTGTCTTTATGGACCCGATCTCTCCTTCAAAGCGAAAGCATCGATCCGACAGCATGGACTCACTAGACAGTAACCATGCCTCTCTGGGCAGCGACGAGGCCAATGCATTCGACAGTAATTTTGAAGAGCCGACGCCCAACTTTAGCTTCCAGCGAGACGAGTACGAGCCGCGTGTTGTGGGCGCCGACGGCTTGCCTGCACCTAGTAGTATGACATCGCACTATGCCGAATTTCCAGACATTGGACTGGGCGATGGGATCGAGCTTGATCTCGATGCGAAACCCCCGCAATACAGCGAATTCGTCGTGCCCGCACCACCAGCACAGGAAATGGAGCAGCTCCTGCCGCAGAAGTTGTCGTTTACGACGACGGCAGCGGATGAAGAAGAGCGGAACCCGAAAGACGTTGTGATGGAGATGGAAATGCCCGCGTTAGAGAAGGAGACTTAGACAACATTGTATTACTTTGCATGGCAGTGGGCGTCACTGTAATATGAGTGCTGAGCGGGACAAAGCCTTTCGTGTTGGTATAGCGTTTAATAAGTAGTGAACATGTGCTTACTGACTGACGCATTCCAAGTGTTTGCGCCACAACTCTCATAGAGACCGCTCCAAAAGAAAAAAAAATGGAGAGAGAGAGAGTCTAGCTGAAGCACTGGAACAATGGAAAAGGACAAAAAAATAAGAGGAAAAAGGTAAAGAAACAGTACCCTGATGGTCGCCTCAGCAGCGCTTGCTTGCCGAAAACGTGCAAGGCTAAACGAGGCTCGACGACATGTTGCAGCGACGCTGCCCAGCACTGTTGCCGATAGTGCTGGAGCTTCAATAATTGGCAATCACCTGGGCGCCCATCGCAGCCTTAGTAGAGACGCCGCTGGGTTGGCAATCTCCAGAACGAGCTTCGAAGATGGCGAGAAGACAACTGATGAGCTTGCGCTGCTCGCTAATGACGCGGTCCAGGGCCTCAATGGCTTGACCCTGCTCGTTCACTTGGGTTATCAAGCGTTCGAAAGTGACGTCGAGCGCTCGCAGCTCGCGGCCCATGGACTCTACCTTGTAGGCGGAAAGTTTCTTGGGAAACGCTGCATTGCATGTTGCTCATTGGTGAATAGTCTAAGCGCCACATGATGGCTTGGCCGAAACACTATTGGTCAAGACTTCAAGAGCCTCAATCTTGGTAACGAGCGAGTTGGTGGTATGACCAAAACGCTGTCGCCGCGCTGCTGTCTTCAGTCTGGAGGCTGGTCAAGACCATTCTCGATAGTCTGCACTTTGGCAGTAGGCTTTGTTACTGACGCCTTGGAGGCGTCTTGTTGATTTTGCATCAACTTCAGCTTTTCAACCCCTGATCTCATAGGTTTTGTAAGTCGTTGATGGTGTTTCCCGACGAGTTTCATTACAAGGATACCAAGAACGATGTTGATAGAGAATTGCCACCCATCCTTAGGGCCCCAGAAACGACGGCGGACTGGCTTGATTGCTCATTTTTTTTTTTTGGCGCAAAATGTCAAGTAGATTTTCTGCGGGCTTGTCGGCCAAAGTTTGCTTCGCCGGAGGGAGGTCTGAGATTTGTGCGGAAAAAGACAATGATGAGGGCAACTGGTGTGTTGGAGAAAGATGGGGTGAGAGAATTATGTTTGGGTAAAAGGAAGATTGTGTTAAATAAGAGGAAGCTTCTTCTCTATTCATGGGCAGACACAGTGCAAGATTAGTTTGATTAGACGTGGCGTTGATGGGCCTACCTTTTGATTCGTACTTGCCAGGTATTCGTTCAACTGCTGAGTTGATTCTCGCCTCAAATACCCTTTTTCGGTCATCGAAGTTTTGCCATTTTCGCTTAAAAATCCCAAATTGGAGATGCTCTTCTTCTCGCGCAAGTCTTATTTTTTTTATAACTAAAACAATTCTGTCCAAATACTACCACTGCCTGATTATTTATTCCTTTGAGAGGTTAGTCAGCGAGAAGTATTGTGGTGGTTCTGTGAACTGCTTATCCCCTTCTGGAAACAGTCAAAGAGATGAACTTGATCCGCATAAAAGCTTTTCTAACATCTGATGGCGTTTCTGCACTTTTAATGGCCAGATGTATGGCTAATATGACACATAGCACTGAAATATGCGTTATTAGTATCATCAGCGCCACTACTACCGCCACTACCGCGCTGTCTATTATTGCAAGTCAAAAGTCAGGTGCTCGTAGAATGCATGAGAGGCGCGTGTGACCAGCCAAGCCCGGCCTCGTGTTGTCGGATATCTGGAAAGAGGAAAAATGTATCGTGTAAAAATGATAGAAGATGTGTAAATACCAGCCTACCAACCCACCACCTTCAAGGTGGGGAGCCACCACCCTTCAAGGTGGGGGAGGGACAGGCGCGTCCCATGTAAAATCTAATCTACGCAATCAAGCTTAAACAACTGCCGCATCCGTTTCCATCATCATCAGAGCGGAATTGTTCCCAGCTACCCTTGTGTCCCCCTTTGACCAGTTTCCTTGATCTAGTAATATACCCTTGACTGGATACATTACTTCCGCGTTGCTATATAAACCCCTCGTCGTGACGCCGGAGCTCTTGCATCATCCTCCTTTGCCCTTCTGCTCTGACTCACAAAAAAAAGCCCTTGTCAATTCACATTGTACTCTAACACAGCAGCGCATTCTCTCTTCACCATGCCTTCCAGAGAGGAAATTACCTACTTTGGCGCCGGCCCAGCCCTGCTTCCCCAGGACGTCCTCGAGACGGCCTCGCAGGCGCTCCTCAACTTCCAGGACACGGGCCTGGGCATCGCCGAGCACTCGCACCGTTCCGAGCTGGCCACCAAGATCATCAATGAGGCCAAGGCTGACCTCGCCACCTATCTCGACATCCCCGAGGACTATGAGGTCCTCTTCATGCAGGGCGGCGGCTCTGGCGAACGCATAAGGGCGTAGTCTACAGCCAATCCTTTCGTAGCGCCAATTGCGCCAGAATAGACGTATTTGAGTAGGACATCTGCTGCCTGAACTTGATCCATGGTGGCGAATAAAGTCATTTTGCTGGAATGTGCAGGTCACTGAAAGGCACAAGAAATTGCATATTTTTTTTAAGGTAGGTGAGAAAGACAAAGGAAGCCACGCCAGCGTAAGAGGTTCGCGGGTCCGTACACTCGCGGGTTGGTTTTTTAGTCAGCATAACCCTGGTGTTCTTTGTACTCCTCTGACTCTCACTTCGTTATATAGGACTTCTGTTAAACAGAAATTATAGACTTTTTTGCAGCTTCAATTTGCATGTCCCTACACCTCTTCTATGGCCCTTTTCATGGCATTCACTGCAAGTAAGGGTGTATAAAGAACGCTAGGGTCATGCTAACTAAAAAACCAACCCGCGAGTGTACGGACCCACGAACCTAAGTTAACTTAGGGGCTCCGCTGCTTCAGCAGCACCCGCTGTACGGATGATAGGGGCGCCCGATACAGAGCCGGCCCCGTACACTGCGCGCCCTCCGCTGAGTCAACAACACTCCCTGTAAATTTTTTACCACCCGTTGTAAAATACCCTCGTCGAGCTACCTGTGTGGAGGATACAGCACTTGCTTGGCAGCCCCCAAGGCCACTAAGCGCCCTAATAAAGAGTCCTCATCGATAGCTCGTCACCAGCTAGCTCCTTCGTTACCTCTCCTGTAAATTCGCCTCCTCAATGATGATGGCCAGGTAAAAGTCCACGGGATTCGAACCGACTTGGGCGACATGGAACAATCCATTTTGGCGTGCGAAGCCGTAAAAAAACTGTGTCGTTATTCTACCGCGCTCGGGGCCTCCTCAGGGGCGACTTTGCTGCCTCGTTACACTGAATCTTCCTTTAACCAGCGAGCCCAACTCAGAACCACGAAAAGCTCAATATATGGGAGATTCGGTAGAAATACTGAATCCTTGTGACAATTTTCTGGCAGCTCTTAGTAGAGGCCAAGATGTTGCGGCTGCCAGGCTGCCGACACACGCACTTCCTACTTGTTGGTGGGCTGTGAGGGAGTTTCCACGTACCTCGAGTGGAAAGATTGATCGGGTAAAGGTCCGGTCCCTTTTTGAGAACATGGACAATAAAGTCTATATTCAACATTTGAATGATTTTGCTTGCAAAGCGCAAATCAAGAGTAGCCCGGAAGATACTGTCGAACAACAGCTCCAGTCTCTCTGGGCAGACGTGCTCGATCGTCCGATATGCAGCATCGACACAACGATCCCTTTTACACAATTTGGGGCAGATTCCTTGGATGTGATTCGATTCATTTCCAAAACCCGGGCTCGAGGAATAGAATTCGACATTCCGCAAGTCTACGCTAGCAAAGCTATCCAACAGCTTGCTCATATCCAGCAGCCTCTTTTACAGCAGCAGACTGCGATTCAAAAACCAGTGTATCAGTCATTCAGCGCAATTACGGTCAATCTACCACTAGGCATACTCATAAAGAATGCATCTACCATATGCCAAGTTAGGGTAGAAGACATTAAAGATATTCAGGACAACACAGTACCAAGTTGGCCTGATGACTGCGGACTTGAGATCACCAGGGACATATGTCTGCGCGTTATCGACGTTGAGGCTGGCAGACGCGACCTCGCTCTAGGGCTGTCCCATGCTCAATACGATGGTTTCTGTTTGCCGACAATACTAAACAATCTCAGCTTGGCATATGCTGCTGGGAAGCGTTGGGAAAATCCAAGCCGGCCTAGGTATAGAGATTTCAGCAAGCACACGGCCAACCAGTGCAATGAGGAGTCTGATTGCTTCTGGAGAGAAAAGTTAAAGGGTAGTACCCTCACAAGCATTGTGAGACGTTTGGGCCGCAACGCTCGACCCATCATGTCGCAAGGCTTGAAGCAAATCATTCCATTCCAATTCAATAAGCATTTCGGAACCGTCAGCTACCCTGTGATGCTCAAAGTTGCATGGGCAATTGGACAAGGCGGCCAAGATTCGGCCGAGGCTTGACAACGGCCGGCAGCTAAAAAAACGGAGCTGATGAGGCAGCCCGGGCAAAGGCTGTACCCGACCCTAAATTAGGCGATATTTGCATGCCCCGGAGCCCGTAGCACACCCCAATTGACGGGGGATGCTGGCAGCAAAAAGTGAGCCGACAATCGTGACACCCCCGTATCGGGCACGCCGTTCCCCCAGAGCCCGAATCTTGCTGCGCCCGAATGCTGGGGGCAGGAGAGGAGGGCCCCGAAAATAGAATGCCAGAGAAGAAAAAGGGTCGTTCATGGCGCAGAAAATCAAGGAAACTCGATCGACTAGCGCATGGCCACAGCCCGACCCTCTGTGTGCAATTGGCCTCTCTCCTTCCCCCCAAAACAAGTTTGGGTTAGTTCCTGCAGCGAGCGTGCACCGTCGGCCGTCCCTGCAAAAGGCAAGGGCCACGCCATCAGACAACACCCACAAGTAAAGTTTGGCTTCTAGGCGATTCTTCTCTTCACTTCTTCATATCTCGAAAGGGTAGATTTCGGAGCCGTATCAACGCAGAGCAGTCTAAGCTGCATCAGAAGCAACAAAGAAGAGCCTGCTCAACATTGGTGTCGATCCTCTCTAGCCGGAGAGTCGCGAGCCAAAGTTCTACTCAGTTCGACAATTGGTTGCCACGGCATATTTACAATCATTATAGCTCCAGCTGTATAAATTCGATACAATGGCCAGCGAAAACAAGTCCTCGGACAGCAGCGCCGACTACACACTTCATTACTTTACCTTTTCACTGTACTCACTGATGGTCCGGTTCGCTCTCGAATTGGGGAGACGGCTCAACAGTGACAATGCGCCGCAGGTGCAGTTGAAATTTGTCAACCTCACAACGCATGAGAATCTATCCGAGCAATATCTCAGTACAGTCAACTCCAAAGGCCAGGTATGTTGCCGTTGTAGCAGAATCGAGTCGCGCGTTTGCATAGTTGAGATGAAGAGAATATATAGTGTAGCAGTCACTCACGGTTTCCCAAACTAGGTGCCTGCTCTGACGTCGGATACACTCGAGTCGGGACTTGGTGACAGCCAAGCAATCGCCAAGTGGCTATGCGAGAAGCAGCCCGAGCTGCTTCCTGCCGCCCACAAGGACACCATTGACAGGATGATGGAGAAGCTATATCACTTTCATCTCAAGGCACTCAACATTGCGCCGGAAGCGGCGAGCAATGGCATACCAAACGTGGCAGCGGCCATGCTCGAAGACGCCAGCATCTCAGACAAGCACCGACGGGCTCTGGAGATCAAATCTATCTTGTAGGTACACGGCAGCTAAAGCGCCGCACATGTGATTTCGAATTGCGGCAGGGCACGAGCTGACACTGCGGCAGCCATGATAGCCTGCATAGCAGGACGACAGAGGCCGAGCACATTGAGCAGGTAGAGAGGCATGTATCCAAGTTCATGGCGGAGCTGGCGGACATTATTGAGAAGCACAAGGAAGAGGGCTCACGGTGGATATTCGGGCCGCGACCAACTATTCTGGATGCATACGCCTCGGCGCTCATGATTCGGCTACTGGACAATGAGCGACTAGAGCTGCTGCCTCCCGCGGTGCAGGAGTACGCGAGAGCGGTGCAGAGTTCAGACGAATGGAGACAGGTGACGCACGGGCGCCCGACAGTGTACGATGCGTCGGCAATGGGCCCTGCAGACGAGCTGGATCCCAAGTGAGACAGAGTTGGGGGACAGAAATACGAGACGAATAATTCCGCAGTGGTGGTGGTTTAGATGGGAGGTGAATGCAGCATCGCGGGGACCCAGGATGCAGCGGTAGCGGCGTGTAGTGGCAGCAGCCGCGGCGGGGCTTACTGATACCCGATATATCTATATGCCGCCGCAGCCGGTCAGAATTGCACAGGGGATATGGGTGACCTGGCTCATGAATGCCGAATGCTACAATTTGGAGCTGAGAGGGGGGGCCGGTTGGTGCACTGGAGTATCGTGCGCGTGGCTTGGTCGAGATGGTGTGGTGCAAAAGGACCAGTGGTGCAGCTACGCTCCGTTAGGCAGGTGAGGCAGGCAGGCAGGCGGAATCACTGATACAGCCTGGACAAGGAAGAAAACAGCCACCGAGTCGAACGGGGAAAAGATGCGATACATGATTATACAATACTAATAACTGCCGCTCTTCAGCGGGCGTGGGGAGAAAAAGTAAAGGGCGCGTCCAAAAACAAGAGGCTTACCGTACGGTCATCACTTATCACCTATGTATTTATCACAACTCAATCAAAAAAAGTCATGAAAAAGATAAAAAAAAAAAAAAGAAGATTCAATTCAAAAGGGCTTTTGCGACACTGGCTGATGATCCACTGGCCCTTTTTTTCTATTCATCTATTGGTTCATTTGTCTATATGCCCCAGCTTGCTTGGCCTACCTGTAATCTGTGCCAGTGATAACGACCCCGTCTTCGGGGTAATCCCAGCCCCAGCGGGCCCCCTCATCCTTCAGCCGTTTGCCCATCCTTTGCCCATCCTCTACCCTTGAGATTTTCTCTCACGCCTTGTCCAGCGTGCAAAACGAGGCCAACTGCGCGACTCGTCCCTTGCAACAGCCTTTGGATTTCAACTTCTTTTTGGTGTCGTCTTTGCTCGCGCCGGCCGGCTGTTTAGGTCATTTCTGCAGCGGCCGTCTCTTTTGCACCGTTCAGCCGTAGGCCCACACCTGCCTTGTCTTCCCCGCCAAACTTGTTTCCCCCAGGAATTCCCAACTATCGAGGTCTCCCAAACAGGGTCAACGCAACGCTGCGCGACAGCTCAGCATTTCGCTTCCTCCCCTCGGCAGAGACACGAAGCAGAGACGTAGCACCCTGTGCAGTCCTCTGCCGCCGGCCGTCTTTCCCACCATGACTCCCAAAATCTTTCGCAAGCGCCATCAGGCCGAGGAAATCACCCCCATCCCGGCCTACGCCGCCGACCTCGACGTCGCCGGCATGGAGCAGCTCAAGCACCTCCACGAGTTTGAAAAGATGCACAAGTTTGACCCCAACTTTCCCATTGACGAGCTCAACGACCTCGATGCCGCCATTGCCACGTGCAACGCCGAAAAGGGCATCGAGATTGAGCACGCCCTCATGGAGGACAACAGCCCCTACCCCGAGGTCCGCGCCGTCGTCCGCAACTACGACGTCGACCTCCCTGCCAACACTGTCCGCGCCTGGGTCATTGGCATGTTTCTCTGCACACTCGGCTCCGGCATCAACATGCTCTTCTCCCTCCGCGATCCCACCATTACCATCAATACCTATGTCATTCAGCTCATCGCCTACCCCATCGGTCGCGGCTGGGATCTCATCATGCCCGATCGCGTCTGGAATCTTTTTGGTCTCAAATTCAACCTGCGCCCTGGCAAATTCAACTTCAAGGAACACGTCGTCATTGTTGCCATGTCCAATGCAAGTAATCCCATACATGGCCCTCTGCCTCTTAACTATTACAGCTCGCTGACTTCCCCCACTTCTAGGCCTCCTATGCTGGCGGCGTCTTGTATGCCACAGATGTTCTCCTGACCCAGCGCATATTCTACAAGCAGACCTTTAGCTACGCCTTTCAGATGCTCTTTGGAATCACCACCCTCTGCACCGGCTACGGTCTCGCCGGCCTTGCCCGTCGGTTCCTCGTATGGCCCGCCGCCATGATCTGGCCTGCCGATCTCGTCAACTGTGCCCTCTTTTACAGTCTGCACGACCACTCACCTTCAGATCCAGCAAAGACAAACGGCTGGTCCATTGGCCGCTACCGCCTTTTCCTCATCATTGGCACCTCGGCCTTTGTCTGGTACTGGTTCCCGGGCTGGATCTTCCAGGGACTCTCCTACTTTACCTGGATTTGCTGGATCGCTCCCAACAATGTCATCATCAACAAGATTTTTGGTGCTGCTCATGGTTACGGTCTCATGCCTATCACCTTTGATTGGACCGTCATCAGCGGCTACGTCGGTTCGCCCCTCATTCCGCCCTTTCACGCCATCTTCAACGTCATCCTCGGCGTCTTGGCCACCTTTGTCTTTCTCTCCTGCGGAATCCATTTTAGCGGCACCTGGTTCTCCAAGTACCTTCCTGTCCAGTCTGGCGACTCGTTCGACAACATGGGCAAAGACTACAACGTCACTCGCATCCTTGATGCCAACTTCAAGTTCAACGAGACTGCCTACCACCAATACTCTCCGCTATTCCTCCCAACTCAGTTTGCGCTCGCATACGGTACATCCTTTGCCGCAGTATCCGCCGTCCTGATTCATGTTGCTCTCTACCATGGACGGGAAATTTGGGATCAGTTTAAGATGGCGCGTCATCAGGAGGATGATGTCCACATGCGTCTCATGAAAAAGTACCGTGATGCCGAGGACTGGTGGTATGCCGCCCTTTTTGTCGTCATGTTGGCCATCTCATTCGGAGTCGTTGCCGGCTGGGACACGGGTTTCCCGGCCTGGGCCTTTGTCGTCTGTATTCTGCTTCCCATCATCTGGCTCATCCCCATTGGTCTCGTCCAGGCCATTACCAACATGCAGCTTGGTCTCAACGTCTTGACCGAGTTCATCATTGGTTACATGGTTCCCGGACGTCCTCTCGCCATGATGATGTTTAAGAATTACGGCTATGTATCCATGTCTCAGGCCCTCTACTTTGCCCAGGATCTCAAGCTTGGCCACTACATGAAGGTTCCTCCCCGAGTCATGTTTGCCTCACAGCTTATTGCTTCCATCTGGTCCGCCATTGTGCAAATCCTGCTCATGAACTGGGCCCTCGACAATATCCCCGATGTCTGCTCGCGCGACCAGAAAGACAGGTTTACCTGCCCTGGCGGCCGCGTCTTTTACACGGCCTCTGTTATCTGGGGCGCCATTGGTCCCGCTCGCATCTTCAGCCATGGTGCCATTTATTCGTCTCTGCAATGGTTCTGGCTCGTCGGCGCCGTTACCCCGGTTCTCACCTGGCTCTTAGCCCGCCGTTGGCCCAAGTCATTCTTGCGCTACATCAACACGCCCCTCATCTTTGGAGGTGCCGGCCAGATTCCTCCAGCCTCGGTCTACATTTACCTCTGCTGGGGTATTGTTGGAGTTGTTTTCAACTTTTTCATCAGACGCCGCTACACAGGCTGGTGGCTCCAGTACAACTACATCACCTCTGCGGCGCTCGACTGCGGCCTCATTGTCTGCACGCTTGTCATCTTCTTTACGCTGTATTTGACAAAGACGATGGCACCGCAATGGTGGGGTAATACCACGGCATTGAGCACACTTGATCGCCGCGGCACCGCGATTTTCACGCAACTGCCTCCGGGCGAAACGTTTGGCCCTAGCACTTGGCGCTAAAGTATGTACTCTTTGCGAAGTTGGCACCCTGACCTCGGATGCTTCGACCGGAATTTGTCGAAGAAGAAATTGTTTATATGACAGAGATGTAAGACGGTCATCATATGTTCCATAGCTACGACGGAGTATTGGCGTATTGTTTTTGCGTAGCATGGTTATGGATAGTGCACGATACATATGGGATATGGCGATACCTAATTTACGATTATGATCTATCTGGGTGTCCGACTAGGCGGTTTGAATCTTCAATGTTTTCCTCATGCTTGTTCCTTCAAGCTGTTCCTGGATCGAGGCAGGTCCTTAGCGTCAGAATCAAGCGAATGTGCCCAACTTGGATTAGCGCAGATATGCTCGCGAGGGTACAGTCACGTGCGTCAGACCAAGTCTGAATTAGGGCTCGCCGCTGCTAGCCAGTCCGGGCGCAATTTTGGTCTGCTTTTGTGGACGACCAACCCCACTGTTTTGCACCCGCCGTCCACTGGAAAAAAGCCCTTCTCGCCTGTCGCCCTCTTTGCCCTACTACCTCTTGACCCAAATTTGCAAGTCTGGTTTCATTCATCCACCAACGACCACAGCAACACCGACAAAATGAGTACGTCTCTTACCAATACTTGCGAAAAAAAATGCCACCGTGATGTGTTGAACGAGAAATCGACGAGAGAGATTGATTCCCCAGGCTGGTATTTCATGTCGGGTGTCGCCGTTGTCACGGCCGGCGGATTGTTTGAAAACGGGCGAGGACCAGGAGGACGAGGAGAAGCAACAAGGAAGCACCACGACGCTACTACATTGCCATTCGACATATCGCAAGGCAAAGCTTTCTTGGGCAATTTGAATGCGACAACGTACGGCCGATCGACCTTGATATTCGACATGGACTTGTAGTTTGGGAGGGGAAAGCTCTCGTCGATTTCTCTTCAACCTCATCATGCGGCTCTTGCTCGCAGACAAGGCCCGTTCTTGAGACTGACTGTTTGCTATAGCCAAGGGTACTTCCAGTTTCGGTAAACGCCACAACAAGTCGCACGTTCTGTGCCGACGATGCGGTTAGTTCCTCCCTCACCATCAACGAGACGGGCTCGAATCTCGGGCGCCATTGGAACGGCGCGCGTGGCCAAGTCTGGGTTCTGCTACACCACGCGAAAATAGCATTGGAGACTCCTTTTGCACCCTGGACCCCTTTTCGCTCGCTCAAAACAAACGCACACTGGCCGCGCACTGCGAGGACCACGACGCTCGTTTCTTCGACGCGGGAGGCACGGCCCTAGGGGGGATGAGGGGAGAAGGGTCTTTCTCAGAGTCATGGACTAAATGCGAACCACGGCCGCCGCGCGCCCCACCAATCGGACTCTGTTCGAAGGCGTTTTCTGCTCAGCTCTCGCTCTTCCTCACTTGGAAACCCTTTGACAAAATACTGACGTGCTTTTACTCTAGGTCGCCGCTCTCTTTCCGCCCAGAAGAAGGAGTGCGCTTCTTGCGGCTACCCCAACGCCAAGATTCGCAAGTGTACGTTTTTCTTCCCTCGTCGCTTTTTTCCATGAACGACGAAAAGGTTTTTTTGAGATGGTGGCAGCTGACAAAATCCGCTCATCACAGACAACTGGAGCGAAAAGGCCAAGCGCAGAAAGACTGTCGGCACCGGCCGCACGCGCTACCTCAAGGATGTCTCGCGCCGCTTCAAGAACGGCTTCCAAACCGGCCAGCCCAGCGGCGCCCGCGGCGCCTCCAAGGAGTAAATATGTCTCTTCGGTCTTTTTTGTCACTGCTACAGACGATGGACGGACGGGTCGAGATGTTGAAACCAAAAAATAAAACGATTTCCAGATTTCGACAGACTGAAAAAAAAGGATAATTTACGACGTTGATTTTTGAGACGATGCGTTGGCATGGATTTGGGGTAGAGGCTCTCCCTCGATACTTTGAAAGGCCCATGGGGTTTAACTCTTTCTTTTTTTGTGTCTTGTTGATTTACCGGAGCATTAAAAAAAACATTCAAGAAACCATGATTCATTTGGGTCAATCAAGAAGATGTTGCTGTTTCCATGTGTCATGATAAACTACCCTCCGTTACGGGAGAGATTCATGGTGTTGTAGGAAAAGAGGTGAGTGTGCCAATCATGGCAAGGGACTACTATTTACTTTACTACAGTGGTCGTCATTTACTCCTGCACAGAAAAGAGAAGCGGAATTTTGGGGTCGTGTCTTTGCTTGCGCTTCGGATTGTAATGCAGGCGCGAGGTTCGACGGAAGAATGAAGGGAATGAAGGCACTGAGGGGGGGGACTAGATGAAGAAGATGCCCAATCTCACATCAACACTACCCATTTGCTGCCGCTGGCGTCACAGCTTCCTTTGCCATGCTCTCTCCTGCCGTGTACGCTGTTCGTATAAACCCGCCCATTCCAGAACGATGCATCAAAAACGAAAGTACAGTAAAGAAGAAAGTTGTCCGTAGCATACGCTTACAATCACTGTTCTCTAGATGGCCAACCAACAATGTGCCATCAATTTTCCCCATCTCCTTTTTTTATCCCGACTCACGCGCCCCTCTCAAACACGCGCACGCTGCCGTCGCCCGCGACGTGATACAGCAGCTCCTCACCCTCATCCCCGTCCCCGTAATTCGCCGCCGTCGCCGCAGGACCGACAACGACGCGCAGCACGCCGCTGACGTCGGCCGCCGCGCCCGTGTCCAGCCGCCGTAGCGAGACGACCTGGTCGGCGGCGTGCGCCTGCCCGAGCACCAGCGCGGCTTGCTCCCGCTCCAGCTTCGTCGTCTGGGCTGCCGCCTGCATGTGAACGAGAGGCTCGTCGGCCGCGAGGGTGACAAGTGTAGAGTGCACGTTCTGGTAGTGGGAAGAAGACAGAAGAAGGAATCGATAAAAAGTTAGCTCCGGCATGTTCTTTGTTCTTTCCAACAAGTTTTGTTGGCTTGTTTGCGGGGAGTTGTGTAGGAGTAGAACAAGTAGCTAATTAGAGGAGGAAGAAGAAGAACAAGGACAAGGACGAGAGTGAAAGGGAGACGAAAGAAGAAAAGACGAATAGAAAGGGGGTACATGAAAGAGGGAAGGAAACGAACCTCTCGTAGACTCATAATCAAGCTCGCTGCGCCAGCCGCGCCGCTGCCGCTGCCCGTGGCGACATATGCATCCAACCCGTCCACGAGCAGCACCGTCCTGCTTCCCGCGGTGAGGCGCGCCGCCGCAGTATCCACACAGGCCTTGACGACGTTGTCACTATCTGTCGTCGACGCTGTCGTCGTCGTCGTTGCGCCGCCGCCAACGATGATGCCATTGCTGCTGCCGGGTACCACCGGCGCGCACAGCCCCGTGAGGCCGTCGACAAAGGCAAAGCGCCCATTCTTGCAAAGAGCATTCAGATCCATGCCCTAAAGATAGGTAAATGACGAATACAGATTAGTCATTTTCTTCTTTTGAATATAAAAGGCAAAGGAGAACACAAAAAGTGAGGAAAAGGCGAGTGGATGAGTGAGTGAGTGAGTGAGAGAGAGACAGCAGACCTCAATGCTCACATCTTTGACGACATTGCACAATCACTTTCCCTAAAGCCACTCAACATGTCCCTCATTACCTTCGTCTTTAAATTACTAGCCATGAAGGAGAAAAGAAAAGAGGGAAAGAAAAAATGAAAAGGAAAAAGTACTTGCCAATCTCGCACATCCATCCGCCCAAAACCTCTCATCCCTCAAAAAGCTCACCAGCACAACCCCAATAACCCCTCGCTCTTCCACACCTCGACTACCACCACCACCACCACCACCAACACCACCCGCCAGCAGCGCGTACAGGTACCGCAGAAGCAGCCAGTTGGCGCTCGCGCCCTGCACAGCCGTCACCACGGTCAGCGAGCCCTCGTCGCGCGCGAGCGGCCCAGAGGCGACGTACGCTTCGAGACGCGGTGGTATCCGAGACGAAGAAGACGGCGTCCGCGGATATGAAGAGGACGTGGAAGGAGGAGGAGCAGCAGGAGGAGGGGGCATGATGTTTTGTCGGCGACGACTGATGGCTTGGGATTTTGTCGGGCGTCGTCCACGCACAGTGTGAATTTTATTCAAGTTTTTATTCGAGTTTTCCTCGGCGTCGTTGGATGTGTTAATTTGCCTGGTGATTTTATGCCTCTTTCAGAGAATAACAAAAAAGAAAGAAAAGAGGGAAAGAATCGAAAGTAGCGGTAGCGTTGGTCGAGTCTGGAATCTTTGCTAACAGAGATCCTGGCCTGGTAGCCAAACCAGAGCTGGGCGCAAAATGCACAACCTTTGGTGGGGGCGGGGATGGTACGACTCGCACTGTCTAGACGTCTCGAGGCTCTCACCCCAGTTTCCAGACAGGCACAGTCACTGCCAACATGCAAGAAAGCTATTCAAGAATAGTGCCAAAGTATGCTAGAATATCTCATTCAAAGTCGTGAAATCATGAATCTAGGTGAAAGTCTAGGTGGAGCCACACCAACCGAGGGCGACTACCAATGCAAAAGATTCCAAAACGTGGTAGAAAGCAACCGTCCAACAAGACATTACATCTCAAAAAGGAGTTCATCATTAGCCATGCATAATCCAAAGTGTGCCACAGCAATCAAAATTTCTCCATCAGGTTCTTGCGAACCGTCCACATGCGCAGACGCTTGCCGTAGATGAAGAGGGGAATCGTAAATAGGAGAAGAATCAGCTGAATAATGCCAATCCAAATATACACCATCTTTGGACCATCATCGGCCAACCAGTGGCTGACAAAGAGACTAAACACCAATCCATGCAAAACATTCTTGGTAAAGTTGAGGGTAACAAGAGCCTCGCCAGCGTACTGGCGATAGCTGTCCACGCAGAATGTAATCGACGTGGTGGAGCCAAGGGAACAGCCAAACGACACGATGCCGAAGAACAGGGTTGGCACTATCCAGTGATCTTCAACTTGAGCTGACCATCCAAAGCCCATCAAGCCGATACAAGTCGTGATGAGAATGGGAATGGCCATGACCAAGCGAAATTCTGGCTCATACAGACCACCGTTGCGGCGTGCCATGGCTTTGACAATTATGTCGCTGATTTTGCCGGCCACACCTGTTCCAAGGATACCCCCAATAAACGGTGAGATGTAGACGAGACCTGTCTGGAGAGCAGTAAAGTTGTACGTGTTTGGATTGCGGTAGATGATGGCCATTGTTTCTGATATGACGATTAGCCAGCCAATGGAGCATGCGTAGACAACAGAGGACCATAGTACAGCCGGATAGGCAAAAAGCACAAAAGGTCGGACAAGAACCTTGTGCCACCTGTCACCATTGAGGCGCCCGTGATATGGTTTCAGTTGTTGAACAAATGACTGGGCAGGAAGCTGGCGTAGGTTATGCGTATATTGATAAATTTTGGGAGGTGTAGAAAAGCTTGCGGCCGATATGGGCTCTCTGTTAGCAGCATCCTTTCCAGAAAAGTAGTCCATGCCAGATGAGTTGCCGATACTACTGCAACGATCTGGGGTTTGCAGGTGGCTCGAATCCTGCGCATTTTGGTGGCTCATGCGAGGAAGCGCCGGCGAGATGGTCATGGGTCCGTCAGCAGCAGACTGAGAAGAGGCAGCTTCGCGCTGAGGTTTTGAAACAGTGATTGAGGGCTGCGTAGGATGCTGCCTGTCTGCCTGGTTGTCACTATCCAGTTGCTTTTCCACATCGGACGCTTCAGAAAAGCCCACATGAAGGTTCCTCTGGTGAACAGGCGACGGGCCATCAACCGCAGTCTCTCCCACAGGATGCTCTATCTCAGGAGCGAACCCAACATGATGATTGTGGTGACGAGTTTCAGCACCAGGGGAATGGGGGCGCTCGGAGGAGGCTCTGGGGGCTGGTACGGACACCTTGTGCGGGCCATAGCGAGAAGACAGACGGCGAAAGAAGTTTGGTCGACTAGACGGTTTTCTTGTCGGGGTGCGATCCCAGAATGTCTCGGGAACAAAGAGAAATAGCAAAACACCGGCGACTGCCACGATCATGGCCATGATCCTTTCAGTGGGTCAGTCGTGGTTGATACATTAATGCAGACAGTGGACAAAGACGTACCAAAAGACCCATCTCCAGCCAAAACGACCGATAATGGCGGCACTGACAAGCGGAACCAAATTTTTACCACCGAGAAGCAGCAGCGTGTAAATTCCAATGCGATAGGCACGTTCGTGGAGGAAGAAAATCTCGGCAATGGTGGCGGAAGGTAAGCATTCAACGGGACTGATTGCGATGCCCTGGAAAACGCGGGCTGCAATGAGAGAGGAGAAAGACGGCGACCATCCGGCCCAGAGCGAAGTCCCAATGAATAAGATGGCACTAGCAAGATAGACGGGACGTTTTCCGAACAGAATAGCAGTTGGGGATGCAATGACTGAGCCAACACCCAGGCCCATCATGTAGAGGCCAGTGGTGAGAGCGACAGTTTCAACCTCGACATTGTATTCGTGAGCGACGTCTGTGAAACCAGCGGCGATGAGGGGAGTAACGCCGCCGCCAAGCATGCAGTAAAAGCCGAGGGACAGAAGTGCAGTATCGCGACGCCAAGATGGCCAGTTGAGAGGATCATTGACCGACTCTTCAGGCTGTGGCTCCAAGATAATTTCGCCATTCTGTGTGGTCTTTTTCTGCTCCTCCGGGGCCGTGGTAGAGTTGTTTGCAGGAGTTCCAGGAGGACCAGGGGTGCCAGGAGCTGGGCGAGAACCACCAGGCGTCGTGGGAATATCAACGGGGAAGCCAGCAGGAATAGAAGAGTGCGAATTACGAGCGTGCATGTTGCGCAAGCCGAGAGGCTCGTTGCGATGGGCGGCAAGCAGCAGAACGGAACCTATGAGATGTGCTGTTAGTGAAGCCAGACAAGTGAGGGTCGACCATCAAAGCGCGTCTTACCTGGAACCTCGACAGTGTTGGGGTCATTGAGGACACCCATGCTCCATCTTGATGTCACTGGCTGCTGGTCGTCTGGGTTATTGTCGGAAGAGCGCCTGCCGAGAAGACGGCGCAGGCCCCAGCGGCCAATGGGGCCGGAGGGTTTTTCGTCACGCATTGAGGGATCTGACGAGGACATTGGTAACGGAGATGGTTTCGAAAAGCAAATTAAGAGACAGATATGCGAGCAGAAGACGGAACAGGCTGCAGGGCGCAATGGGCTTGGGGACCAAAAGTCACGAAATTGCTTCGAGGTGGCGGCTAGGTAGCGCGAGGAAGGCGGTGCAATTTGCTGCAACTGTGGCAGGCAGGGCGTGAGGCGAGGCAAGCAAAGTTATTGATGATGTCTAAAATTATATGGCGTAGGAAACTCTGGTGGCGGATGGACGATGCCGAGTCGGCAGAGGCGAGATGTCAGGTGAGCAGAGCAAGTCGGAGGATGTATAAGACGACAAGAGTGAGATGCTAGATGATCAGGTTGGGCGAATAGTACCTAGCGGCGTGAGGCTAGGATCAACTTAACCGCAGGCGTCGCCGAAGAGCTTCAAAACGGATCATTCAAGGGTTGACAAATCGAGCCGTGAACGGGAAGGGGAAAGAGGTAAAAGTTAGATAGAGCAAGATCGGAAATGCCGAGAATAAAGACGTCGGATGAGATGGATGACGGCTGCGGAAGGTTATGATTAAGCTCGGCAAGCCACGCGTGGGCGATCTCGAGGGTGAGGATGGAGGGCGGGGGGAGGCGGGATGAGGCTAGAACGAGGCAGTCTTTGCGCGCCACAGAAGGACGGCAGACTTCAAAGGTGAAGACAGGAATATGAATGTGCGGCAAAAGAGAGGAGAAGAGTAGGTGTGAGGAGATGTCATTGATATAGAGATGGAGGCATGGAGATGGGGATGAATGCAACGCTGACGTCGTCACTGGCGTTGTTGCTGGCGCGCCTAGAATCTGGTTCGTAGAGGGTTGGTTGTTGTGATGGAGTGGAGGTGATGGAGGATGGAGGCGTGGCTGCCAATACGGCATACGAGGGGTGTGGCTGCGCGGCGGCGCGGCGGGTCGGTTTTAGTTGGAGCGGATATGGAGTGATTAAGGTTTAGTTGCCGGAATCAATTTCTATACAAACAGACACGAAGAAATGTTCAATTGTCTGGTTTTGCATGGTGTGACTGGCTCAGAGATAGGAAGACACGGATCATGGGAAAAGATTCCCATGCCCATTTTGGCAAGCCACACGGCTACGTGGCGCATGCAGATGTACCATAAGTGGCGTATGCAGCTGCACTAGGGGGTTGACCCTCAATCTGTGCCTCGACAATTTATTGCCATACTCTATTGTTATATATCAGGATATAAATACCAAAATGTTGCAGTGAGCCTCGGTTTACTCCGCTTGCAAGCCTGCAACGGCATCTACTTGCCGTTGGGTGCTTGAATTGCTGTCCTGCAGGTATTTTAGCACCGTGACGAGGCGGCTCAGCAGACCCCTGATATGACCTCATCAGACATGCCCACATGCCAAGCATGCCTATCAAGTGTTCCTGCAAGTACAAATCAATAACAAGTAGAGATAGTTTTCCCCGTTTGTTAGAGCATGTCAATTTACAACCAAGGTGGCTCACGGTTCTCTATCATGTGTCTAATGCTGCCAAACTGGTATTGATATGAGCCTAATCAGGACACTCGATATACGGTACCGGGTACCAGGGGCTACCTACCTATGGCACAACATGCAGCTCGCCGTTGAACTTCTTGTCCAACCTTGTACAGACCGTCTATTTCCTCATGCCAACACTCGATCGACAATTACCACCTTGCCATGATCCCAAACTAAACCCTGCATTCCAGCCCCATTGTACGCTTCGAGACATCAACAACAACCGCCATTGAACCCTTGTTTGGTCCCTTGTCCCTTGTCCTATCCACTCTCCAAGCTACCTCAGCCTACGGATACGCCTACACTTGACAAAAGCCTATTCCGACTCTCCCACAACATCCATCCATCACCATCACCGCCCAATCATCACCTCATAAAATACCTGACCAATGTCGCTCACCGCCGCCCCCGCCCCTCGCGTCTTGGCCACCAGCATGCGCCGATCCGTCCGCATCACGAGTCGTTACCAGTTTTGCCAGTCCATGCACAGCACCCCTGCATCGCGTCTGCTTCCACCACCACCATCGACCTCATCTGCCTCATCTACCGGCCCTGCTGTCCTGTTGGCCGCCGTCACCACACCGAGTCTTCTGACCCGGACCAAACTCCGGCCTCGCCCCGCGTGCTCGACCCCGCATGCCCATCACCACCGCCCACGCCATGCCGCATTGCTGTCGACATCCGCCTCGCGCCACGCCAAGAACCAAGTCTTTTCCCCGTACGTTGTAATCCCGACATCTCTCCTTGACCCTCCCTTCAACTAGCTATCTATCTTGGTCTCCCCTCTTGTCATCTGACCAAAACTTTCCCCCCCCGCTACAGAGTCCGCAACAATGACACTTTTCAAACCTACCTCGCAACGTCGTCATCGTCGCGCACCCCGCTCTTGACCCTCTGGACCGCTTCTTGGTGCCCAACCTGCCGCACCGTCGAGCCTCTCGTCCGAGCCCTGGTCGAGTCGGGCGTCGGCGAGGAACACGGCGGCGTCGCTCTCGCCTCCGTAGAATTTGACAGTCCCGACATCATGTCTGCTGGCGCCGACGGCCTTGCCATGACCTACATGATTACCGCCATACCCACTTTGCTCAGCTTCGACGCCGGCGAGGCGCAGACCGCCACCAAGATCACAAATGCGAGGCAGCTGGCTGATCGCGAGTTTCTCACCCAATGGATACGGAACGAAGCCCGGCGTCATGGCGGCCGTGGAGGGGGCGGCCCCTCCCTTCCGTCTTTTGGCGGCTTATTCGGCCTCTCCAAGTAGTTGCACGGCTACTTGTTTGTTTTTAATTATACTTTTATTTTCACTACAGTATATTACCCCCATCTCGGCGACCTCCTCGAGCAATATCTTACGTGTTTTGTTATATGTACACAATGTATCTAGTAACACAGTATGTGTAGTAGACGAGTTCGCGCAGTGATACCAGCGACATGGGCTTTCGGATTGGATATATACTTGTCATGGGCGCCGAGGACCTCAGCTCTCCAATATCCAAGTGCTCACGCCAAGTTTGCATACCGTCGACAGCCCGCGCGCCTACTTGTGCTTCTACTCAGTCCAAGGCGAGTCGCCGCCACACTAGGCCTAGTTAGATCAGACGAGCCTTTCGGCCATGTAAGCGCCATTTTGGCGGATGACCACCACCGAAGCTGCCGCACCACCATCAGCAAAGTTGCGGCATATCTTTGTACTCGTGCATTGAATTCCAAGGTGACAAGTGTCAGCCATGCGCCGTTGCTTTCTGTCCTCACAGGGGTTTGCGTTCAGGGTGTCCTGATCAGGCAAGTGGACCAGCACCGTGTATGGAAGACGCGCCGACGCGTTCTCAGCCAAGATGAAAATGTGAATCTCCTGAACCCCTTATCGAGTCGAAGTACTTCCAACTTGTGGTGTCGCTCTCTAACTTCGTCGTCAAGATCAATTTACGTCTTGAGGCTATTCACCAAGCATAATGCCACGCAAGCGTGCTGCCCCCAGTGACAGCGGCACGAGCCAGGCCAAAAAGACCAAGACAACAAAGGCTGCTGCCAGCACAGAGGCCGTCGCCAGCACAGAGGCCGTCGACAGCACAGAGACCGCTCCCATCCAATAAGTCAACCCTAGCGACAGCGGCTCAAGCCGGGCCAAAAAGACCAAAACAACAAAGGCCGCACCAAAGACGCCACTTGCCCCCTTACTCAGGGCTCCCGAGAGATGGTCAGCCGTCTCTGCCTCGGCTAATATTGCCAGAGCACACGAGCAACGGCTGGCCAAGCCCGATGAGGCATGGGTGTGGGAATGCTGCTGCCCGCCTCCTTTCGAAAGGGGCGCTACCTGGGAAGACGAAGACGACGACGAGGAGAACGAGGACAAGGATGCAAATCAGCCAGAGTGCAACGGCGGAAAGACGTGCATGTGCAGCAAAAAGGCCATGGACCATCCTGACCACCCTTGGGTGCTGAGTATGGCTGGAAAGCAGTTGTACCTGTCTCAGTACGCCCTGGCCACCTTGCGCGACCCAGACAGCTTCCAAATGTACACGAGCAACGACCACTACGGCTACGGGCTCATTGAAATGCTGCAGAACTTGTTTCTTGACTATCCAGAGAGTCACAGTTGGAGAGAGTTGTGGTGTATTGTCGAGGCTGCCGTCATGTGGCTCCTGGACTCCCAGTCCGACGCGATGATGCAGTAAGTAAAAGTCTTCAACCGAGTGTGGTCAAGAGAGCAACGTGGCTAACGCGCGGTGGTCATGCAGGATGGACGCAGAGGATGTTGTACAGGAATCGTACAGTCTCATCGGTCGCATGTTCCTCGACATGCTTGCTAGACTCGACATCGAAAGCCGGAGCGTCAGGGACGAAGGCATACGCGTCAGTGATGTAGTCCTGAACCTTGGTACCATCATGGCGCTGTATATCAAGCTGGCGCAGGAGGCGCGCGAGTATAGTGTGCTTTCCGAGTACGAAGAGGACGAGGAGCTCGCCGGCGGCGTTATATACAAACCCCCTCGCTTTGACGACTACGTACTTGCGTACGCCAAGAAGTTTGACGTTACACTCCGGGGACCCAAGGGACTGGACAAGTTGCTTGACAACTGTCGCCAAGTCGACCTGCCGGAGGTGACTCCCGAAAATGAGGACGATCCCTGGAATTTCTTCAAGACGTTGCATGTCTACGAGAACCAATATTACCGAATGCCCCCCTTTGGCTCGTTCTACGATAAGAAAGAGTACAGAGGCATCGGCGGGGATCGATACGACATTTCGACCTGGAGACCGGTAGAGCGCAGGGAAGCTAACTTTGACAGGAAAGATCCGTTCACCAGGACCATGATTAATGCGGTCAAGCAGGGCCGCGTGATGCACCTTGGGTAGAGGGCACTGTATCAGGACCTGATTCTCTCGTGATATTTGCAAGTTGCGAGGGTTTGCACCTGTTGAATATTGCATGTACGTAGTGTAACATGACTGTATATTTTTGTCAGGGTACCGTAGCCAAAGAATTGGCAGTGCGTTGAAAGGTCCGGGTAGTACCAGATCACGTTGAGAGAGATTTCTGCCGGGACGGCCCGCACACACGCGGGCAATATTTATAATCTCTTTCCGCGACGACATCGCTCATAGGTGCCCAAGCGCGGGTTGGATGATACCATGACCACAATGTCTACAATCACACCCGCCGCCAAGTTGCTCCATCATGATTGCACGGTCTGGCGCGCGAGCAGCCAAACCGCGTCTACTCTTTACGAAAAGGGGACAAAGCTCTGGACAAGGCAGGATCTAACTGACATTGAGGAGCAACTCGCGGATTGCAAAAACCGCAGGGTCTTTACCGTCCGCGCAATCGATGGCACGACCCTGGAAATGGCAAATCCCATGTTTGGCATAGACTCACCCATTTGGTAAGGGGAGGATTTCCATCCAAAAGGAACGTATCTTGCTGACCATTCACTATAAGGAAGCCCTACGTTCGGTTCCAGGAATACTGGTCGCTGGTCAAGGAAAAGCCCGAGGGCCCGGAGCAGACCTATCTCTGCTCATACCTGCCGAGCTGGAGCAACACCACGGCCCGAAGCTTTCGTGGTGTCATTACGGACCCCGACGCGCTCTTTGAGAAGAAGAGGCTTGCCTGGAACGCAAGCCGTAGCTGTGCGCTGCTGCGAATGCAGCTGGAGCAGATACCTGCGATGAAGAGGGTCGAGAAGATTATTTGCTTTGGGTTGGGCGACATTTGCCGCCGGCCCGCAGAATGGGTGAGAAAACACTTGGCCAAGCTCGACGATGCGGAAGCTCGGTTTGTTCGCAACGCCATGATCCAGCACGCCATTGCCCTCACGCTGGCCCAGATATGCAGCAGCAGCAGCAGCGCGAGAGGCCGCAAGGTCAAGCTGCTCGCCCAGGACCCAGACTACACGGACGAGGCCAAGGAAATGCTGACCAAACGTGGCTTCACCATTGTTGGAGACTATGGCGCTGGCGGATTCGCAGAGGTGGACAATGACAGCGTGGTCGTGTCCCTTTTTGTCGAGGCGCCGCTGAAGCAAATCGTCGCCGACATTGCACGGCCTTTGATGATGATTAGCACTGGCTTTGGGGTCTTTAACGATTCAGAGTGCGTCTGCTTTCTATTTTTTTTAATCTTCTTTTTTAATACCGTGTTGATGCGGGAGCGTTGTTTCCCCCTATTCTAATCCGTGAACGTTTTTTTTGCAGAAAACCTTTTGCGGATGCAGACTCGCCTCGGACGGTAGCCATGTGGAAAGAATACGAGGACAAGATTGAATTTTCCGTCTCTGATGAAGACGACGAGATCAAGACGATGCTGCAGGATGTGCATCTCTACGTGAGAAGAGATATATAGTATCCAGGACGCAGAAACGTGGGGCGTGCCTCGCTTGTGAAGGTCATGCACTTTGTGCCTTGGTTCCAAAGTACCTAATATGAGTGTTGCGGGGCCTTGGCCTCACACGGCCAGCCTGGTAGCATGCAGCATTTTGCGTGAACCATAACTTTGTGCCGCAGCGCGAAGTTTGTCTTAGCTGGCTGCCTCCTTTGCCATGCAAACTAACGTATTGATCGCCGGCGCTGCACCGAAGCGGCTAGCGCTCTCGACACGCTTGGAGGCCTAGACAAAGAGAACGCCGTTGCTGCGCAGACTGGTAGATGCCGTTTTGACGGGAAAAGTGGTTTGTTTGTAGGCGCACAGTAATCCTGCTAGACCAGTTCGACACCCCGCCGCTGACGTCTTGCATACTACGACAATCATTTGTCCATTCACCATCATCAACCACAACGGATAGAGAACCCGCTACTTGAATATAAATTCATGGTCACGATCGCCAGAACCTTTCCGTGAAATCGCTGCGTGGCCCATCTGCCACTGCCGTTACTCGAAGCTCTCCGTCATCCACTGGTTCTGGCCCACCACTGGAAGCCAGCCCAGCCAGCCAGCCAGCCAGCAGCCAGCCAGCTACTAATAAGGTAGCAGACAGGGCGGCTGCATTATTTCCGCCAAGGTCAGTCCCTGGCGCCTTGTTTCATTCGTCCTTTTGTTGCTCAGTTCCACCGTCCCACCGCAAGCTACTGTCATGCCATCATGGGCTCACCAAGCACAAATCACAGCTCATCTCCAAAACCAGCCTTGTGCGAGGCCTGGCCCTATCTGAGCCTGGATCAGGTAAGTAGTACGGTATTACCCCAAGCTGTCGTCGCGCTGACCGCCAACCGCTTCCCTCGTTTGCCTCGGTTCAACTTTAAAAATATGCAACTAATGATAATAGTAGCTTGCAGTTGTTGCAGCTAGTCACAACTACCTAATTTCCTTAAGAATCCTACCTACTGGTAACTGCCTACCTGGCGTGCCTGGGTAGCTCATCAGCTCTCCCCCGCCCGCTTTGTGGTAGCTGAGCTTGCTGGAGTGCTGCCCCTCATTCTCAACCGCCCCGGTGACCGCAAAATCAGGGGCAGGAAAATAAAGCCGAGCTTTTCTGTAAATCAAACAGCACTTGCAGCCAAAGCAAAGCACCGGGCCAATTCACCAGTCCTCAACATGTCGGACGCTGGCGGCAGGTACGTCATTTCTCAGGACCACCATGCCCCAAGTCTACCTCCCTCCTCGGTTACAGGAACTCTCTTCCCCTCTGCCAGTCCACATGCATCTTTCCTAGGCGCATAGTGGACCAACCGACCGCACCGCCAAGGTCTAGTTGCTGCAACGTCGTGGTCAATCGCTCTTTCGACACTGCAACCCCTCGTCTCCTTCATTACCTATTTACCATTCGGCCTTAAAACTAACTCTTACCTCTCTCTTACCTAATTTAGTACGCACAAGCGCTCCAGATCGTCGGCAGCCCTCGCCTTGCTCAGACGACGAGATCCCCGCGGCGACGAAGAGTCGGGCTCCGACGACGCTCGCTCCACCGCCGGAGGCGCAGCATCTTCCAAGCAGTCCTCCAAATCCTCAATCCTACCCCTCTCGCGCACCATTTCTCATACAAGCAAGCTCTCCTTGAGCAGAACACCCTCCCAGAAACAACAACCTCAGCAACAGCTGCAGCAAGCGCCGCCCGCCATGAAGCCCGCAGGCCTCGCTCAGGACAAGGCCCCTAGCCTCGAGCAGTCTGTTCGCAAGTTCCGCGTTGTCGAGGCCGTTCGCAATGGCGACACAGCCGCTATCTCAAAAATAATTCGCGAGTCTGCCGATGGCGCCCGTCGCGCCAGCGTTTCCTCTAATGCCACCACCGCAACTACTGCTCCGACAACTCTTGAAGATACTACTGTCCTCCACCTCGCCATTCAGTGCGCCGACTTCCCCGTCATTGAATACGTCTTGTCCGATGGAGCTGGCATGGTCGATATCAACGCGCGTGACCGCGATGGCAATACCCCTCTTCACATCGCTGCCATCCACGGTCGCACCGCCGCAGTGAAGCTTCTCCTCGAGCAAAAGGACATTAATGAAGCCCTCGTCAACCTTCAGGGCAAGTTTCCCATCGATCTCGCCAAAAATCCTGAAATTTTCCAGCTTCTTCAGCTGTCGCGTTCGCTTTATACCGACTCCAAGGTACGGCAGGTCCAGGAGCTCATTGCCAAGGGCGACTACGATACCCTTGCGCAGGTCCTTGAAGAGCCCCGCCTCAAGGCTGTGCTCGACATCAACAGCCCCGAGTTTGTCTCGGAGCCGACCACTCTGCAGACTGGCGGCACGCTTCTCCACGAAGCTGCACGCCAAAAGAATATTGCACTCATCCAGGTTCTGCTTCTCCATGGCGCCGATCCCTTTCGCCGCGACCGTAAAGGCAAGCTGCCGCAGTCTATTGCGCACGATGATGCTACCAAGTCCATTTTGAAGAAATCTCCCGCTGCCGTCGCCGCTCAGAGAGGAATTCAAGAAAAGGCCGTCCTTGGCCAGGCTGCTAGCCAAGGCGCCGCCACTGGTGCTGGTGGCGAGCTCGTGGCTGGCAAGGAAGCCCGCGAGATGAAGGGCTACCTCAAGAAATGGACCAACTACCGCAAGGGCTACCAATTGCGCTGGTTTGTCCTCGAAGACGGCGTTCTTAGCTACTACAAGCACCAGGATGATGCAGGTTCCGCTTGCCGTGGCGCTATCAACATGCGCATTGCCAGACTTCATATGAGCCCAGACGAGAAGACCAAATTCGAAATCATTGGAAAGTCTTCGGTCAAGTATACACTCAAAGCCAACCATGAAGTCGAAGCCAAGCGCTGGTTCTGGGCTCTCAACAACTCGATTCAGTGGACCAAGGATCAGGCCAAGGAGGAAGAGAGACAGACGGCCAGAAATGCCGAGCTTCTTCGCCAGGCCAAAGCCGACCCTAACGCGCTTTCCATTCATGAGTCACACAGCGAGAGCGCGAGCATCTCAGACCGTCGTCAAAGTAGCTCGCATCTGCCGTCGCGGTCCATCTCAAGCGCCAAGCTCTCCCCACAGAAGAATGACCTCACGAGAGCTAGCACCACTGGCAGCGTCGACGAAGAAGATGGTTTCGATGCCACCACGGACGGTGGACTATCACGAGTCCATGACGGTGCTGCCCTCATTCCTGGGGAGGAAGACGAAGACGACTATGACGAACACAGCGTGCGCCAGGATCCCAGTTCGACCAAAGATGCTCTCAATATTACCGCACAATCGGCCAAGCTGCAACTTGAGACCATGACGGCTGTTCACAATGCTATGATGGCTGAGCTCACACAGCGACCTGCTACCGCGCTCTCGGACACCAAGGTTACACAAGCTCTTTCGACGTACGATGCGGGTATTCGCAGCCTGACTGGTCTCATCGGAGATCTTTTGAGGATATCCAAGGATCGCGATGCCTTTTGGAAATACAGACTCGAGCGAGAGACCAACATGCGTCAAATGTGGGAAGAGAGCATGGCCCAGGTTGCACGTGAACAGGAGATTCTTGAAGCCCGTGTAGACGAGTCAGAAAAGAAGCGAAAACTTACCAAGAAGGCCCTGCGCGAAGTCATGGAGGGAGGTACTCCTTTGGATGGAACTCCTGTGCTGGAAAAGGCGCAAGACGATGTTCAAATCGCCTCCCCATCGCCGGGTCCCCGCAGCCTCATAAGACGCAAGACGGCGCTCGACCAGGTTGCAGACTTTTCGGATTCGGATTCGGATGATGAAGAGGAATTTTTTGATGCGGTAGACTCTGGCGAAGTAGAAGTCGCTGAGCTTCCCGAGTCGCAGCCTACGGAGCCGCAGGCCGTTGTTTCTTCAACTATGGACCTAAGCCCGTCGTTCAAGGGTTATGAAAATGGTATTCGACATCGACTTAAGATGGACGCCGACGACCGACCCAAGATTTCTCTCTGGGTTAGTTTCTTGCACGCTCGTATAAGTAACGATATTCTAACAGCAACTAGGGTATTCTCAAATCGATGATTGGTAAGGATATGACCAAGATGACCTTGCCTGTCTCCTTCAACGAACCTACGTCTCTACTTTACCGATGCGGCGAAGATATGGAGTATTCCGACCTCCTTGACATGGCTGCCTCTCGACCCGACTCGATAGAGCGTCTAATTTACGTCGCAGCCTTTGCTGCAAGTGAATACGCGTCGAGTATTGGCCGCGTGGCCAAGCCCTTTAATCCTCTTCTCGGAGAAACTTTTGAATATGTTCGTCCTGACAAGAACTATCGCTTCTTTACCGAGCAGGTCAGCCACCACCCGCCTATTGGTGCGGCCTGGGCTGAATCTCCCAACTGGACCTATTGGGGAGAGTCGAATGTCAAGTCAAAATTCTACGGCAAGTCTTTCGACGTTGCGCACCTGGGCACCTGGTTCCTCAAGGTCAGACCTACCAACGGCGGCAAGGAGGATTTCTACTCGTGGAAAAAGGTGACGTCGTCGGTCATTGGTATCATTACTGGAAACCCTACGATTGATCACTACGGTACCATGGAGGTAAAGAATTGGACTACTGGCGAGGTTGCGGTTCTTGAGATGAAGCCTCGGGGCTGGAAGGTGTCAAGTGCGTACCAAGTTGCGGGCAAGGTCATGGATGCGGATGGTGGAGTGCGGTTCAGCATGGGTGGCCGGTGGAACTCAAAGTTGTACGCACGGCTGACGCCTGGCTACGAGGCCAATCTCGACGCTTCAGCAAAGGGAAGCAGTGATGAGCAGGTTCACAGCGGCAGCATGACGGACCCGAGCCGGGCCTACCTGGTGTGGCAAGCGAATGAGCGACCTACGGGAATTCCGTTTAACCTGACACCATTCGTGCTGACGTTTAACCACATTGATGACAAGCTCAGGCAATGGATTGCGCCTACAGATTCGCGACTGAGACCGGACCAGCGGGCGATGGAGGATGGCGAGTACGACTTTGCGGCGACAGAGAAGAACCGATTGGAAGAAAACCAGCGGGCACGCCGGCGTAAGCGTGAGGAGGCGGGAGAGCACTTTACGCCGGCGTGGTTCAGCAGGGCGCGTTGCGAGGTGACGGGCGAGATGTACTGGCAGTTCAACCACAAGTACTGGAAGCAGCGTGAAAAGGCTGGACCGGATGGTGACGCGAATGCGTGGGCAGGCCTGGAGCCCGTCTTTCAGGACGAAGAGGAGACGCTGAAGGAGTAGGGATTGTGCTAGAGAAGCTAGCGTGTGAAGCATGTAACGGCAAGTATATATTCAATGGAATTTCTAATTGTTGATGAAGATGCATGGGAAAATCTAATATCGGCCGACTGTCGTCGAACAGAATGTGGTTTTTTTCATGTGATGTAAAGTATTGAGATGGAGTTTCCGCGGACCGTGGTGTAGCCCGGCAGGGTTTAGTTGACAAACGTGGGGTTCACAAGCCGCGGAATTTCACCTGCACGAAGGTTATTGTAAGCCTGTAGTGTATTTACGAGGTTAATGTCAAAGTACCAATCAGTGGCTGAATTGAAACAATCATCTAGCCAGTCAAGGACAAGTTTCAGGTCCCCGTGCAGTTGTTGGGTCTGGAGTCTGGAGCGGCTGGAACGGAGTTTATACGTTGAGGAGGGGTGCAATTAAGGCGGCGGGGCGGTGATTTGGGTAAGGGCTAGTGACGCAATAGCTGCAGGTGGTGGGCAGTAAATAGCCTGTAAGTGGTAGGCTGTCGGCGTGTGTAGAGAGTCTGGAGAACGGGCACCAGGTAAGGGTATCATGGCCAGGTTGATAAATTCTTGTTTCTCAAATCGAATGACTGAGAATAATTATGTGGTGAACGATGCGTAATGTCGGCCGTTCTCAAGTAGTCTTCCCCCCCCCAGATCCTAGTGCCTTGCCATGCCATTCTAGGTCTATTTCTCCGCAGGCAGCGAGTGGCCAGTGGCCCGTCAGCCAACTCGCCCATTGGCGAAACACGCCCAAATCTCCATACTCCGTGCCTCGGTTACATTCAGCAACGGTGGTGGCATTGCTGCAACCCCCAAAAAGCTCGGCCCGCCCCAGATTTCATCATCCCTTTTCCAGACTCGTTCAATTCCTTCCTATCTTTCTCTCTCCTGGTTGCACGTTTCGTTTTCCCCTACTCGCTACGTCACCACGGCAGCGGACGGTTTTCATTCCAGCTTTTCACTTTTTCGACGCGGCTTCTTCTTAAATTCGCCGCAGCCAATCGTCGCACCGGCATTACACACATATTCGTGGTGGTCTGTGGACGACTAGAACGGGCAAAGAAGAGCCTGTATACGACACTACGATAACAAAAGAAGGGAAAAAAAAAAAACCATGTCCGATACAAAACCTCCGTGGGACGAGCGTACGACGCTGCTCCGGCCGCCGCCGCCGAACCCGCACAAGGCGCCGATTGAAAACGTGCTCGAGGTAACGGAGCTGGCCGTCCTCGGACCTGTATGTCCTCCCTCTCCCCCGGGCTTGTTTTATCCCGCGACCACTCCAAACATGGCGACGTCGCGCGCCTCAATCTGCAGCCAATACCATCTACCTTATTTTAATGTTTACATCATGGGCTTGTTCTAACCGCGGTGCGCGCCATTCACACAGGACATCTTCACCAATGCGCGCGAGCCGTGGCACCCGCCCGGTGCGCGGGGCATCTACGGCGGCTCCGTGATTGCGCAGTGCCTCGCGTCTGCGCAAAAGACGGTGCCGGCCGATTTCCTCGTCCACTCGTGCCACTGCTATTTTCTCCTCGCCGGCTCCGGCACGACGCCGATTCTGTTCCACGTGGAGCGCGTGCGCGACGGGCGGTCCTTTGCGACGCGCACGGTGCAGGCGCGGCAGCGCGGGCGCTGCATCTTTACGACGACGATTTCGTTTACGCGCGAGGGCAGCGCGGGCGCGGGCCAGGTGCACCACGCGGCGGCGCTACCCGGCGGCGTGACGGCGCCGCCGGACGACTGGGACGGCGAGCCAGAGTGGGAGAAGCACAGCCCCGTGCAGTCGCTGACGGTGCCGTGGAGCGACGTCGCCGATAACGATGAGTCGGTGCCGATGGACCAGCGACGGCATCTGCGGTGGTCGCGCATGCGCGGCACCATATCCGACGAGGGCGGGCACCAGGCGCACCTCAACGCGCTGGCGTACATGTCAGACAGCTGGTTCATCGGCACCGTGTCGCGGCTGCACCGGCTGTGGCGCATGCCCTTTGCGCCGGCCGACGTGCCGGAGCTGCCGGACACGGTGCGCACACAGGTCCAGGCCATTCTCGAGAGCGACGGCTTTGGACGCGGCGGCGGCGGCGGCGGCGATGACGACAATGAGGTCGCAGAGTGGGAAAAGAGGCCGCGGTTGGGCATGATGGTGAGCCTGGACCACAGCATCTACTTTCACGAGCCAAAGAGGGTGCGCGCCGACGAGTGGATGCTGAGCGAGATGCAGAGCCCGTGGAGCGGCGATGGGCGAGGTTTTGTGGTGCAAAAGATTTTTGGGCGTGACGGGACGCTGCTGGCGAGCTGCATGCAAGAAGGTGTCGTGAGGCTGGACAATAAGGGCAGGGAAAAGGGGGCCAAGATGTAAATAAAGCACGGACATGTTGAAGTCTTTCTCTGGAAGGGAAAAAAGTGTTGAGAGCCTGAGATTTATCATGTTGTTTTTTTGCCGTTGTATAAAGTAGTAGCCTATTGCATAGATGGTGTACATGACAATACAGCCACATATAAGTGAAGAGACTACTCCGTGAGATGTTGGCTGATTGATGTGTTGTAGTTGGCAGACATCTGTGGCATTCAAGAGTTGACAGCTGCACAAAAAATGATTACTTTTGCTTTTTATTCAGACGATTTTACTTGTCATTATTATTATGCATCCGTTCATCCAGTGTAGGTGGATGTACGGTACGAAGCCTCGTCGTCGGCAGCATAAAAAGTATTAGCCGTGTGTTGGCGCATTGCCGCTCGTCCAAAGATTTTCGTGTCCCCGTCAAACAACCTTTAAAACTGTCAATTTACAGTTAAGCAACGGATTTAAGCTACAGACTATAAACAAGACGATCGAGGCCGTGCTCAATCTATCAAGGCCGCGCACGCGACAAAACGTTCGGTGAATTCGCCTCTTTCTTTGAGTAAGGTCCTCAATCAGCCTGATCGGTTGATGACTCAAGCAATTCAATATAGGTAGTTATATATACCCCAATATCAGTACGGAGTATCCGGAGATTGGCCCTGCTCTTCCCCGTAGGGCCCGTAGGGAGTCCCCCCCCGTAGGATGAATCAGCGCCCATAACAGCACAGTTGTGCGATGCGGAATCAAGGAAAATCCGCGGAGAGGGAAAATCTGCGAATCATTGTTTATTAGCGCCGGGAAGACTAGTGGGCCAACCGGGCACATCTTTCGAATGAAAAGGCACGCTTTTTAAATCTTTCCTGCTGATGTTTCTTTCTATTAATACTTACAATTGACAACCTTTGCGTGACAGGCTGACAGCCTTGTTGCAGCGGGGACACAAGTGGGACTTGGTACGAGAGGGGGGCGTGACAGGATTCTAAACTGAGACGATGGTCCTGTAGCAAGTTTTTTTTGGTCGTCTTTGATGGAAGAGGTGGACATTTACAAACCGTGCGAACGAGTAATGGGTAACTAGTGTTGCCAGTGGAGGAATCAGCTTGTTTTTTTTTTTTTTTTTC